GGAAAATGGAAGAAGAACAAGTGAAAGAAACAATGATAGTGTGGGCAAAGAACTTTGGTTATTCTATAGATTTAGAAGATTGGCAAAAACTATGGGACCGAAATATTAAACTTACTAAAGTAGCTGGATACAAGGAAAATGTATATAAAATGTTTTATAGATGGCACACGACACCAGTTAGATTAGAGAAAACATTTAAAAATGTATCAAATATGTGTTGGAAATGTAAACAACCAGGCACTTATTACCACCTCTGGTGGATATGCCTTAATGCTAAGAAATTTTGGTTAAAGTTTAAGATTCATATGTGGCTAGAAAAGATGATTAAAATTCAGATAGAATTTAAACCAGAACTCTGTTTGCTAGGAATATTAAGCTTGAATTATGGAAAAGAGAATGAGTATTTAATATTACATGTGTTAACAGCCACGAGGATAATATTTGCCCAATTTTGGAAAAATTTACCATCTGATCAGATTATAATAACAAAAATACTTGAATGTGCAGAAAAGGATAGATTAATGAAAGAGAAAGAAGACACAATTTATTTTAAAACATGGGAAAAATTTTATCAATGGTTAGCAACACGATAGAATGAGAAAAGGCTGTGAAACTTAAAGAGATAATTGATAATTTATATTTACATTTTATGATTATTTTATGAACTTGTCTTTTTTCGTATTTGTGATTTTAATAATATAATAAATTATAATCAATAAGTAATATATTACTATTTTAAAGTTATTACAACTAATTAGTATTAAGCATTGTTATTTACTAAAATGAATGAGATATATTGACTAACTTGTTATTTACATGACTATATTGAAAGCTGTTTAATACTAGAATAATTATTAAGATTTAATATGTATACCTGGACGGGTTTACTTGCTGAAGCGATGTTATTTTGTAGGATTAATCCCATTTTTGTGTTTACCCCTTTCCTTTGGTTTAACCCTTTTGTATGTCTCCCTTTGTTTTACCTTTGTTGACCTTATTCCCTTGTTATCCTTATAAAACTCAATAAAATATTTGTTAAAAAAAGTCATTTGCTTTTTGACTTTTAACGGTCTTACTAACAGTTCCGAAACAGTCATTTGCGGTTTCTGGTTCTGGTTTTCGACACTGGCTGACATGCGGAGAGATTCCTCTCCCCGCCGTCTGGTTTTTCTCCTTTGGAAGACCCTGGAAAGGATTAAAAGTCACCTTGGAGGGGTGACCGTTGGGGGGGACTCTTGCTGGATCGTGGGGGGGGGAGCCTCTCCGTTAGATCTGAAGTAACTTCCCAGGTCCGAAAAGAGAGGCCATTAACATGGCCCCTCACTTAGTTGAACCAGCTGAAAGCCCAAAGCACCAACTAAGCATGAAGAAGCAACTGGAGGAGTTGCTTTTTTCCCTTTTTTTCCTCCCAACTACCTTTGTGTAAAAATTTTTGAAATACACTTTTCCACCAGCTGAATTTCGCAGTCTTGCTCACTTCAGGAATATAAAGCCAAGAAACACACACATAAAAAAAAGGAACAACAAGATTAAATGACTACTTACCTGGACTTATATCCGGATACCTGGGCTCCCTGTTTTACTTTTTTGTTAATCAGGGGGGGGGGGGAACGGAATGTTCTTTGTTTCCTCTCTTGAATCGGAAAAAGCCCTACTTTGTATGCTACTGGGGACATCTAGTGGTGAAAATTTGCTACAACTAGTGGAATGAATTTCTTCTGACTAGGAGATCTCTGAGACTAAAATTTGTCCTTGACAGCAACCAAAAAATAAGAACTTGAAACAGCTGGTTGGTGAAAATAGTTCTTTATAGTGGAGGTGGATAGTAAAAGACTGTTAACATTACAGAAATAGAGGAATACCACCCACAGCTTAATGTCAAACTTATACTTGAAAAAATTCTAGAGGCTACTGAACTAATGAAGTCTACAATGAAAGTCTTACATGCCACTTTAAAGCCACAAAAGGCAGCTTTTAACCCCATTAGAGGAACCCACATTTCAAAAAGCAATAGAAGAAGGAACTAGTAACAAAGTGGAAGAATGTCAGGAACAATCTACTCAGACCTTTAATACACAAAGCTTGATCTTACTTAAAGACTTGACAACTACAACAGTAACAGAAACTGATCAAAGCAATGCTAAAATGGAACTTCCAGAGGATTTACGACAATACACTGAAATTTCAGAAAGTCTAGGATGATCCAAAAACAACTACAACATCGAACATGAATCTTCATCTACTTCAGTTGAAACTAGAACAGGGGTGTCAAACTCAATTTCATTGAGGGCCGCATCAGCACTGGGGTTGCCCTCGGGGGGCGGGGGGCGGGGTGTGTGTGGCCTACTGGGTGGGTGTGGATGGAGTGGATGTGGCCTACTGGGTGGGCATGGCCAGCTCTAAATCGTTTGTGTCAAGGGTGCCTGTCGGGGCTTGGGCATGAGTGGGACAGATCTGAGAGTCTCTGGCATAAGGGGGTGGGACCGGGGCAAGCGCCAAGGCATGGTCCATGTCTTCATTCCTCACAAAGGGTGACACCTCCCCAGCATGCACCCAGGGGGTGGGGCCGACGCGGCAGGGGCTGGTTCCTTGTTGTTTCTAGATGGCCCTGTGGAGCTAAGACTGAATGTGTTTTAGCATAGATGGCCACCACATAATTGTACATTGGCTCCCAGCCAGCCTGGGCCAGGGCCAAGGTAGCGGGGGCCATTCCCTGTTTCCAGGATGGCTTCGCGGGCCACATGAAACCATTTCGTGGGCTGGCCCTGGGCCTTGTGTTTGACATGCCTGAACTAGAAGAAGACCAATCTGAACGCATGATAAACACATTAACTCAGATATGGAGATTTAAACCATTGGGTCAACAATTTAACGACTGTGAAGGGACTGGCTTCCTTGATAGGCTGATGACTGGATGATCTCACTTGTTTCAAATGATATATCCAGGAAGGAAGGGAGAGCCATTTGAGGCCCAAAAAGCTTTTTTATGAAAGCCAGCTTGGCATAAAAGGAAGGCCAGAGTTAGATTAAAAAAAATGGTTTTCTTTGTTTGCTATCTAATGGAAGAGCTTTCAACTTTATCTAATGAGCTAAGGAGACTTTGAATTATAAATAGAAGATGGATTCAGAGGATACATGTTATTTTATGAGTAAGCGATGATATTAAAATGAGAATTAGAATATGATGGTGAAATAAATTAAGAATTTATTGGAATAAACAATAAGTGTACCTTAGAAATGATACTATTTTGTATGAATTAAGGAACCATGGGATATCCGAAATCTAAACATTATTGGATAGTAAGCCAACTCAAATACTCCAACTGAAACCAGACAAAAGTTAAAAACAGAATTTGGAGATATATAACCTAAAAGCTGTTTATAAATGTATTAAATGATTGAGTTATAACTAGCAACCTACCAATTTGAATTTGTTATAATAAAGAGAAACAGAGAAAACTTTTGATGATGTAAACTGATATATGTATGGATAAGTGTGTTATTGGATTATGTATTACCCAACCACCATGTTGCTTCCTGAAATACCTGAAGGTTTGTAAAAATGGAAAATTAATAAAACTTGTTATACAAAAAAAAGTCATTTGCGCTGTTTGAAAATGTTCTGCCCGCAGCACGATCTGACTACTGGCACAGTGATGGATTCTATTGCAAATCAGGGCTGTTTCTGAAGGAGGCAGAGAAGGAGAAGTCCCAGGGCTTATTGAGTAAAGGAACTGGATGAGGCTGTCGGCAGGCCCAGAGGAAGAGAGAGAGGCTTTTGGAAGAGTCAGAGGTGGCAGCAACATGCTCCAGGGGCAAAAAGGAGTGAGGCCCCTTTAAGGAAAAGGTGGAAGAGTCAGGATCAGAAAAAGGAAAGGAGGCAAGATTGTTGTGCAGGAATACAAGTTAATTTGAGGGCTAATCCACATGTAGCTCTGTTTCCATCTGTCCTGTTTGCCATCGTTCGCTCCCTAGAGACTAAAATGGATGTTCTGAAATTTGAGCTGGCCATGAACAAGGAGTGTATATCGGAGATGGTGGTCCTTTACAGTGATATGCAACAAAATTTCATTTTGATATATGCCGATTGGTATACATTCAAAATGACAATAAAGTTATTTTTATTAAAAGTGGTCATAAAATTGAGTCCGATCACACGATGCCTTGACTTATGACTGCAATAATTTACAAGCAAAATTCCAGCTTCCATTGTAGTCCCAAGTCGAGGACTACATGTAACCCTATAAGCAAATACATTTTTTTTACTAACTTTAAATAAGATCTTCTATTAAACATCTAATTTTTAATGATTTTTTCCCTTGGTTTAGAATATGTGAAATTTAGTAAGCAGCTCTCCATATGATGCACTGGAGATGGATGTACCATGAGGCACACACTTAAAAATAAAGCTAGGGCGGGGGTAGGGATGTGGAGCTGCCCCACGCGCACTTACCTTGCAGCCAGTGTCTGCAAGGTGTCTTCTGCATTTCTCAGTCACAGGCCTTTCTGGAAGGCCTCTGCAGCCAAAAACCGAGCTGTGGATTCAATTCATAGCTCGGTTCTGCAAGACCTCTGCAGCCGAGAACCGAGCTATGGATTGAATCCAAAGCTCGGTACTCGGCTGCAGAGGCCTTCTGGAAAGGCCTGACTGCAAAATGCAGGCCGGAGTTCAGCTGCAAAATGAAGCTGCTCCTTTGGCCGCAGAAGAAGTGGACTGGCTGGGCGGGGCTGTTGGAGTCGGAGGTAAGACATCCCCCCAAAATAAGACTTGGTGACTCTTTTGGAGGCAAAAAAAAAAAGGACCCAGTCTTATTTTGGGGGGACCACGGTAGCTTTTCCTTTTCCAGCTGAGCCTCAATTATTAGATTATCACTGTGTAAAAATAAGGAATACGGAAAAGTACACTAGAAATAATGGAATACCTACAAATAGCAATGATTGGAAAGTAAACCATTTTTTTGTTTGCTTCTGGCAAATAAAGTTTCAGAAAAGTCACTTACATGCTCTGAAGAATTTCTGGGGATAAGATAAGGATCATCTTGAAATGTGTAGGGAACAGCTGTAATATCCTATAAGGAGAAGGAAAAAGCATTTAATGTATAGATTCTGCTCAAATGAACAGTAGATTCATCTTTCTCCTGTACTTAATCAAATAATTTAATAATAGAAAGCTCTTTTATTAAGAAAAACTCATGTCTGTACTCCTTTCTATTATTGTATATTTGCAAAAGAAGACTTGATAAGAGAGAAAATTGCTTTAGGATAATCAGCAATATGATTTAATCTTTAGTAAAATATTTAGGCAGATTTTTCTTGGAAGGAAACTGCAGGTATCAAAGATTAATAACTTTGTAAATAACATCTTTGTGCTACTGTTTATCTAAGAAAAAAATGAGCTCTTTTCAATCCTGAACACAATATTATGTACATATATTTACATCTCACTTAGATTGTTTTTACATTTCAAATTTGAAACTTATTTAGCTGAAATACCATACTTTTTCTCCTTCATATAAAGGAATACAAATGTAACATGAAATAATATTAAAGGCAACATATGATAAAGATAAAAATATATTTTGCCATATATAGGATATTTCATATCAAAAGAGGACTAGTAACACAATGAAGATTTGTAGTACTTACCCTGTTTACAGTTAATGCAAGTGCTCGAAGAATTGCTGATTTATCCCTAATTTTAAGCAAAATGTGTTAAAGTTTAAATGTGCAGTATTATTTTTAATTTGCATATTGTTTTCAACAGAAACTATGGTGTAATTTACTGAACAAAACTTCAAGGATACAGAGATCTAAAACAATGCTTTAGAATCCTAAATATTCAATTCAATTTGTCAATAAACAAGCTTGAATAAATAAGTCTCTATTTAAATTTATTTATGTATCTGTTAAATTTATTTGCCATCTACATGGGCCTACTTTAGGGTGTTTACAATAATAATAAGGAAGAAAATGAAAGGATAAAGAGAATAAATAGGAGGATAAGAAAGGAGGATACGTAAAATAGAATCCATAAAATAAACAATGAAAAAGGAAAAAAGATGGATGGGTCAATAGCAGACAGTAAGGTTGGGAGGTGGAACATGCTATCAATTCAGCAGCGACCTCCAGTGTGAAACTTCCCCTTTGTGCAAATAAATAGTAGTTTCTTAATTTAAAATATTTTGTGTGGTGCAGATATTTTATTTTAGAAGCTAAGCTTATGTACTTAGGTTATAGTTATATTAGATATGCTATGCCAGAGGAATGACAACTGCATTTATAGTAGAAATGTCTGACAAGGCCTGGCTATGGTAACATGCACAACAACATTTGGATAGGAAAGCATGACTTATATTTAGATGTGGCTCACATTCTGTTTTGAACTGGTACTACTTTAAAAAGGGAGAAAACTGCAAGAAGATATATTACTTTAGAACCTGTGGGCTGCGGCCCAGGCCGCAGTCTGTTGGCCAGTGGGAATGGCTGGCAAGTGAACGCACATATGTGTGCACCCAATACTCACACTAATGGCCCCATTTGCGCATGTGTGGGAGTGCAAACATCTCTGTCACCCAGTCGCTATCAGCCCATCTGCACATGGTCACTAGTGGCCCGCTTGTGCACGAATACTGGCGCTGCTGTTGTGTGCATGCCCATTTGCACATGCGCGTGCATACATATTTCTCTGTTCCTCCCTTTCCCTTTGGGCCTCCAATCTAGAAAGGTTGGGGAACCCTGCTTTAGAACACGGTAATCTCACAATCAAATATTCACATATTGTTTACAACTGCACATGTTAAGCATTTGGGGTAGTATCTAGGTATCATGGTTCTGACAGATGAGACCAGATAAATCAGAACTCCAAAGCTAGAGTTTCAAAAGTGAAACCAAGCCTGAAAACCCCTCCAAAGAATTACACTATTACAAAGTTAAACTTCCCACCCCAATACTGTGCAATCAATTACATGTTCCAATAAAATAATTGGCGGGCTTTCTAATAGTACACCAACCTCCTCATCCAACCGTTTGAAATGACCCTGGTTCCCATGGGACAAAGAATTCTTTAGATCAGACATCTCAAACACAAGGCCTGCAGGCCGAATCCGGCCTGCGTTTGGCCAATATTTGGCCTGGGGATGCCCCGGAGACAGTGAGGGACTGGCCCCGCCACCCTGCCAGCCCGGCGGACCCCAAAGCATGTGTACAGGAGGCAGTAAATGCACGGAGACCAATGGCATCCGGCAGCAAAGGCTGCATAGCTCACTGTGAATACTGGGCCAGATCTCCAGCAGCAGTGCTGAGGCGGCAGCGGCAGCATGCAAAATCAGGGGGTCATGTGATGTGGACCATTGGACATGCCTACTCTGTCCCATCTCTTTTTGGTTGGAGAACAGGCCACCACTGATCATCTCAGTCCCTTTGAAGGTCTTGCCCTTGGCCCGTGGGTGGAGCACATTCCCCTAGCGCACCTTGGTACCTGCCACAGCTGCCAGCCGCTCACGCAGGTCCATTAGGCCATCGCCCATAGCTGCAGGCCCGCCCAGAACGAAGGAGGCGAAGCAGAGATGGGGGGGTCACGCAATCTTAGCTGGGACTGGGGGGCCAGTCCAACGCTGACACCTTCTGGTGGATAAGGACTATAAAATCTCTACCTGTGGCCTTCGAAGTCTTAATAAACACAGCTGTTTAGATAAAGTGAGATTTACAGAAACAATGTATGCTTTACAAGAGGAAATATATGATAAGCTGCAAGCAATTCAAAGAACAATGATCTCAAACTACAAAGAAATACAAAACAAACTTGAAAGTATCAATCAACTTATCCTCAACTTAATTTTACTCCAAAAATACCCCCAGGAGAATACAGCAGAGATGACTGAATATAAATCCGAGGTTAAAGACTTAAAGATGGACTTCTATAAAATAAAAGAGTATGATTTAATTCAAGTGGAAGAAAAGACAACTCGCATTTCATCATCGAGACAAAACGTGACAAAAGAAGTGGAGAGAAAAGGAAGGAAGAAGATTTCTAATAAAAAGAAGTAGGCAAATGCCCATGACAGAGACATTGATTTACTGTCTACATCAGTGATGGTGAACCTTTTAGAGATCGAGTGCCCAAACTGCAACCCAAAACCCACATGCATCGTTGGGTGCCGGGTGGGTATGGCCCCTTGGATGGGTATGGCCATGGTGGTAACAGCAGACTGGGTGGGACTAAAAAGTTCCTACTTTGCAAGATCTTTTTTTTCCCTGCAAGAAGTTGAAATTGACTGATTGATTGAACTTTTTTTTTGTACACGGGGGCAGAGGCCTAAAGCGAAAAGGTTTTATAAAACCCAGCTGAAGGCCTAGGACTGGGGCGACGGCGCACGTGCCCACAGAGAGGGCTCTGAGTGCTGCCTCTGCACCCGTGCCATAGGTTTGCCACCACTGGTCTACATCAACAGCAACACCTATGATCATATGGGAAAACCTTTTGATTCAGCAAAGTATATTGATTAAGAAAGACTTTGGGCAAAGAAAAAAGATTAAGATGGAAACTAAGAAAATAGATGATGGGACATATCAGAGGGAATACTTAAAAAAAGAAGCATGTGTTTGAATATGCTTAAAGAAATGGAAAAATTCTTGAATATATTACTCTAAGAGGGATGAAATGTTTTAGATACTTAAATGTGACTGAGTTCAAGAAATATGTGTGTATATATATATATATATATATATATATATATATATATATATGTATGATCGCTTGCGATGTAATGAATGGTAATTTGAGTCCCACTTCCGCAGTGCTTGTTGCGCTGGATGCATGTCAATGCGACGATTAATTGAGGTGTCATTCGAGAACCAGGCCTCTTTCAGTAGCTGGCCTCCCTTCGTGGCATCACTAGCTACGATACAGGTATTAGCGAAGTCAAATTGGTGGCCCTCCTGAGCCATATGCATCCAAAGTTGTGAATGCTGCTCGCCCCGTTTTATAGCCAATTGGTATTCATGGAGACGAGTCTTCAGGCGTTTGGATGTTTCCCCCACATAGTTGCCTTGGCAATTCCTACAATTGATCTTATAGACAACAGATGATTTCTCCATAGGAGGTAGGGGGTCTTTTGGGCGCATGACTTTAGACCGTAAAGTTTGATTTGGCTTGTGAGCCACCTCTATTCCATGGGGGGCCATGGAAGCGCTGCGGAAATGGGACTCGAATTACCACTCATTACATCGCAAGCAATCATACCAACACTTGCGGCATTATGGACAGGAAGCCGCACCCCCCCCATCATTGGGAACGCCTGCATACGGATGTAAATAACTATACCATCAACACTCCCTTGCCAGGTGACCGTCATCGGATCGCGCGGCGAGAGAGTCTCCCACCCCAACATGTGGATGGTGGAATAGAGGCTATGGACTCCCCGCGCACGGAGAAAGAAAGGGAGGGTGCGCTCAATACGGATGATCTACGCACCGCCCAACAACCACATGTGAGGCCCACACCGCCCCAGGAGGGAGGAAGCGATACCAGTGGAGCCGGAACACCTAAAAGACTTAACGTTAAAATCTCGGATTGTGCGGTTGCCCATAGCAACGAGGAGCATCTCACATGGACAGGGGAGAGAAAGCATAGAATGACAACCCGCTCGATCAGCAAGGGGAGGAGTAATGAGAGCGGTTTGAGTGCCAAACAATGGGAGGGAACGGACGTAAGGAAGACGGGTGGGGAATAAAGACATGATTACTGAGGCATACCATACTCAGATAAGAGCTGCGGACATGACAATTGGGAAGGGATATTAACCCACAGTTAGTGGAACCCTATCCCCATCATAAGACACAAGAAAATATCAGATCGAATCCTCCCCCCGACACGGCAGGCGATGATATTATCGAAGAGGAGGGGATGCAAGGTCACTAACGCCTCCAAAGATCAGTAGTGGAGGGATAGGGAAGGGCATCCAAAGAAAAGAACATAACGCTATAGACACATCTTGGTTATCAGCTGGCCAATCAGGGCCAGTAACACGGTCTAGGAGCCGTGCGCAAACGTTACTTGAACCTACTTAAACCACCTTTATTGCAATGGCTTTTTAGCCCTGACGATGCTGGGGAGTTCCCCCAGCGAAAGCTTGGCAACTTTTTAGTATAAGTATATTTTTAGTAAAGTATTCTTACTTCAACCCACCCGGTGATCGTGTTTTATTCTTTTATTCATAATTATGCCCGGGAGTCGCATTTTTACCAATATTCTTGAGTGTGTGTGTGTGTGTGTGTGTGTGTGTGTGTGTGTGTGTGTATGTATGTGTATATATATATATATATGTATGTTTTGAATCAGAGTTAGGGGATTAGATGACTAGACCTATTGAATGGATTGTCTAAAGAGTAAATATATTCTTAACTATGACTAAAAAGAATAAGAAATTGGAGGAAATAAATACATATTAATCTAGGAGGGATATATATTCTATGTAGCATGTTATTTTTTATGTTCCGTTGTTTCTGCTTTTTTCTCTTCTTTTTTATTTTTTATTTCTTTTTCGTTTCTCCTTTTTTCTCCTCTTTTTTTACTCTTTTATCTATTACTTAAGAAATGTAAAAATGTGAGATGGCTTATATGGAAAAACAGAATTAAGTCTATCAATATAAATGTAACTAATCGTTGAGAAAACCTTTATCAGTAAGAATATTTAGAATTTGGTGGGAGAAATAAACTAAAATAAGGATTGTAACGGTTGATGATAAGGCAATCCAAACGACTGGAAAGAAAAGAAATATACTAATATGATTATTATTTTTTTAGGAATGTTGAAAAAAGTATATACCTAATTGTCATTTATTAAAACAATAAGAATTGTATTAGCTCAATGTTTGAAAAAAAAAGAAATGTTTTGGGGAAAGAGGAAATCAACTAAAATTAATATATGGAATACAGAGTATAGAAATCAATTGTTAAGGAGTGTCTTTACAAATGTAACCCAGACAACACACTGTTTACCAATTATTAAGTGACATAAGCTTGTTAAAAAATTAATAAAATATATTATTAAAAAAAGGTGGCCACGCCCACCTAGTCTGCCATGACCACTGCAGCCATGCCTATCCAATAGGCCACGTCTGATGTCCTTCTTGAGGACACCACAATGCTGATGTGGCCCTCAATGAAATTGAGTTTGACACCCCTGGTTTAGATTATTGAAAAATCTCCACTTCTCCCTTCCCATTCCTGTGGCAACCTAGAACAAGCAAGATGGCTTCAGCCAGGTTTGTTGTAGAGTTGACACTAGGCATGTTCTTTCTATAGTAAACAGATATCCTATACAAGAAATTATGCAACAAACCTGTTTCCCCAAAATGTTTATGAACTTCAATAGATTCAGAATGTGCAATAGATATCCTGATGGCTTATGGGGAAATATCACAATCATTTCACAAAGGCTCTATAAAGTATACATCTTTATTTATATTTATGGCTTATGGTTATTTTAAACATTATAAGTTGCCATGGAAGGATAGTAAGATATTTCCTGGGGGGGGGGGGAGAATTTAACTGAAACAACTCACCAGGTTTTTTTTCTTGGAAGGAAAATTGTTTCTTCTGAAATTATGAAAAACAAAAATAACTATAACTTATTAGGCTATATACATCTTGAAAATGTTTATAAAATTTTAATTATGAATGGAATTATATTAGTCAGTAAACTTGACTATTTTAAACCAACAATTTTAAATAAGTATTGTCTGTATGAGAAGCAAATTTTGCCACATAAAGAAGCTGTCCTATCTAAGAACAATTTATTCAGAATCAAGTCCAGGGTCTTCAGGTTTATTTTCAAATATAGAATATATGACATATATTAAGGGAAATAATAAATTTATCATTTGCAAATATGCATTTTAATGGTACATGCATGAACATAACAAAATATTATACCTTTCCTGATAGGAGATTTTTCTGCAAAGGTTGCATTTTCTGAATAGTGCCTAAGGAAAAAAAATTATATGGATAAATCCATATATATACATACATGTGTCTTTTATATATATATATAGTTTACATAATTTAACAGAATCCTCTTGAATATACAGCATTATGGGATACCATATATTCATTATACTTCCTATTTTTCTTACACCAACAATGTTGTGAGGTAGATTGAGCTGGGAGGGAATTATTGGCCCACAGTCTCCCAGCTGACCTTCTTGCCTAAAGAAAACAAGAACTGGACCTCTTGGTTTGTAATCAATATTCCCAATTGGCATATTCATTGAAAGATCAAATATAGTATCATTTAATATTGTAAGATAGTTTCTTTTTCAAGTTTCAATATTCACAAATACATTTTTAAAGCAATTGTACTGCAATGTTTAGCCATGGTTCATTTGCCATGGTTTGCTGGCTAAATAATACATTATATTATAAAGCATAATTCTTGAACTACAGAGACTAAATCTGTGCAACATCTTAAGTTAAAATCAAAGCATATTATTGCTGTCATATAAGAATCCAATCTATTTCTGAAAAACTATCTCAAATAGAAAACAAACAAAATTTGGCTTTTTTGAGACTGTCTTTATAATTTATCTAAAGCACTTCTAGCAAATCATCATTTCAGCAATCATTTATTATTCGAAAATCAGGAAACATAGAAAGATCTTTCTCAGGTGGCATATATACTAGCTATTCTCAATTACCCACAAATATTTTTTTTTATTAAATTTTTTTGAAATTTTACTATAAAAACTGTGTGACCCACCACTTCTCTGAATAAGTTGTTCTTATTGTGGAGAAGCACTTCCTAACATTCAGGCATGATTATTTACAACAGGCAGCAGAATTCCATAACAGGATATAGAAACTGAATAAATAAAATGTTATAAGGATTTATGCATCTCCAAGAACCATTGAGTTTTTAAGAGCTCGTTATTATTTTTAACGTGAAGAGGGGAAATTTATTCAATATATGAACAATAATAATTGTACTTAATATTAATTATAAATTTATCTATTGTGTGCCATTTTTGTTTCTTGCACTGTAATTTTTAAAAAGAACTTTAATATGCTCACAAAAAAACCGCATTTGCTTTAGAGCAAAGTTAGATAAAACTTAGGCTGCAAGTTTTTGATTCTCTTCTTTTGAGTCACGTTGTAATTCGAAACGTCTAGAAAGCTTCAGATCACCTACTAATATAGCAGCAACCATAAAATACAATTATGAGGAAGTATTAATATTAAGAACGATTTGCCATCCAGCCTAGAGTGCGGGCATTCCAAAGATTAAATGGATGCAATCCGATGCATTAAATTACTGCTGCAACCTCGTTACAGTACTTTTCACTGGCCATTTTTCTGACTCACCTTTCCAAGTCATTCGTGGGAGTCCTGGTCTCACGTCCCAACCTAAAAGAGCCAGATGTTCCCGAAACGACGAGTCTTCTCTGCAACAAGTCTCGGGAGGGAAACGAACACAACCGCAACCTGCAGGCCGCCATAACGGAACTGCCGGCCGCCGCTGGAATGTGGACGGGACCGGAAGCGGAAGTTGTAATCAGCCACACCGCCAGGCACACGCTGTGGACACGCGCCGGATCCCCAGTGGTTCCTCTTAAGTCTCTGTTCGGTGGTATCTGGACGGCGTTGCCGAGATCGGTTGGTCGGAGTCATGGCTGCAAAAGAGGTGCCGTGGAGGCGCCTGACGGGGTTGTCGTTTGGGATGTATACGGATGCAGAGATACGGTAAATTCGGACGGCGCGGAGGACATATTGCTTGAGGCAGCGATCAGACTTTGGTTTCTTCGAAGTCCGCCCACATTGGGGAAATTTAGTTAATAAGGCCGCCTGTTATATCTGTCGGCCTTTGCCAAAATATTTTGTTGCTTTTCTGACGACAAACCCTGCTCTTATCCGAATTTCATTGTTCTAGAGCCTTCTCCAGTGTGATGCCTCACTATATATTGGTTTACAGATCCTATTGTTATTGTTGTTATTATATACCGTGGCATTCTGTGGCTAAAGTGCAACATAAATATCCGAAAATGCTGGGGAGACCCTCGCTTCCTGTTTGTAGAGGACAGTTCATGACGTTTTTAGTTTGATCATAAAGCATATCGGTCTTCTGCATCAGTGGTTGGAATATAAACCTGGACAATTATTATACTAAAGGGCCATTTTTTGCAAAGTTTAATTGATATTCAGTCATTGACCGTTTGCACCAAATAATTTCCTTGTTCTATCTTTTTTATGAAATCAGTACTGTTGCTTCTTTTGTTTTTCATGTCCCAAGTACTGTAATAAACTATCATGTCTTGATTGAAAGTGCCCAATTCCAGCCACTTCATTTGCTGATACTAAAATGTCCATTGATTCATTTTATTTTAAACTATTTTCAATTTTTGCATGTTCATGCTTCTTACATTATATTCCTATTGTAATTTTATCTTTACAGCTTTAGATTTTCTTGCATGGAACATCAGCAACTAGATAGCCTATAGGTCAGGGGTCTTCAAACTTGGCCCTTTTATGACTTGTGGACTTCAACTCCCAGAATTTCTCAGCCAGGCAAACTGAAGTTGAAGTCCACAAGTCATAAAAGGGCCACATTTGACGACCCCTGCTGTAGGTTTTAATCTAGTCACATCATAAATACCATTATTATTCCAAAAGATTTTCAGTTCTTCCTCTATAGCAGTGGTTCTTAACCTTTTTGAACGAATTGCCCCCTTCAGCCAATGAGGAAGTTGCCATCGCCCCCCTCCCCCAACATAACCTCTCAATTACAACATGGGAAATAATTCTTCAATTTATGCAAACACTTTTTTTGTTTTCTTTAAAATTGTTCATCAGGACATATTGATGTAAATAATTTATTTCCAGTCTTTTCCCCATATCTCCCGTATTCTGGCTAATGGCGCGCCACTGTATGGGTAGAGGTGCTGCACAACACGCATGAAGATAAGCAATGCGTATTTACATATGTATGGCGTTCTGTACTGAAGTAGTTAAAAAAGAGCAGATATCTCTGCTGTTCTGAATGAAAAGTTTCTGAGTTTATAATGAAAGCTGTAAAACTTCTAGGAAATTAATACATGTTGAAGTCTTTCTATTGTGAAATGTAGTTGATTTTAAGATTTCCATGGCATTTTCTTTGCTTCTTCCCCCTTTGCTTTCACTTTTAGGAAACTGAGTATAAAATCTATAACCAATCCTCTTTTTCTTGATAATGCGGGTACTCCATCTCCAAATGGACTATATGATTTGGCTTTGGGTCCACTTGACAACAAGGAAGTTTGTGTTACTTGCATGCAAGACTTCAACAATTGTCCTGGTCATCTAGGTCACATAGAACTACCCCTCACTGTTTATAATCCTCTCTTTTTTGATGTAAGTATATTAAGCCATAGTTAAGTAATATATGTGTAGCAGTGAATTAATCATTGCATTCAGAATTTGTAAATAGAAGTATTAATAACTAATAATAATATATAAATAACCTTTCCACTTTATTACAATATTGTAACAAAATAATATTGGCACAATATTAAACACATGTGAATTAGCAGTATAATAATAATAGTAATAATAATAATTTCTTATTTTCAGAAATTATTCCTTCTGATGCGAGGTTCCTGTTTGAATTGTTGCCATCTAACATGTCCACGAGCTGCAATTCATTTATTACTAAATCAGCTAACGCTACTAGAAATAGGACTGATTCAAGAGGTCCATGATCTTGAAGCATTCCTGAGTAGGGTAAGTTTTACTTTGCTTAATCTGTTTTGACTGTATTTTATATGTTTGTAATGTAATTATTCTCTCAGTTTTTAGATGAAAGCTCAGATGCAATTGGTACTGAAATTGAAGAAGTATTAAGTTGCCACACAAAGGATATGCTCCAAAATAATCAGTTTAGAGACTACAATGCACATGTAAGTAAGAAGAATCAATATTATATGCAGTTATTGACATGCTTTTAATGAACAGCTTCCTCTCACTTCCCATTAACTTGTAAAATCAGTGGTTCTTTATGGAAACGTCATTTGTTCTGGCTTAATATGTGACATTTTTCTTTAATACATTGAGGCAAACTGTTAATTCTCTAATTTCATCTGTTGCAAAACTAATATAATATAATTGCAGGCTGCTCAGAAAAGAAAACAGGGTTTTCTGTCCGCAGCCTGAAAATCCTGGATTCATTCTTCCTGTTAACTCTTTAACAGCGTATTATTTGTGAGGATTACTGCCTAGTTAGTGGATGTAGGCAGCATATGATGGTTTGCTAGATAACATTTAGACTAGAAATCCTAGATAATAGGAAGAATAAATCCAGGATTTTTCTGGCTATGAACAATTTATAGGAGACTAAATTGAAACTTTGTGAATGCTTCAACACTGAATAGAGTATAAGTGATGAAGATCTGCTGTTCTCTTTAATGTATTCATGGATAATATAACAAATGCTTGTGGTGACATTGGAGGCTTCTTAACTCACTACAGAGTGAAATTAAATTAAATTTGTTCTTGTTAATGCTCACAATTGACTATATTTAAATTTGTGTTTCATTTACAGTATAATTTCTAGATCTTTGCTTTTCATTCTTGGTGTAGGTTAAAAATGTATGTGAATGTAGAAGTAAACTTATCTCTCAATTTTGGAAATTACACATGACCTCAAAGAAATGTCCAAACTGCAAGTAAGTTTTTACTCCTACTTCCTTCATCCCAAGTTTAAAAACCATTAGGATTTGTCTTCACGTTGGGTTAATGTTCCTTTCCCCCCCCCCTCCATCTTCAAGAGCAGGAAGATCACTTATTCGTAAAGAACATAACAGCAAGTTGACTGTAACTTATCCCACTGTCGTAACTCAGAAGTCAGGCAAACAGAAAGTAGTGGAGGAAGTAGCAAGTATGTAAATTTTATTATATCTTACACACATATAGATGCAAAAGTTGTTATTGAGAAATATTTTTGTCACACTAGATTCGAACAAACAGTTGTAGAATATAATATGTAGATGTGGGTACAACTTTCAGACTTTTCAAATCTGCTTTCTGTGTCTGGGTTAAAAATTAATTGAAAATTATGGACACTTTCATAAAAGGTGAATTTATAAACTATTTCAAGACACAATTGTATCAGGGCTTTCTCAAATTTAAGAGTGAATGGACACATTAACTTCAATGGAATTAAAGCTAGTCCCAAATCCTATAGATTTCCAGTCTTCACTAAAATTAGCTTGAATGGGTCTTCTCACTCATATGCCATATTTGAATTAAATTGAATACTTCATTTGACCAAGTGTGATTATAGACACAAGGAATTAGTCTCAGTGTATGTGCAGAAGTTCTCAGTGTACATGCAAGACAACAGAATAATGATAATCATCGTAATACCAATAAGAAGGGAAAGCAAAGAATATAATGTATAAATAATAACACTACAGCCATACTATACGATATAGACATTAAACAGAATTGTGAGAATTAGGGGTCCAGCAGAGCAATGGTCCAAAGGGGAAAAAAACTGTTCCTGTGTCTAGTTGTTTTGGTTTGCAATACTCTAGTGGCATCCCAAGAGGGGTAGGGTGGGGGCTGAAACAGTTTATATCCAAGATGTGGAGGGTCTGCAGATATCTTCTTAGCTCTCCTTCTGACCCTTGCAATATAAGATCATCTATGAAAGGAAGGCTGGTTTTGGTTGTTCTTTGCCATCTTAAATATGCATTGGAATCTGCACCTGACCTGTTTGGTTGTTGCACCAAACTAGACAGGTACAAACTGTCTAATTTGGTACAGCAACCAAACAGGACAGGTACAAACAGCAATGACTGACGTCATATTTCACAACCAAAGCAAGCACTCTAAGCAGCATAATGTCTGAATGTAGCCAAATTTAATTGATCCAACAATTATTCATGAATTTAGAAACTTTTCCATGTAAGGAAAGTACATTTAATTGCAAATCATGTAAACCCATAATGTGAATTATCCAGTTCTTATTTGACACAGCATATGAATTATTCTCTTTGGATTATCATGTTGCACAAATCCAGATAACTCATTTATTCACAATAAATAATCACAATAAATTGAAAATGTAGTGTAATGTAAGATGGCAGTTGTCTACTGATTGAAAAATACCTGGAGAAAAGTAAATGCAGAAATTGTTTCAAGTACCTCAAAACATAAAATAATTCAAACTTCTTAGCTATAGATGAAACTCAGCTGGGAAAACGAGGCTACATGACACCTTTGACTGCCAAACAACACATTGAAGTTTTGTGGAAGAATGAGGGTAAGTGAATAAAACTACTTGCTGCTTTTAAGAATTAATACTTTTTTCAATTTACCCCCCCCACCAAAAAAAATATGCTGAAAGCTATGGTGGCTGACCTATTTTACTTTACTAACTTTACATGCTGTTTCAATTGCATTATTCTGAGTGGCTCATAGATCTCATCATTATAAAATTAAACCTAAAATATAACTAAACTAAAACTAAAATGTAAAATATAAACATAAAATGACAACTTAATAAAATAACTTTATAATCAGCAACATCCCATTCCCTAGGAATAATCACAGCAACATCCACATCAGGAGAAGCTAAAATGATTCATTCAGCTCTCAATGCCCACTGAAAAAGCTTGGTCTTAATGGCTTAGGGCAGTGATGGCAAACCTTTTAGAGACCGAGTGCCCAAACTGCAACCCAAACCCCACTTATTTATCGTCGGGTGCCAGATGGGTGTGGTCCACTGGGTGGGTGTGGCCTACTGGGTGGGCATGGCTGGCATGGGTGTGGCCTACTGGGTGGGTGTGGCCAGCTCACCATCACTTGAGTCGGGCACTTGTGCTGGCCTGGGCAGGACTGGGCCAGATCTGAGAATCTCTGGCGGAGGGGGGGTGGGACTGGGGCAAGCACCCAGGTATGGTCCATTGGAGGAGTCTCACTGAGCCTCAGGCAATGCAGGGGGCCCATGGACAGTGGCACGGACTGCCTGGAGCCCTGGGCAGCAGAGGTCAAGCACCCAGCCTGGCCCTTGAGCTCCCACGGCACCAGGACCCCACAGTCCTGCCTACCCTAGCCGCACTTTCCTAAGGGGATGCCCAGTTGCATGGTGAGTGCAGAAGGGCAAGTTGCATGGGTCAGAAGGAGGCCAACTCCCTTTCCATGTGAGGAGACCTGGCTTTGTAACCAAAGCATCTCAGCAATAGGATGGGAGACCACCAGGAGATGGCAAAAGGGCCACAGGGCTGCTGGTGGCCAAGTGCTAAGGCAGGACTTAGCACTCCTTCCCTCTCATTTCAATATCCCTCCCTCCTTCCTTTCTCCCTCCCTCCCTCCTTCCCCTCCTTTTCATTCCCATCTCCTTCCTTCCTCTCTCTCTCCCTCCTTCCCCTCTCTCTCTTTCTCCCCCTTTCTCCAAAGTCCAAACATTTGTGTGCTACTTTCCTCACTCACGCTGTGCATGCCCACAGAAAAGGCTCTGTGATAGAGGATTAAACAGCTGGGTGATTTTGGGCCAGTCATTCTCTCTCAGCCCAATCCACCTCCCAGGTGTGTTGTGAGGAAAATAGGAGGAGAAAGGTATGTTGGATATGTTCGTTGCCTTGAGCTATTTATAAAAATAGTATAGGCCAGATTTAAATATAAATAAAATTAATTCATTAAATAAATACTGGATTTAAGGACCTGTACTTATTTTCTAGACACATAGGGAAACTAATCCAAAATAAGCAGCAGGTTGCCTAGAAGACTCCACTTTGCAAAAGATGAGGGGGGGGGTTTCCAAGTGCTCATTTGTATGGAAATTCATCTTTTCCATCTCCAAGTGTAGTGATGCAAATATGAAAGTTGGATTAATTGAATGAATAGGAAATTAGAATGTAGGTTCATTATAAGAAGCTACTTTGCTTTATTTATTGATAATTCATTTGTATTGAATTTAATTTGGCCTGTACCGTAGGACCAATGGAGATGGATATTAATTTTAAATTAAAGAAAAATCCATCTCCATTGGTCCTTCAGTATAGGCGCAGTCATTCTTCCCTGTTCTGCAATAAATAACAATATGCATAAACTTGTACATATAAGGCTAGCTTAAGTGGCATCTGGTTTTTTAAACTGTGTGCAAGGAAATGGGACACTGATCCCTTTGCTGGTCTTGGGAATCTTGGCAAGCACCTACTCTTGAATTTACTGTTCGTATTTGGTTCTTGGGCTGCCCATGTCCCTTCACTATGTGGTAGTACTGATCTTCCAGCAGAAAAGATTAATATATTTCTAAGGATGCAACCAAAAACTGGGCTCAGGAAGTGCTACTCTTGAGTTTGTATGAACAGGTTGGATCTGCTTGAATAGAACACAATTAGTTCCTGCTCCTTTATCACTTCTTGAAAATAGAAGGCAATAAGAAATTGCACAAGCAACAGTCCATGGGCCCACAAACAGATTCTTTTTGAAGACTATTGGTTATGTCTTAATTATAGAGTCTAGATTTAAACAGTCTTCCAAAGAGGTTAGCCATCTTAGACATCTTCAAGGCACCACTGCATAATGCCAATCAAACGATTGTACAATTTATTGCATACTTGCTTTTGGTATCTTATATCCCACCACTTCTCCACAGCAGCCATAGATCTGTCCTCCTCTTGAGAGTTACTCTGTGGGAATAGTGGTTATATTCCCCAAATGCACAAAAACAATTGTGGAAACCAGCCCTTAGCAGGCACTGAGCAGAGAGCAGAGTTGCAGCAAGACAAACCCCCACGGCTTCGACAAGGTGCTGAATATGTCTCTGCAGAGGAAGACCAAGGTTCATTCGGCAGCTGGTGGATGTGCTTATCGCGAATGAGTTTGGGAGGAGGAAGAGGGAGGCTGGCTCCTTCCCTCTCTAATCCTACTCCGCACAACAGCAGACCCCTGCCTCCCCTCTCCATTGTGCATCTTCCATGGGAGTCATCTTGGGATTTAATAGCAACGTTACGTTTTCCCCACTTAGTCATTCAGTGAATTCGTTTGTGTGTGGGGGGGATTTTTCCTTGTTGAAAAGGATGGCTTCAAGTGGGAATTATGCAAGAAGCCCAATAATCTTTGCTCCTTTTTTTTTTTTGAAAGCAGAATCAGCCTTTTATGTTAAGGCTCTGCTCGCCTTCTCAAACTCCAAACTCACGCATCCTACTTTCCTCATTCGCCTTCCCAAACTCCAAACTGGAGTACGACGAGGAAAATAGGATGCACGCGCAAGTTTGGAGTTTGGGAAGGAGAGCGTAGGACAAGCGAATTTGGAGTTTGAGAAGGCAAGCTAGGAAAGTAGGACATGCAAATTTGGAGTTTGGGAAGACGAGCGTAGGACGCGCACCTTCCCAAACTCCAAACATGATATTAAAGGGGGTGGGGGAAGAAATGATTAATAAGGGGGTGGTGTGTGTGTGTGTGTGTGAGAGAGAGAGAGAGAGATTCCCTTTTTGTACGTTTGCTTACTCTGCAATGCTTTCATTTCCCGACACTTTTGCTTCCCTGCTGGCTCAGTCTTTCTTTCTCTCTGCTGCTTCTGCTGCCCAGATCTAGGGCTGCAGAGTGATTTTGCTCCCCTCCCCACGGCTGATCTAGGCAGCAGAACTGTTTTCGAAGTCTCTGGAACTCACATCCATTCACATCCATGGCCGTGGAACGATTTTATGGCACTTCAGCGGCTCAATGCGGGCAACGAGGCTTGGAAAATGTGACGGGGAGAGAACGGCGGCAGTGCAATCTGTACGGTGGGTGGGGGGAAACGGTGGCAGCAGGGCGATCTGCACAGCAGGTGGGGGATTTTGCGCTCCCCCCCCCATGGCCGATCCAGGCGACAGAGGCTTTTTCCACTATCCAGCTCAGGCTCTCAATGCAGAGAGAAAGAGAGCCAAGAGCGCAGGCGCACATGGAGAGGCGGAAGGGAGCAGTCTGGCCCCGCCTCCCTCCAGGATGATGGTGTGCATGCCCACAGGGACGGCTCTGTGTGCTGCCTGTGGCACGCGTGCCATAGGTTCACCATCACTGGCTTAGGGAAAAGCTAACAGAATCAGCTTGTCTGATATTGGGAGAATGATGTTTTAGAAAAGGAGATAAATGTCTATGGAGATTCTTAGTTATCCAGGTCATAGTTGTTGCAAAGATGCTTTTTCATGAGTCAACTGGACGTTCTTGTTTTTCTTTGAAGATGTTTCACTTCTCAACCAAGAAGCTTCCTTCAGCTCTGACTGGATGGTGGGGAACGGAAAGATTTTTACTCCTTGCAGACAGCTGGTCCTTTGCATTCTTTTAGAGAGTCCAAACCTCTCTTGGAGGCTTTATCTGTGTCATCATGGTCACCTGAGTAGTGCAAATGGGTTTGGAGCCTTTTTGGAACTGTTGAAAGGACTGGGTTGTAAACTGAAAATAGATGATGTCATATCCCTCCCCCTCTGTTGAGAGAGGGATGTTGAGTTTTGATATAGATGCCAGAGCAGACATGTCAAACTTGTGATGTCACATGACGTCGTGCGACGTATCGGGAGTGTTTTGCCGTTGCCAGCAATGGGGTGGGCATGGCTTCCGCAAGACGCGTCCGGCCCATGGGCCGGTAGTTTAACACCTCTGACCGAGAGGGAAACTTCCCTCCTTCCAGTAGATGAACAGATACTGCTGAGAAAAGACAACCCCAGCAATATTTAGATCCTGAACTATGAAGTTCATAGTTATAAATAACATCCAGCACTAAGTTACTCTAGAGGCAGAATACATCTATGAAATCTTTAGATGGGTCTATGCAAATCAATGCATATTAGTATGCATGTTAATGCTAAGAATGCAAAATTGAATTCTATCATGACTACAATCTAGAGCAGGGGTTCTCAACCTTGGCAACTTTTAAGACTTGTGGACTTCAACTCTTAAAGTTGCCAAGGTTGAGAACCCCTGATCTAGAGGATGTTTTTCTCAGCTGGAATCCCTGAAATAAATGAGAGCTATGCAAACATGTTGAATACAGTTCTTGCAAAATTTGTATACATTTTCACCTAAGAACATACTAAATCATGCTGAGTTGTTAACCGTTGTTTCAATAGAGCTTAAATTCTACTACTTGAGATATCTCCTTTCTCTTTGGCTCATAGCAGGACTAATTTAGAAGTCTTACTAAAAGATTAATGAAAGACAAAAATAATTTGTATTACTGTATGTGTAAGATCTTAGTTTCGCAGGCAGTGACATATGAGTATTTAAGAAACTACAGGTAGTGCTCAATTTATGCCCACAATTGAGCCCAAAATTTCTGTGGCTAAACAAGATATTTGTTAAGTGAATTTTGCCCCATTTTATTATCTTTCTTGCCACAGTTGTTAAGTGAATCACTGCAGTTGTTAAGTTAGTAACAATAATACACAATTGTTAAGTCAATCTGGCTTCTCCATTGACATTGTTTGTCAGAATTTTACATGATAACATGACCCCGGAATACTGCAACTGTCATAAATTTAAGTCAGTTGCCAAGCATTGGAATATTGATCATGGGGTCGTGGGGATGCTTTAATGGTTGTAAGTATGAAAAACATTCATAAGTCACTTTTTTCAGTGCTGTTGTAACTTTGAATGGTCACTAAATGAACTGTTGTAAGTTGAGGACTACTTCTACATCCTGAAATATATTTTAGTTTTGTACTAATGTTTGACTTAAATTTCATTTTTTAAAATTCATGCAGTCTTTACCAGCAAATAAAACAGAAATAAAAAAGAGAAAAGAGAATCTAAATAGATAGACACAAATAAGTATGTATAGTAACATTTGGCTTCTGACATGTAAACCAAATAAAAAGTTTCTAGAGAAATACAGCAGTGATAGCTGCATCTTGGTTATTTCAGTTCTTTCCATTTTCAGGGTTTTTCCTTTGCAAGCTTTTCTCTGGGATGACAGTCACTGGTGATTTAACTTTCAATCCTGAAATGTTTTTCCTAAATAAACTTGTTGTACCACCTTCCAGGTAATACTATTATTTTGCATTTTTACTCTAATAGCTACATTTGTGATGCCCTATTTACTAAGAACATTTTCTAAGCATAACCAATGTAATCTGATCTATAGATATCGTCCGGTGAATTGTGTTGGAGATCAGATGTTTGCAAATGGCCAAACAGTGAATTTACAAGCTGTTATGAAGGATGCTCTCCTCATTCGGAAACTTCTGGCTTTCATTGCTCAAGAACAAAGTCAGCCGTTACAGATAGAAAATGGAGATCTCAAGACAGTAAGATTGCTTCAGTGCTTCAAGATGAAAAAAACACCCCTCTTTAGTTGAAGTAATTTTGTAAATTTTTAGACTTTAGCCAGCCTTCTGAATATTTGAAAAAGTAATAATGTTATTTCAAACACTGATCCTCAGTATCCAAACTTGGTCCTTAGTTTTTCATCTTTAAGCAAAAAGATCTTGCAGAAATTCTTCAGCCATTTTTCACACCCTTCTCTTTGTAGATTCAAGGCTATGAATCCTTCCCGCCCCCTTTTTTTTAATTAAGCTCTGTGTGTCTGTGTCTGTGTATCTGTGTGTGTAAAGTATTTTTAAACTGGATTTTTTCTTGTTAAAATTTTAATTTTTTGTTCTACAGATAATAGACCAGCCCTTGGAACCTCTAGACCATTCTGTCTTGGCAACAATTCCTGGACAGACTACTGCAGATAAGCTTTATAACAGTTGGATTCGTCTTCAAAGCCATGTGAATATTTTGTTTGATAGTGACATGGATAAACTAATATCTGAAAAATACCCTGGTGTACGTCAGGTGAGATTTCTAAAGATGTTTAAAATTATTGATGAAGGGAGAATATGAAATATTTTTAAATATACTTATACAGTATATTATTTGAATGTGTACATTATTCTTTAGAAAAATACTTCCAAGGTTGTCATGTAAGTGTAGAAATATACAATATAGCAAATGCACAATGCAGCAGACAAATTATGTTAGGAAACAAAAAGGAGTAGAACTTTTAAATGACAAAAATATTATGAAATTGAATAATTATTAGGTCAATCTACAGAATTTTTGTAAATAGTGTAGCACTGGAAAAGGTTCTCTTAGTAATCATAATGAACTACATTTTTGTAGTCTCTCTAATCATAATCATATAAAAGCATCCAAAGAATTGCCTTTTGTACTGACATGAATAGATTAATTTGGGATCTAGCCTTGTTTCAGATATCCAAATCCAAGCCATTGAGGTATTTAATAATCAAGTACCATATTTTCCGGCGTATAAGATGACTTTCTAAACCATGAAAATCTTCTCAAAAGTCGGGGGTCGTCTTATACGCCAGAAAATACGGTACTTTGAACTTAGAAATTGAATCTAAAGCTAGTGATATAGTTTTAGTATCTAACTCTGGTTAAAATGAAATAGCATCTGTATTCTCAATTCACTGAGTTACATATTCTTCAAAAATGTTTCCATATGCAGTACTTTACATTAGTTGATTTGGGATGGTTCTGAAATAGAAGTTCCTATTGCTAAGCTATTTCTAATTGAGAACTACTATTATCACATCAGCCTAAAATAACAAAGCAACCTATGACAGATGATTTACATCAGGGTTTCTGATGTTAAGATTGGAGTTTAGAGAAGGAAAGGATGAATATTTTGTCCCAAGGGTCATATTTGTTGTTGGTTAGACACAATGTGTGCATCTATGCATACTGCTCTTGCAAAAAGACACATATTATTTGCATTCTCCCACATATACTGAGCATACAAAGACATTTTCTCAACTCCCTTCCTATCCCTGAGATAATATGAGCTGGATTTATGTAGAAAGGGAAAAGTAAGGAAACATCCTCTCTAGTGACTGATTTTTGATTAGCTGGCTAATGGGAAAGGCAGGACAGGGCTTTTCCTGTAATTAAATTGATCAAAGATCAGATTATTGATTTTTTGCAAGAGAAAGCCAACCATTTATTAATGATTTTCAACTAATCAGAGGGAAAAGTGGGAGTTTGTCCTTGAACCCCAGAAGTCACATTTTTGGCATCCAAAAGACCTGTCAATTTTCTCATGAAAAGACAGTCCAAATAGAGCACACTAAATAGCCACAGAATTTCTGACTTATCAGAATTGTGTTAGCTTTCATCAGTCTTATCTCTCACAGAATTTCCACAAAGCACACATGTGAATAATATTGATAACTAATTTTTATTTTATCCTCAAATCTGATAATTTCCTCCTGCAGTGTCATGTACTTGAAAATAAAGTTTAAAAGCATTTCTCCAGATCTTGCTACTAGAAAGGTAATTTTTCAGAATCTTCAAAGTGATATGAATCTATTTATGTTTGTATCTTTCTTGCTGTCTTTGTTGCTAAATTTATGATGAAAGATACTTGAAAAAAAGAATGGCCTATTTCGTAAACATATGATGGGAAAGAGAGTGGATTATGCTGCCCGATCAGTCATTTGCCCTGACATGTACATTCAGACCAATGAAATTGGCATTCCTATGGTAAGGAAACATTATTTCCTATCATTTTTTATTATATATTCCTATTTTTAAGAATATTATTTTATCTTAAGGCTATCTGTTCATTGTCTCCCCAAAAGTGTCTCCCCTATTTGCAAACTATTGCCAGGAATATTAAAAAAAATGATAAAATATTGAGAGAAATGCAGACAAAAGAAGGAAATATAGAAAGATGGATGGCCACAACCAGAAATGAGTACAGCTGAGTGCAGTTACCATATTTAGATGTTTTAAAATAAATTTTATTGGTTTTTTAACTTTTACAACAAAAGTGCTCAAGATACACCGTGGTGATGGGATAGTCAAACATCCAAAAACGAAATCATATATGAATAACTCGTAACTATATTTAATATTCCCTCTCTATTTTCCTCAAATAGTATAATATATTTTAAATGATCCATTTCTACATTAGATTTCTATAAAACCTAATCCTGTTTTCAAATTTAGTTACCATAGTCCAATTTAATCTTAAATAAACATATTATCACTTTGCGTACTCCTTCCAAATGTATTCTAGTTCTTAATCTCATGTCATTAATTTTATCAAAAATCTCTCTTATTTCTTCTTCCACTACAAAATAGTTATCCTGATTAAAATAAAATATTACTCTACCCCATACATATACTATCCATCATTCAATCTGTCTCTGTAGGAAGCAAAATAATACAAAACATTAAATCATTTCAGTCCATTAGGAAGAATTCAAATCTCATCCAGATAGATATCATGTCTAAAAACTTGTTTATTGTTACACAAAGCATCATCTTATTAATTTAACATGCTCAATTGTTAAATCAATCCAGATCTCTAAAACCTCTTCCATTTTCTTATTCTCATTCCATTGCAAAATAAATTTCATACAAATAAACATATTATTGCAAAAGATACATTCTTACTCTATTTAACGTATATATTCTAATAATCACCAATTTTTAATTTTTTCTCTCTTTTAACTCTAAATCTTAAACCTTAAGTCAATCCATATTTCCACAAGGCCTTTTTAATACATTAGATATGGTTTCAAGTTTCTCTTTTTAGTCTTATTCTGGCTTTCTTTTTGTGCCAGGCCGGTTTCCATAATAAAACCTCTATTTCAGCAGATAGATCTCCCTTTATGCTTGTGATATCATTTGGGTCAGTAGAAGACATCCCATCCTCTGTGTTAGGGGCCTGGCTCCTTTGTCTTTAGATCCTTGTTGCTTTAAACGTTCAAGGTTCAATCTCTAGTTCTTTTGATCCTCAAGGATGTGAGTGGGATGCTAATAAGGCAATATAAATTCCTCTTTAATCTCGGTTAGTTCCTCTTCTGGTATATTTTGGTTTATAGAATAGTCAGTTGAAGTCTGGGAATCAGTTTGTAGGTTTGGAGTAAGGTTTCTGGCTCTTATTTCTGTAGTAATCTCTTTTATTTTAGCGCATACTTGCTCAGTGGCTTCGTAAATTTTTTCCAATATAAGTTTACAATTTAATTGTAAATAAGGTTTCTCCATTTCAATAATAATTGAAGACAGTCCTTTTTATCTTTTAGTGGGGGCTATATTTACTAGAAATTAAACAATGTCCACCCCCACAATTTCTAACCGCTGCATCAGCTTCTTTATCTTTTCCCATCTGTAATAGTTGGAAGGTCAAGCCAACCTCGTCTCCAGACAAAAACAGGCAGTTGCAATATTAAATTTTCACCACAGGATGTCCTCAGTGGGTTACAAAATCTTTCCCTAACACCACTTTTTTCCTTTTTCTCTCTCTTTTCTTAAAAAAAAAAGAAAAAGTGGAAAAAAAATATTCCTCAAGTGTAAAATCAAGATAAAAAATAAAAAAGTTTTTGCTGTACCCCAAGGTAAATAAAAGTAAGGTATAGTCATTAAAATTAATTATACTGTCCTTTTGTTCAGCGCATTTCTTCCCATGCAAGCAAACATCACTCTCTCAAGACGGAAATGATTCCAAAAAGGCTTTTACAGGCAGAGAGAAAAATAGGGTGAAGAGAGGAGAAGGGAGGGTCTCATCCGAATCATCCGCAGTGGGTCTTTCATGCTTAGATGTTCCTGTGACTTTCGGCTGGTGCAACTAGATGATCGGCCATCTTGTAGGACGATCTTTGCTCCGTTGGCCCTAAGGAGTTAGCTGGAGCCACGGAAGAAGCTGCCGCATTCCTGCAGTTACCAACAAGCCTCCTCATCGGTGGTCGCCCCTCCAGGGCGACTTTTAACCCACTACGGGGTCTACCGGCGAAGAAAAAACAGCCTGTGGAGAGACGAATCTCTGCACACGACCGGAGTCACCGCGAACCGGAACTGGAAATCCATTTTTAGATGTTATGTCGGTTATCCATGAGAGTCAGAGGTTTATGAGAGTTAATAATATGGAATCTAGACAGTGGAAGTGATTCCTACAAGAGAGAAAGATTAAACGAATATTCCTAGAGTGATGACAATGTACACAATATTTTCCTTTTTGCCTCTTCTCTTGCAGGTATTTGCTACCAGATTGACCTATCCTCAACCCGTCACTCCTTGGAATGTCCAAGAATTGAGGCAAGCAGTTATAAAGGGGCCAAATGAGCATCCTGGGGCTTCCATGATTATCAACGAAGATGGATCTCGCACAATATTGAGTACAACTAGCCAGACTCAGAGGGAAGCCATAGCTAAGCAACTCTTAACCCCTTCTACTGGAGCACCAAAACCAGGGATAAAAATTGTGAGTGGTGTCCAAATCTAGTCATCTGTATTATTTGTATCAAGGTATATATAGCATGTGTTTGGTAGAGATGCTGCCAACTCAATCCTATATTGCAGACGTGTCAAACTTGCAATATCACATGACGTCGCGTGACATATTGGGACTGTTTTGTCATTGCCTGTAATGGGGTGGGCGCGGTTTCCGCGTGATGCATCTGGGATGGCAGTTTGACACCCCTGCTATATTGAGATTATAGCTAGTCCTTGACTTACAAGATTTCATATAGTGACTGTTCAGAGTTACAATGGCACTGAAAAAAGTGACTTGGCTCTTTTTTTATACAATAGTTGCAGTGTCCCCATGGTCACATCAGAATTCAGACTCTTGGCACCTAAGTCATATTTATGACAGTTGCAATGTCCTGGAGTCATATTATCATTTTATGTGACCTTTTTACAAGCAAAGTCAATGGGGAAGCCAGGATCACTTAACAATGTGTTACTAACTTAACAAGTGCAGGGATTCACTAAATAACTGTAGCAAGAAAAGTCATAAAATGGGACAAAATTCACTTAACAATTGTCTCACTTAGCAACAGAAATTTTGGGCTCAATTGTGGTCATAAGTCGAGGACTATCTATATATTCTCTTAGCTATTTGCCTTAGACATTTTGATTAATGTAGTTAGTATCTTAATTTGGACATGTCACTGGTTCAGGCTATATTATAGCATCTAGTGATATAAAAGCAAGAGAGGCAGGTATCTTGGGGTTCCATGGGTTCTCCCTTGCTTCTCCCTCATTGTGCTATATCTTCAGCAAACCTAACTGTACAGGATAAGATAGGCTTAGCATATCTGTGGGCTTGGCTGTCTAATCATGAGGGTTGGGAATCGGGGAGGGGGGCAATCTCCCTGATAGGACAATATTACTGTAAAGCCATATAAAATATTTATGCACAAGAGAGGTTTTGAATTCCCAAATCCCAGCTAATGGTGCATTTGCACCCTGGATGGTGGAGTTTGCTTCATGGACTGGTAGATTCATGAGTCTGTCTTACAGCAAGAGTATAGGCTAAGTATCTTTTTAATATTTTAAGGTTTGTCTGGTCTGTTATCTTATTGAGAAGGCCAACTTAATATGCATGACCAAACTTATTTGTGTGTGAAGGGAGAACTCTCATCACAGAGTGTGAAGGGAGAGCTTTCCATAATGCTGGGTCAGTGCACTAGAGTTAATATTTTCATCCAAGGCCATTCTCCCATTTTTAGATGTAAGAGCCTGTTTCTGAAATTGGGCCTTACGGGCCAGGGAGGTTTGTTGTTATTGTACCAGCTTCCCTGCTACATATCTGCTTTATCTTATGAGCAGCTTGATGCTGTAACTGACTTGCCAGTGGAGTTCTCAAATATTGAGAATGTTGACCATCTTTGGGCCCAGAATTTGAATCAACTTAAGACATAAGGTATATTTGTATTGGCATAACATTATCTTCGAACCCAATCTAATATATAGTATAGATGAAAGATACAGCTAAATAGAGATTAAAAGAGAGAGAAAGCTCTCAAAATGCCTGCAAAAAATTAACTGATGGCCTTCACATTTCCAACAACCTCCTTTATGAAGAAACATTGAAAATGGTTTGCTTTAAAATTATTATTAAACTTTTTTTAAAAAAAGAAAAACCGAATCAGAAAAGTAACAAAATAAAAAAGGTAAGAAAAAGCAAAATTATGTATATATAAGGCTTACTTGTATCATAAAATGAATAAAATAGAATAAATTAAGTACAAATTTTCAGAATAATAATTGATTTACTTGTGTTATTTAGTACAGTTTTAAATTATATTTTAATGTTTGTTTTAATCTTTTAATTATTTTTCACCTGTTTCAATAATTTGTAAAGCTACCCAAAGTCATCTTGTAGGGGAGATAGGTGGCGCAGAAATTTAATAAAAATAAAATTATGTCATTTAAAAATATATACCATTGTTAACATTCAATTAATCTTTAAGTTTCAACAATAGTGATAATACAATATGAATCATAAATCAAAGTAGAACATTAACAATAAATTCTATCTAAATAAATCAGATCCAAGACTTAAATGTTAAAACTTTGTAGTAGGAGAACCTACATTTTCTTTGTATTGCAAGCCCAAATAACCATTTCCATGTTAAATTCTTTTTTTTTTAATTTTTATTATTTTATTTTCATTACAATCATAAGAAAAAAAATTCAGATACATAAGAACTTAAAATACAACACACAAATTCCGACATTGCTTTCAGTGACAACTATAGAGTATTCTATAATTAAAGCTAGTCTAGTATACTTTGTAGGAATGTAAGAGTTAGTAATATTGAATAGAAAATGGCAATTTAGGAAGAGAATTCAACTTTTAGAATGTTTCATTCTATTATAATTGTTAGGCTTTGCTGCCAAATACGGAAAAAATATACATTTTTCATTTTACATTTTCAATAGTTTTTAGAAAATGAATTATAAATTTTAGCAATATATATTTGAGTAATAATATGATAGAATGCTGTATATCAGTAAGTGATATTCACTGAAAATTTAATATTTTCTTCCATTGAAATTTCTATAGTTACATATAAGAAAAACATTGAAAACTGTGTGTGTGTTCTCTAATTCACATTTATACTTGGAACACATTGGGCCAGAATAAATTCTCAGACACTTTGAGGACTTAAAACATTATCTTGCTGATTTGAAAACGTCATGTAGTTAGTTCCATATTTTCTGTCCCCAAATGTTTTTTTTCTTGCATGCCACTATTAATCTTTTGATTTTGAGATGGTTTAAAAGGGAGGAGATTCTTTTTAGGAGGAAAGGGAAAGAAAATTACCCAGGCAATCCTTTCTGTGTATTTCCTCCATTTTTTTCTTTTTTCTTTTTGATATTTTTGTCTAGGCTTTAATTAGCTCTTCATAATCTTTCCAGTCCATGATAAGCAAGGCATGTCATTGTTTTCAGGACAAGCTGAAATAAAGCCATGCTAAAGAATTTGTATTCAGCTTGCTTACTCTCAGTTTCTTAGCATTGAAACAGAATTAGGGGAAGCAGATGATTAGCCACAAGGAAATCAATTTATTCTTTCAAAAATTAGAATGAGGAGGAAGTCCTGTCTTATACCCCAGCATAAAAAATGTCATAATCAGTGCTGAACAGGCACTCTTTAGATAAGAGGGTTTATATAACTAGAATTTCACCTTAATGAAATGAAAACTCTTTGTATTACAGGTTTTTACCTGGCTTTTATGCTGGAATAATAAGGCCCTAAAGATTTTTCTCAAAGACTTTGGAGGTGCCTAGATAAGTAACACTACCTTGAACTATAAATTACAGCTTGTCTATTTCAACCTTCCCCTAGTCTGATGTCTCATGATTTGTAATACCAGTATATCCAGGAGGCTATACGTTTATCTAATAATCTGTTTATCTTTGTTGCTTTTTTCTTAGTGTGGTTTTCTCTTTAGTCCACTGCAATTTCTAATAATCTTTGAAAGAAAATATTTATATAATTGAACTTTATTTTTGTCAGGTGTGCCGCCATATTAAGAATGGTGATATCCTTCTGCTGAACCGACAACCCACTCTTCATAGACCCTCCATCCAAGCCCATCGAGCAAGAATCCTGCCTGGAGAGAAAGTTTTGAGGCTTCACTATGCCAACTGCAAAGCCTATAATGCTGATTTTGATGGTGATGAGATGAATGCTCATTTTCCTCAAAATGAGCTGGGCCGAGCTGAAGCCTATGTATTGGCCTGTACAGATGAACAGTATCTGGTTCCTAAGGTAAATTGTTAAACATAGTATAACTCGTCATTGATGATAGATGCCATTTTCCATATTTGTTTGTCAGCCACATAGTCATTTTGAATTTAGTTAATGGTGGTTTTTACTGAGTCAGTATGTCAGGATGCATTATATCTTGGCAAAGAAGTAATTTATTGCCTCTAGCAATTATATCATGATGAGTTTTCTTTCTTCAAATCTTGGAGCCAATAAATTGCAACTGAACATAGAAAAAAGAAAGAAAAGTCCTTGAACCACCTTCCTTCCTTCCTTCCTTCCTTCCATCCATCCATCCATCCATCCATCCTCCCTCCTTTCCTTTCCCAACATGTCTAGCATGTTTATACTGGTGGCTTTATGTCTAACTACCTCCAATAAATTCCATATGAAAAAGGGAAGAAGTGATAGCATAACATGGGTTTAGAAATATAAATCCTGTAGTTCTATCTTTATTATGTCATATGATAATAAATGTCATATATTAACTACCACATAGTACAATGGTTCTCAACCTTTTTAATGCCGCGACCCCCAACTGGTCATAAGTCGAGGATACCCAACCGGTCGTAAGTCGAGGACTTACGTAGTGCCACCCCTTGTGCCGGCCGAGGCGTAGCTGGCACAGGCGTAGACGGCGCAGACCGACCACCGGCTGGGCCACCAACTGGCCCAGCCCAAGGGAGGTAAGGCACCCGCCGGGCCCCACGGGTGCCAGCAACCCTCCCTGTGCCCACCGGCCTCCCACCTTCCACCCTTGGCCCTCTTTTACTTACATTTTTAGTAGTTGCTCAGCAGGGAGGGGTGGAAACTTCCAGATAACTCCCCTTCGCTGCAGACAACTTGCAGCACCGTTTTCAGAATGGGACTTTTGGCGGTCTCAGCAGGGCAGAGACAGCCTGGACAATTCCTATTGGCTTTCAAAAGCCAATAGAATAAAAGGGAGTAGCACAGCTAAGGAAAAGGGGAAAAAAATGGCGGACTGCTTTGTTTGGCGACCCCCGTGAAATGGTCGTTCGACCCCAAATGGGGTCCCGGCCCACAGGTTGAGAACCACTGACATAGTAAATACTTTTAAGGCAGGCAAATATGAATATTTTTCAGTGAAAAGGAAAAAATGTATAAAATACAGAGGCTGAAATTTTATTAATCAGTTTACATAGCTGTTATATTATCTTAGTCTATGTCAGCTATCTGTTAAACCATTGAAGAACTTGCATATTTTCCTGCTGTGGAATCAAGTGCAGGACCCGAAATCCAATAATCAAGGCTCACTACAGTAATTATTTATTCTGTGCACACTACAGATAAAAGGATACACTTAACATTTGTACATTTAGGAAAGGAAGAGAAAATGATGGTCATAGGAAATAGATGATATAAGAATAAATATTCATAATTAGAAAACCTCAAGTTACTGTCTTGCCCTTCTTCTGTTGGTATCATCTAAAAGAGTTAGTGTCTTAATAAAGTTGTGTTGCCATAAAAGTTTTGATAAGTGTACTGAGAAGAGAGGTCTTCAAGGCCTGAATTAGCGCACATTCCTTCTTTTCTATCTTGCTAACACTCCCACTTCTCCAGGAACTTGTTTTCCTCCTAGTTCTTCCCCCTCTTGACCTCTTAGAGGGCAAAATATATGTCTGAAAAAGACACAGTTTAGCCTAACACTGGACTGGAAACAATTTCTGAAAAGATCTAATGTCAGCTAGAGGAGCTAATCAATCTGGAGCCGGATTTTGCAGCCGGCCTGTCCCAGGTAATCATAAGGTAAGCTAATTTCATGGAGTACTGAGACTTTTTATCTTAAGGTAGGCATAAGCTGCAAAAATTGATATGTCAATTACAGTGATAATGAGGAGCCCTCAATGAGGTAACAGTTTCTGTGCATTCAGTTGGGCTTGTGATAGTGTGGGTTTGGACAACTAGTACTGTATGAAATGAGGTTAAACACCCAATTGCACAGGGGCTCGTGAGGCATGGGCTGGAAAGTGGAATAATTTTCACACAACAAATATCATCCCTTTAGTAAGTACAGAGGAGTTTGTACATAGCTGAGCTCTATTATTTGTGTGCCATTTTCATTTGAAGGTAGGAAAAGGCATGCATTTTTGTCATAATAACAAAACACTTGTACACAATTGTATCCTAGCAAAATTGTCCTTTGTTTCCACCCTGTATAAAGTTTGGTGAGCGTAGGCTCAATATACAAGAGTAGTTGCTCTTTAGTGATCGAGGCTGAGTGGTTTATGTGTTGGGGTAGTTTTCAGAGTACCTCCTATGAAGCTTGTTTTAAATACAGAATCCAATTTATTCCCTCTGTAGGGTAGAAAGACTCTCCAGATAGAATTATGGAGTAGTCTAAAATTAAATAAAAGTTATTGATAGAGAGCCAGCTCAGTGACTGTTGCATCCTCCACTTTAGCAATTATAAATAGACCTCGATTAATAACAGGAATACAGTGTTAGCAGAACCATCACTTTGCTGTGAGGCAGAAAGAAAAGAATAAGAATGTAATAAATTGAGTTAAATAATAATTATAGGAGCCTAAATATGAAAATTAAATTCCTATGAAGACTATTTCCTCAAAGTCCATTAAAACTTATCATGTAGTTCTTCTATCCTTCTCTATGGGAACTGCATATCTTGCCTTGCACTTTACACTCTTTATGTGATGAAATTAAGATCACAGTAAAATTTAAAGTCTGCATTAAAACTGGGTGTTAAATTAAAATCATTAAAACCTTTTAAATCCTACATTAGTTTTGTTTATGCTATGTAAAAACAGACTGAATGTATCACACTTTTTGTGAGAGTCACTAAAAAACAGGTTAGGCATAAAACTGAATCTTGTGGGGCATGCAATTATATATATTGAAGGCCCTGAAAAATAAAAACTAGTAGATAATAAAAACTTCTGTATAGTTGGAGAAAGAAAAAGCAGTTGCAATTTCAGTGGTATGAAAAGTCTTGCATTCTCCAGTTTGTTTAACAACACCAAAGGAAACCCCCAAACAAAACAAAAACATCACAATGAAACAAATTGCAGTAGCAACTTCTATCTTTACTCCTTTTGTTTTTGTTTCAACTACCAAAGAGTCAGAGTTCTTAGTAGCCTTCAATAAGTACTTAACAACCAGACCATTATGGAATGCAGCTGGCATTAGGTGAGGGGTAGCAGCTACCTTGCAAAAAATAGCAACTTTCTTTATGCTAGAAAAAAAATGTAAACTTAGATAAATAATAGTCCCTTGAATAATCTGAAATTATCCATAATACTCAGTACTAGCTTATCCCAACAAAGAAATGGAGTATGCTCCATACTTTGCTCCATGCTCAAGAGTTTTCAGCATGCAACAGTGAATCAACATATTGAGTCACCATTCACAGACAATATTCTCTTGGTTTTTAGGAGCCAAAAATGTAATACTAATGCTAAATTGCTAATATTCTCCCACTCCTCCAAGAACTTGTTTTACTCCCACTACTGACCTACTAATGTATTATTTGATTCCTCAGGATGGGAAACCATTGGCAGGATTGATTCAAGACCATATGGTGTCTGGTACTAGCATGACCACTCGAGGCTGTTTCTTCACTAGAGAACAGTATGTTGAGCTGGTGTATCAAGGGCTGATGGACAAAAAGGGAAAAGTAAAGCTGCTATCTCCAGCCATTGTAAAGCCACAATGCTTATGGACAGGAAAGCAGGTAAGTTAAAAATATCTTGTTTTTTTTAATACAAATACAATGCTGCTTACCCAGTCAACAAAACCTAGTATTTATTTCCAAGTACAAAAGAGTTCATTCTTTTGTATGTGTTTTGTATCGGTGTGGTTACATTTCAATCTTGACTCTTGGATATATTTCTTACATTGTTCTGACTTAATTTTATGAAAAAAATTTTATGAAAAAATGTAACAGCAATGTTGGTTAGTTGAAAAACAAAATTAGGCAACTTGAAAGATTACCCAAATAACTGCAAGTTTTCTGGTGTAATTTAATATTTATGATCTAATAATATGCGAATAAAAGTCTGGAGAATTTCCATCATTCCTTTTCCCTAACAGTTGTGACTTAAATCAGCCACAAAATTACTTTCTCCTCCCTCATTTCATTTGTTTTTGATTTTTTTAACTTGGAAACCTAAAAGCTAAAACTAATTTTGTTTCTTTCTATGTTTTTTTATTTTATTTGGAATTTTGTTTCATTGGACTCTTTTCTTTTCATATTTACTTCTGTTTTTAAAATTAAATCTATCATTTGTCATCTTGAACTAGGTTCCTTTAACTTTTGAATAACTCTCATATTATCTGTTCTTTTATTTTTATTGATATTATTACCCTCTTATTCACATATTCTCCTGTTTTTCCCTTCTCTTATTCCCCATCATGTTTGTTTCATTTTTTCCCCTTATTCTTCCAATTGTGGTCTTTTGAATAGATTTCACATTTTCTGTTTTGTAGTTTTAGATGTGCTGTAATGACTTTTCATGTTGAAATATCACTGTTGCCCTTGTTTGATTTATTATTTATGTAACCTGATAAGTTTTGCTCTGCTGTTTCTTCACAGATGAAACATATGTACATAAATATAGAAGTATGTCTTGCACATTTAAGCTATATTTCTGTCTTGTGTTTTTCTGTAGGTTGTTTCTACTTTGTTATTAAATGTAATTCCAGAAGGTCACTTTCCACTAAATCTGTCTGGGAAAGCTAAGATCAGCGGAAAAGCCTGGACAATAGCATCTGCCTGTAGAATTCATAGATCAGATCTTGACTCTATGTGTGAATCTCAGGTAAGAGGTGGCGCAGCAGTTAGAGTGCAGTACTGCAGGCCACTTTAGCTGACTGTGTTCAGCAGGTCAGTGGTTCAAATCTCACCGGCTCAAGGTTGACTCAGCCTTCCATCCTTCCGAGGTAGGTAAAATGAGGACCCAGATTGTTGGGGCAATGTAAATATATATATACATTGCTTACTGGTGTACACCGCTTAGAGAGTGCTTGCACTTAAAGCGGTATATAAGTCTCATAAATAAATAAAATAAAATAAATATGAAAAAGATGTAAGCTAGCCAAATGGATTTCATGGCTATTGAACTCTATCCTGAGGATTCTTTGGATCTTGTCTGCCATAACATGGAACTTTAGCAGAATTTGGAGGAAAGGGATCATGCTTTTAATTTGAAGGATCTTTCTTACCAGCCAGCTGGGTGAAAAATCTGTTCCATGATTAAAATATAATTATTTCATTAATCTTTATTTTGCAGCTATTTGTTTAATTATTCATACTTTTTTTAAGTTGGAGCATTTATTTATTTATGTATTTGTTTATTTATTTATTTAGGCAAAATAGGTATATGCATTTGTATGAATGAACAATTTCAGTCTAGATATAGGCAAGATTTAACATTAATTTCTTTTGCATCTGCCAGATTCTTATTAGAAATGGAGAACTGCTCTGTGGGGTCTTGGATAAAGCTCAGTATGGGAGCTCTGCCTATGGTTTAGTCCACTGCTGCCATGAGGTTTATGGGGGTGAGACTAGTGGAAAGTTGCTAACAGCTCTGGCTAGAATCTTCACTGCCTACCTACAGTTCTACAGGGGTTTTACAATGGGTGAGTAAAACTAATCCTTCTCATCCCTGAAACTGGGATAAGTAACATTATGCAAAAGAAAAAGGAATATTAGGTAAAAATAAAATGAGGCAGAACTTTCTCTGTTGGCTTGCCACAAAGTTAGTGAGGAAGATGGCAGGGAAGGTCACAAATTGTTCTTATAAGTCACCCTCCAACTCAGTCTTTCTTTGCTCATGTACACCACACCCTCCTTCCCACTTCACTCACTTGCACCAGTGCCCTCCTTCCTCAACCTCCTTGCTCTTATACAGGCATGAAACCACCAGTCCCTTCCTTTCCCAGCTCTCTGTGCATGCACCCTGTGCCCCTTTTCCCCATCCTCCCTTCTCTCGCACACATGCACATACCCCATACCTTCTTTTCCTGCCCTTCCTGAGCTTGGGCACATTGCATCACCCACCAACCTACACCCCAGGGCACCCCACACTTTGACTCCCTTTGCTTGCCACTTTATGATCCATGTGTTTTGAAATTATGATGACAATTGGATTGCCTGGGTTGCCATTGCTAAGCAATGTGGTCATATCATGTCACATGTTATGGCCATATTGCTTAGTGAGAGCAATCCCAGTCCTAATTGCCGTCTTATCTTAAGGATATATAAGGTAGATCAGACTAAGCAACCAATTCCATATACAAATTGTATATAGTTAAAACTACTTATTTAGTGACAATTCAGAATTATAGTGCTGAATAAGTTGTATTACCAGTTCTCTGCACATAGATGATTGTGATCTGGTTTCTTAGCAACTCTTGTGCTTAGGACAGTTACAGCATCTCATGTCATGTGATTGCCATTTGTGATCTATCCTGCCAATTTGCTAAAAGCAAAGTCAATAGGGAAACAAGTGGGGAAGGTCACAGGTTGCTAGGGTAAGTCTGTCCCAATTGGCAATAATCACCCCCAGTCCCCTTGTGTTATGCCATACTGGCATCTTTGCACCCTCCCATATCTGACAATCAGTTTCAGCCCTAACACCATTACACCTTGCCAGACACTGATACATCCTTACACACCCATTCAGGCCTGGCAACCACCCATATTCTCTGGCACTGCACCTGCTATCCACACAGCCTCCTATACCTAGTAAAAGATACTTGCCTGCCTGTTGGCCTGTTTGTCAACCAACTGAAATTTGCAACTTTCTGCTGGTTCAACCTCTGACTATGGTTGTTGGAAGCCAGCAGGACATTGTGAGGAGGTCCTCACTTAATCCATAATTGTTACTTAACAATGGCAATAGGGTTGCGGTCACTAAGCAATGCGGTCATGTGACATTGTACTTGATCATTGCACTGCAAGTTTGCATATGCTTCCCCTTCCCTCACTTCAACTTTGTGAATGATGGAGGGGCCTACCTAAGACATTTTCTCAAATTAGTTATTGGAATGAGCTTAAGCCCAACTTGTCTGACTGTTGTCTTGGTAACAACATTGCCTCCTGTACAGGCACATTCATATCTCAGACCACAGACATTCTGTATTTATTTATCCATTCATTTGTTGGTGTGTCTAAGGTGTGATTCTGAATATTTGTGACAAATATGCAACAGATAGCTACATCCTGATGCCAAACATTGCAGAATTCTCTCTTGAAGAACTCTTCAGTCTTGATAAATTTTAGGAGATTCTAAGTTTATACAAGCCACATGTTATACAACAACTGGGGAAACGACTGATAGATGGGACTGATGGCAATTTTCCACACTGAGGAACTACAAGCCAGTGGCACATCCTTGCTTGGCTTGAAGCTCTAGCAGCTGCTTCCAGCAATTATGTCAATATTTTGCAAGGAGGAAGGATATTTTCCTTATAGATAATTCTAATATTTTCCATAGAAGGAAACCTGTCTGTGTAATATAGCAAAAGTATTATAAAGAAAACATATTTTAAAATTAGAAAATAATACAATAATGAGAAACAACAAAACATGGAAAAATGTGTGATTTCTGTTTAAATGATTTGCAAAACTTATGCAATAAAATATTTTAAAAATATATTAATAAATAAAAAGAAATCTGAGAATATGTTCTAGTATTTATTTTTATTTATTACTAAGTTTTTGTGCTCTGAGAGGCATTATTACATAAATTTGCTTATCATCATAGCATCAATTATGGCAAATATTTATATCCCTCCCAGTGTAATGCAGATTGTATCATGGTGGCTTACTTACAACATTAACAATAATAAAAACAGAATACATTACTTTTCTAAAACCTCAAATGAAAACATTCTTTATCTTTCTATTCTAGGAGTTGAGGATATTTTGGTCAAATATAAGGCAGACCAGAAGAGGTGCAACGTCATTAAGGAAAGTACCAACTGTGGTATAAAGGTAAGCTCTTGCTTTGGAGTATGGTGGGTGAATCATCTGTCTTCATCAAGAAAGCGATGTTATATTCTCTAAAAAATTTTTGAACTTTTCAGGCTGTTAGAGCTGCATTTAACCTATCCCAAACCTCTTCTTGTGAGGAACTTCGAAGTAAATGGCAGGATGCCCATCTTCAGAAAGATCAAAGAGATTTTAACATGATTGATTTAAAGTTCAAAGAAGAAGTCAACTGTTGCAGCAATGAGATCAACAAGGTTTGTTTTACAAATTTGAGAAACCTCATACTTTATTTTTAATATGAATTCAGATCTTGGAAACATTTTTAAAAGAAAGTGTATGTACTTATTTCTTTGTGGAAAATATGTATATTTCAATCAATCAGAATAGAACTGGAAGGGACCTTGGAGGTCTTCTATTCCAGTCCACTGCTCAAGCAGGAGTATTATTTCAGACAAGTGGCTGTCCAGTCTCTTCTTAAAAACCTCTAGTGATGAACATCTGAAGGCAAGTTGTTCCACTGGTTAATTGTCCTCACTGTTAGAAAGTTTCTTCTTAATTCCAGGTTGCTTCTCTCTTTGTTCAGTTTCCAACCATTGTTTCTTAGCCTGCCCTCTGGTGCTTTGGGGAATAAATTGACTCCTTCCTCTCAAATAGTGGAATACTGCTATCATGTCCCTCCAGTCCTTCTTTTTTCTAGACTGGCCATTCCCAAATCCTGCAGCCGTTCTTTATATATTTTAGTCTCCAGGCCTTTAATCATCTTAGTTGTTTTTTGCACTTTTCCAAAGTCTCAACATCTTTTTTGTAATGTGGTGACCAAAACTGGATTCAGTATTCCAGATGTGGCCGTACTAAGACTTTATAAAGCACTACTAATACTTCACATGATTTTGATTCAGTATCTCTGTTCATACAACCAAGGATTGTATTGGCTTTTATGGCTGCTGTCGCACACTACTGACTCATGTTTAAGTGATTGTCCACTAGGATTCCAAAATCCCTCTCACAGTTACTGTTTTTGAGCCATGTTTTGCCTAATCTGTACTTGTACCTTTGATTTTTCGTGCCCTGGTATAAAACCTTGCTTTTTTACACATTACATATCATTTTGTTGGATAGGGCCCATTGTTCAAGGTTGTCAAGATCTTTTTGGATCCTGAGTTTGTCTTCTGGGTTGTTGGCTATTCCTGCCAGTTTAGTGTCATCTGCAGATTTGATGAGATCCTCTTCTATTCCCTCATCTAAGTCATTTATGAAGATATTGAACAATACTGGGCCTAAGACAGAACCTTGTGGTACCCCACAGCTTATTTCCCTCCATGTAGATGTAGCACCATTAAGGACTACTAATTGAGTATGGTTTGTGAGCCAGTTACAAATCCATCTGTTGGTGATACTGTCTCCCACATTTTTCTAGCTTATCTAGCTTAGTTGTGGTCTACTTTGTCAAATTTCTGTGAGCTATATATGTTGTAGGGGACTCAAACAGTAACATAATCTGCTCAATTCTCTATATATGTGCAAAAAAGCTAGATTTTGGGTTCAAACGCATACATTGATTTAGAGGATTTTAAAGATTAATATATAACTGAAATCAGAATTTTTTTCTCTGTGGACAGATGGATAAACAATTGGAAAAAAGTCGTGGAACTTTGTTTTTATATATAATAACCACAGCTAAGTTTTATGGACAAATATGGAAAGATTTGGCAATACCTAGACTGGAGAAATATTTGGTGACAATGATAGAGCTTGATGAGAGGGCCAAGCTAACCTATTGATTAGAAAAAAGACAGCATTTACATTTATTGCTGACTGGAAACTCCTTATAGACTTTTGTGTAAAACAAAAAAAAAAAATGAACTTAGATCAACAGGTTTGATGATTAGATAAAATAGATTATAGAAAGAAGAGAATCATTATGTAACTTTAGAGAAAAAGGTAAATCTACAATTGTACTTCCATAAAGAAGAATTGAAAGCCACTTCTTTATATATTTTTCTTTTCTATTTTTCTTATATTTTCTCTTTTTTGTAATTTAGTGTTCTTTTTATTATTTTTCTTTTTTCTCTTACCTTTGTTTTAATTTATATTAATCTTTACTATTTTTTTTAAAAAACTTTCAATAAAATTAAAATTATATTGTAAAAAATTGAAATATTTCTAGCTCTAGTTCAGGTATATGGATAATTATTGCTCTGTGACTATTTGTTTACGTGACATCTAATTAGAGCATCTCTCTCTGCTCTCCCATAATCTCTACTGGGTAGATTTGCCATGGCTTAGACTAACTTTCTTCTTTGCTAAAAACTCTAGGTGTGCATGCCTCTTGGACTTCACCGAAGTTTCCCAGACAATAATTTGCAGCTGATGGTACAGTCAGGAGCCAAAGGTTCTACTGTGAATACCATGCAGGTATGTATGTATTTATTAGTGGTATAAAGTCATTAAAACAGTATTTATGGTCCAGTTTCTAGTTATCTAATGCTGTTATATGAGAAAATGAATCATTTATTGTGTCTAAAAGAGGTTTATCTGATTAATTATAGCTGTGGAGTTTTTACATTCGTATTTATATCTTGTTATTTCTCTTGCCTTGAAGATTTCTTGCTTGCTGGGCCAGATTGAATTAGAAGGCCGAAGGCCTCCTTTGATGGCATCTGGAAAATCATTGCCATGTTTCCAGCCTTATGACTTTTCTCCCAAATCAGGAGGATTTGTAGCTAGTAGATTTCTTACTGGCATCAAGCCTTCAGTAAGTTAACACATATTGATTCATCTTCTCTGACATTTGTATCTGTCATACAATATGTTTATCAAAAAAGATGCAATATTCAAAGTAATAATTTTAGTTCATGTTTCATTGGCTTTTTAAGAGGCTAGTATGCTGTTACCTGTCATAAGGAAAAGTGTATTTTACTCACTGGAGAATCTATGTTTTCTAGGAATTCTTCTTCCATTGTATGGCTGGTAGGGAAGGTTTAGTGGATACTGCAGTTAAAACCAGCCGATCAGGATACCTTCAAAGGTAAAAATGTATTTTAAATTGCTTTAGATTTTTATATAGATTCTGCCTAATTTAAGCAGCTTTAGGATAAAAAAACAAACAAAACTAAGATATAGTGTGTAGTTGTATAATCTTAAATGGCTGTTCCTTAATGTGTGGCTGTTCTCATATAGGTGTATCATAAAACATTTAGAAGGGCTGATTGTTCATTATGACATGACTGTACGAGATAGTGATGGCAGTGTGGTTCAGTTTCTATATGGAGAAGATGGATTGGATATCCCTAAGACACAGTTCTTGCAACCCAAGCAATTTCCTTTCATTGCAGATAATCACAAGGTAAGTTTGGGTATAGTAGGAAAGTGTATTAAGTTGGGCTGTTATGAAAGTAAGAAATAGAAGACTATTTTAGACTTTCTCATAAAAGAATCAGAATTTTTCTTTATGGATTATGAAAAAAGGAGAGGAAGGAAAAATATATTATTTTTTCCAGAAGTTTCATTTCTGCCATAATCGTGTCACAATAGTACTTATAAACTAGTTCTCCCTTCTGGCTCATTAGCTTCACCCTGTGATCCTACATGCTGGATTGTTCCAAGTCATTGGCAGCAAGCTGAAATTGTTTAATGTGACTTGTATTATTGGACAAGATCAAAACCCAGGAGGTGTTAAAACTGGGTTTTAAACACTTCCCCAATCTTAATTTTAAGACTAAGGAGTAAGATGGCAATGATTCTCTGGGAGAATCTGACTGTGACCTGACTGGAGGTGGCTGGATCTGAGGCCTTGTTTTGAAGTTCAGCTTCAGAGATAATCAGGAAATGCTTCTGGTATATTGCCCACCCTGTAGACTTCACTGCTAGGGTTATGGTTAATTCTCACTTTTTGGTGCTTGGAGATTTCTTAAATCTGGAGTTAGGGTTGATTTGGAATTTCATGGCCTTTGGGACATTATGTGCATAAACCCAAATCCATGAAAATCTACTCTTCAGGATATTTGGAATGTTATTTCAAGGTGGAGATCATAACTATGATTTCCATTTTATGGTCAGATCACTTTCTGGTTACTAGAAGAATAATTAGCTCCACTGGAGTGGTGAAAGACTGGAAATGATGGTCTGGTTTTTAGTGAGTATTTTTGTATCATCACTGGCTTGAGGGCATTCTTTTACAGTGATGCCATTGCTTTCTGGCTAAACAGTTTTAATTGATACTGGTGGGGAACATACTTTGTATGATGGAAAATACTCAACCTTCCAAAAATTAAATTTGTGCATTTATTATAGGTGATATGGAAATCTAAGCATTTAGATGAAGTTATGCCAAAAATGAATCCTCAGCAAGCATCTAAACAGTTTAAATTAATCAAGAGATGGCAAGCGAAGCATCAACAGTCTTTGAGAAGGAAAGGAGGCTTTTTGCTGTTTTCGCAAGAAATGTTGGCTTATATAAAAGCTGAGATGTCTACAGGAGGATCACTTGTATATGGCCGAGATCCTGCAGCTGTTAAGGTTATTCCACAATTGATAAATATATATTTCATTATTCATTGAACTATGCTGTAATATTCAAATAAATAATTCACCTATCTCAAATGTTCACTTCCTTTTTGAATTCTGGCATTACAGCTGTTAAATATGTGGTATGAACTGAATGAAAAAACCCGGAGGAAGTATCAAAAGAGGGCAGCAAGATGTCCTGATCCTAGCCTTTCAAACTGGCGGCCAGATATTTATTTTGCATCAGTGTCTGAAACATTTGAAAATGAAGTTAAGAATTTCCTTGGAGAGTGGGATGCTCAGAATAGGCTTAACTATAGCAAATCGGAACTTTCTTTACAGAGGTAGAAATTTCATTTATGTTGATTTATTAACCACAATGCTTCTTGTTTAGAGTCTAGCATATCACACCTATGTTTTATCTGTCTTCTAAAAACCATTGGATTTCTATCACAGAATAGTAGCACAAAACCTCATTGATTTGAGATTTTCAGTTTGTATCAATCCATTTATTATTATAGAAGCTTCTTTATCCAGTAAGAAATTCTTTTAGTCTCTAAAAAGATTGCTCAAATCTAAAAGATTAAGAATATAAGCTTTTTTTCAAAAATAAGTGAATAGTATTTTGTTGATTTTTTTCAATCAAAAATGAAGTAACGAATTTCATCTTTGCTTCTTCCTTTCCATACAATTGCTTTTTCAAGTAATAATTGTTGTAATGAGGAGGCTGTGATTGCTGTTAATCACTTTTCTAAGTTGGAAATTAAATTAAAAAGATGCTGCATTTTCTCTTGAGAGAGAAATATATAAAGATGAAGTGTGTGTTTATCCATTTTTGAAATAAAGCAAACAAATGTGTTAGCTATGTCAGAGGTCCCCAACCTTTTGGGCACCAGGGATCAGTTTGGTTGAAAGAGGTTTTTTCCACGGATCGGAGGGGGCGTGGTTTTGTGTGCTACCTGCATCCTTCGGATGGGGTTTTGCTTGTTTGTGCGGGCTGGTTGCTGGCATGCCGTGGCCTGTGTACCAGACCCCTGAGGTTTGTAACTCCGTCATGCAGATCCTTTTGGATGTAAGCCATGCCAATCTCAAAGGGGCTTGTTCTTAACTCGGGTAGATTGAAGTATGAAAAACAAATTAATTAGATGATGCATGATTTGATGTATAAATGATGAAACAAAGCATTAAAGTCTTGTTCTTTGTGAACAGATGCAATTTGGACTCTACATTAGAAAGTAAAATTGCAGCACTAGGTTATGAACATATTCCACACAAACAGATGATGATAATATTAATCTAGAGAGTTTTGTAGAATTGTTTCTGGAAATATTATTTAGTCTATTTTTTCATTATGTTATTTTGATTATGCATTATTGCAACTTTATCCCACTTACAATAAAATGCTTTCTATATATTATTTTTACAGAAAGGCAGAAACTAAATTAATAAATTAAACTACCAAATCCTTTCTTGGTGTCATTAGATTACAGGAGCTTCTCTGTTTAAAATGGCAACAATCACTCTGTGATCCTGGAGAAGCTGTGGGACTTCTTGCTGCTCAGAGTATTGGAGAACCGTCCACCCAGATGACCCTGAATACCTTTCACTTTGCTGGAAGAGGTGAAATGAATGTTACCCTTGGTATCCCAAGGTAAGGTAGCCTCTCACCTTTTTTTAATGGTTTTACTGTTCCAAAATGCCTACATCTCATTCTCTTCCCATGCTTTATTAACAATTTAGTATAACATGAGGAAAGTAGAAGACATGAAACCCAGGAGTCTGTTTATCCTAAACATTCTTTTTTAACAGTTATCCCCAAAATAAGTGAGTTTCTCCATTATTTAATATGACAAAATGCTTTTGCCGTTTAATGATAGATTAGTGCTAGAATGTGCAAAATATAGTTCTCTAGATATTAGTAAATTATAGCTTTTATGAGTTCCAGCCAATAGGACTAATGGTGAATAATTGCTGTCCAACAGTACCCAAAATTACATTATCTTGTTCAGTCCTGAGATAATCGAAGGATATCTTATTTCAAGCTTTCAATAATATTAACAATAACAATTGATTAAATTTTGATAGTGCCCAATACCCAATGTCTCTAGGTACCTCACAACAATAAAAGAAATTACAGTAAAATCAACAAAAGATAAAAGATGGCAAATGTGACAGACCAAGTTGAAGGAAGCAAGGAGGTCTTGCAGTAATTTTTTATTTTATTTATTTATTTAATTTGTTTGCTGCCCATCTCATTGTAATGGTATTAAGCTCCTTTTTTAGCTGGATGGAACTTACACAAGTTATCCCAAAACACTCAGTACAGTGGAATAAAAATCTTAATTGCATATAACAATCAATTAAATCACTTAAATTGGTTTGATTACATTGTATAGGAATTACATTAAAAGAGTTATTTGATTCAGATTTATTATTACTGCATGTTGCTTTGATTTATTTAGTAGAAAAGTAGGATTCCGCCTTACTTTCTGCTGCTGTTATTATTTTGGTACTTCAGGTTTTGATAGTTCTCTTGCTTAGATAAATGAGTTTCTTCCTTCTGGAGAGAGTGTTTTAGTCCTGTTTACTGATACTGAAGGCAGCAAACAAAGTCAGACTTGGAATGATTGTCTTAATTATAAGGAAAATAAAGTTGACCAAGTAAGAACCGAGTCACTTATATTGTTGAGCATTAACTGTATTTGCAACTAAATGTGCAATACTTCTTTGTTAAAGGTTGCGGGAAATTCTGATGGTAGCTAGTGCTAATATCAAAACTCCCATGATGAGCATTCCTGTTCTTAATACCAAGAAAGCTCAAAAAAGGGTGAAAAGGCTCAAGAAAAAGCTTAGCAGAGTGTGCTTAGGTGAGGTAAGTCCTGTATCATCACACCAGCTCTTGAGGCTTTTTTAAAAAAAGTAAATAGGGTTCTTTCATATTACTTTCTGCAGAATGGTTGCAGTTTCCTCAAGATGTGCCAGGCAGCCTTTCTTTTATTGCCTAGGATTTGAACTAATGGATTTTAACTGATTACATGTGCACATTTTTGTAATAACATTCTAGCTTTTTTTTTTTTTTTTTTTGCTTAATTTCGCAGAGACTGGTTATTTATAAATTCCCAGCATTGGCTCTTGTAGTGACAAGGTGAAGGAAGCATAGTTAGTGGGTATTAAACAGAAATGCTAATTAGAATAATTTCTGTTTGCTACTTAAATTTTGTTTTTTAACCACTTAAGAGTGCATTTCCATAAATAAAGAATTAATTGAGGGAAATCAGGAAGTGAAACTTACAAACTCCATTTTGCTGTGCTGTAAAGCACTTGAATTTGAGGTTCACTACCCAATTGAATCTAAATATTTGGTTCATGGGTAGAAAGATTGCTGGAGAGTGCAAAAGCCTTAGTGCCTTTTTTCATTTTATCATCTTGAAATTGTAAATTTTCTGTGGAGGATAGATTTGTTTTTTTTTTTTTAAAGTAATGGTCCATATTTCTCTTTTGGTATTAACTTTGTGACATGGACAGATGATTTAGAGCAGGGGTGTCAAACTCGCAACGTCATGTGACATGTCATGACGTACCGCGACTTTTTTTCCATTGCTGGCAATGGGGTAGGTACGGTTTTGGCATGACGTATCTGGCCTGTGGGCCGGTAATTTGACATCCCTGATTTAGAGAGTGAGAAAGTATGATGTTACAAATTGTTAGCATTCGTAGACATTCAAATATTCTTATTGTTTCAGGTGTTACACAAAGTTGATATTGAAGAAACTTTGTGTTTGGAAGGGACATTAAGCAAGCATCGCATCTACACCATCAGGTTTAGTTTTTTGCCTTATAAATGCTATCAAGAAGAAAAATGTGTGAAGCCAAGGGACATCTTACATTTTATGGAGACGAGGTCAGTATCTTCTCTTGAAAAGTTTCCAATTGTTAAACACTGGAAGATACAAACCAGTGAGAAGGAAATTGTGGGGGTCATGAGGGTCCTCACAAATTCCTGGGAGCCCAGAAGCATTGAAGATAGGAAGTGCAGATTTTGCTAAGCTCTCACTCCTAGGGCACTAGGAAAGGAGTCACATATGGGGCATGGCTGATGAGAGTGAAAGGTGCAATCATGGGTAGGAGCAGCCAGGAAGAAAATACAGCACTGAGCTCATTACTTTAGGTAACCACTGCTTTCTTAGGTATTTTCTCTCAATGGTTTCATCATCAATATCATTATTCATTTTGGAAAAGGAGATTTCACACAAATTAATGTATTAGCTTGCAGAGTTGCAGCATCACAATTTTTGGGAAATTCTGCCATAAATAATGTTAATAATAATAGCAAGATTTTGCCATTCTTTTTACTTGATGCATTCAGGACTGCCTCTGTAGTGAAATTTGTATGGAAGTGCAATGTCTATTCGATTGCCAAGAGAACAGAAGTCCGGATCAGAGGAAGAATATTTCTACTCTGACTTTTCTACTTCTTATCACATCCATATTTGGGTACCACAGAAAACTAAAAGATGATCTCATATTGCCCCACCAAAATGGTTACCGTCCATTGTGTTGCTGAAAGAAAATTTGAAACCTATCAGTATGTTTATGGACTTGTGGCAATCTTATTTTATTACTTTTTTATTTAGTTGTATTCAGTTATAACATAAAATTTGAAAATACAAAATAATAGGGTCAACAGTAGAAAAAGGGAAAACAAAAAAGGTGTGAAGAAAGGGAGGGGAAGAGACAAAAGGCATTAACTTCCGACTCTGTTGCAGTAAAATGAGACATTAAAATCAAATCTCAACTTTTTACATTTCTATAGTAGCATGCACTAGCCATTTCTGTATTGGCAAATCAGTCTAATTGGTAAAACCCAAAATTATGATATCCTTTTTCTTCACCTCAAGCACAAAGTCCAGAAGTGGTTTCCAAGAAGAAACAAAAGTACTTATGTTCTTTTCTTTTATCAGCACAGTCAATTTGGGCATCTCTGCTAATTCCATCAGCTTTTGTAATCATTGGTCCATGGTAGGAATCGAGACATCCTTCCTCTTTTGTGCATAGAGCAATCTTGCTGCCATCACCATATATAAAATCAGAGTTCCAAATTTTTTTACCAGTTCTTTTTCCATTAGGCCCAGAAGGAAAGTTTAATCTTTATGTTCACTTTTAAATTAAATATTTAATATTAAATATTAATATAATATATGAATTCTACTTAAGTGGCAATCTTATGATCTGTTTGTTTCTGTCGTTGTTTCACTCTGAGAAAATGAATACTGTCATTCCCTGAGAAAATGAATAGTTAGGCTGCACTCCACTCATCCATTTATTTAGGATTGGGGGTTAGCTACTGATTTACACTTTTAAGTACAGTTTTGCTCTTTACTGTGAGGGAAAAAAGTATTTGATCCCCTGCTGATTTTGTACATTTGCCCACTGACAAAGAAATGATCAGTCTATAATTTTAATGGTAGGTTTATTTTAATAGTGAGAGACAGATTAACAACAAAAAAATCCAGAAAAACGCATTTCAAAAGAATTATAAATTGATTTGCATTTTAATGAGTGAAATAAGTATTTGATTCCCTATCAATCAAGATTTCTGGCTCCCAGGTGTCTTTTACACAGGTAATGAGAGGTGATTAGGAGCACTCTCTTAAAGAGAGTGCTCCTAATCTCAGCTTGTTACCTATATAAAAGACACCTGTCCACAGAAACAGTCAATCAATCAGATTCCAAGCTCTCCACCATGGCCAAGACCAAAGAACTATCCAAGGATGTCAGAGACAAGATTGTAGACCTATACAACGCTAGAATGGGCTACAAGACTATTGCTAAGCAACTTGGTAAGAAGGTGACAACAGTTGGTGCAACTATTCGCAAATGGAAGAAACACAAAATAACTGTCAATCTCACTTGATCTGGGGCTCTATGCAAGATCTCACCTCTTGGGAGTTTCAATGATCATGAGAATGGTGAGGAATCAGCCCAGAACTACATGGAAGGATCTTGACAATGATCTCATAGTCACCAAGAAAACAATTGGTAACACACTACGCCATGAAGGACTGAAATCCTGTAGCATCCGCAAGGTCCCCCTGCTCAAGAAAGCACATGTATAGGCCCGTCTGAAGTTTGCCAGTGAACATCTGAATGATCCAGAGGAGAACTGGGTGAAAGTGTTGAAGTCAGATGAGACCAAAATCAAGCACTTTGGCATCAGCTCAACTCACTGTATTAGGAGGAGGAGGAATGCTGTCTGTGATCCCAAGAACACCATCCCCACCGTCAAACATGGAGGTGGAAACATGCTTTGGGGGTGTTTTTTTGCTAAGGGGACAGGACAACTTCACCACATCAAAGGGACGATGGACGGGGCCATGTACCGTCAAATCTTGTGTGAGAACCTCCTTCCCTCAGCCAGGGCATTGAAAACGGGATGTCAATGACCCAAAACACAATGCCCAAGGTAACAAAGGAGTGACTCAAGAAGAAGCATGTTAAAGTCCTGGAGTGGCCTAGGCAGTCTCCAGACCTTAGCCCCATAGAAAATCTGTGGAGGGAGCTGAAGGTTCGAGCTGCCAAATGTCAGCCTTAAAACCTTCATGACTTGGAGAGGATCTGCAAAGAGGAATGGGACAAAATCCCTCCTGAGACGTGTGCAAATCTGGTGGCCAACTACAAGAAACCTCTGACCTATGTGATTGCCAACAAGAGTTTTGCCACCAAGTACTAAGTCATGTTTTGCAAAGGGGTCAAATACTTATTTCACTCATTAAATGCAAATAAATTTATAACATTTTTGAAATGCGTTTTTCTGGATTTTTTGTTGTTATTCTGTCTCTCACTGTTAAACCTACCATTACAATTATGGACTGATCATTTCTTTGTCAGTGGGCAAATATACAAAATCAACAGGGGATCAAATACTTTTTTCCCTTACTGTAAAACACTGACTTTTTAAAAGTAAGGTTCTACATTTAGGCAAGAAAAACCAAATGTACAGGTATAGTATTGGTGGTACCTTGCTCAATAGTAGCAACTGTGAGAGAGATCCTGGAGTCTTAGTGGACAATCACTTAATATGAGCCAGCAGTGTGCTGCAGCTGCCAAAAAAGCCAACACAGAACTAGACTGCATTAACAGAGGGATAGAATCAAGATCATGTGAAGTGTTAATACCACTTTACAATGCCTTGGTAAGGCCACACTTGGAATACTGCATCCTGTTTTGGTCACCATGATGTAAAAAAGATGTTGAGACTCTAGAAAGAGTACAGAGAAGAGCAACAAAGATGCTTAGGGGACTGGAGGCTAAAACATATAAGGAACAGCTACTGGAATTGGGTATGTCTAGTTTAATGAAGAGAAGGACGAGGGGGGACATGATAGCAGTGTTCCAATATCTCAGGGGCTGCCACAAAGAAGAGGGAGACAAGCTATTTTCCAAAGTGTCTGAAGGCAGGTCAAGAAGCAACAGGTGGAAACTAACCAAAGAGAGAAGCAACCTAGAACTAAGGAGAAACTTCCTGACAGTTAGAACAATTAACCAGTGGAACAACCTGACTCCAGAAGTTGTGAATGCTCCAACACTAGAAGTTTTTAAGAAGAGACTGAACAGCCATTTGTCTGAAATGGTATAGGGTTTCTTGCCTGAGCAGGGGATTGAACTAGATGACCTCCAAGATCCCTTCCAACTACATCATCATCATCATCATCATCATTATTATTATTATTATTATTATTATTATTAAAATGATATCATTACTGAGATAATTTTTCTTCAGTATTACTAAAATATTTTTCTCTTAGGGTACAAAGTAAAATTTAGACTTCGGAATCAAAAATATCTAATTTTGTTTAAAAAATATTGTTATGAATAATGTTGTTACAAAATGATTTGAAATTTTCCTTTATATTTATCATCTGAATTGATAGATCTAGAAAAGTATATTGTAGCATTGAATAGTCTGGAATCCAGAAGCTGTATTCTGTTTCTCTTATCCATCCTACCCAGATTTTTTAAAATGTTGCTGGAAACAATTAAAAGGAAGAGTTTAAAATTGGCATCTTATAACACTGTCAGCACTCGAAAAGCAATTCAGAAAGATTTAGAAGATGAGGAAGAAATTGGTGCTTCACAGGAAGACCAGGTAAAGATGTAAACCCCTTAGCTCACGGGTGTCAAACTCACCATGTCACGTGACGTGTTGCGACATATCGTGACTCTTTTTGCATTGCCACGGCATGGCTTCAGTATGATGAAACTGGCCCACAGGCATACATGCATTCTTCAAGAGTACTTTCCCTGGTTTCTCTTCAAATTATATACATACATATGCTTTTTTAAAAGATCAAGTTCATTTTTCAGTTGCCTTTTTTGGAAAATGTTTCATGTTCTGCTACACAATTACATTACATACTATATTTACATATTAAGCATATAAATTGATATATGTAGTCCATATTTCTAGTCCTCTATGACAACATTCTTATTCAAATACAGGAAGAAAAGGTAGTTTTTATACCATTGTATAGAAAATGTGTCTTTTCTAGAAAAACATTATCTCGAAAGAACAATAAAAATGCCTTAAAGTCTAAAACATTGCTAAAAAAATTAGGAGTGTATATGACATTTGCTATATATAGTAAATATATGGAATACAGGATATTAAAAACAGAAGTCATATTTAGAGAATAAAATGCTGAGATTCTTCCTTTTGAAAAAATATTTTTTTCTGAGCAAAATTTATTTGTGAAAGAATCTTTGTCTAAGTACCCTTTATAGATCGTGATCAGTTCATATGAACAAATATGACACTATGGTACTGAAAGCTGCATTTCCAACAACTAGCTGAAGCCATTAACATCTCTTTTAAAAGATGCCTATTTATCTCATAAAAATAAAAATACCTTTGTTGAATTAAATAATTTTAAATGACCTGACATATTAATGAAGCCTGACATATTAATGCCAAATAGATGTTTGTGTGTCAAATATTTTATTTATATCTTGCCTTCCTCTATTCTTGAACTTCTAATTTTGTGTACTCTTAACAACTATTTATGGATAGTTATCACAGGCTTTTTGCTTTGCTGTTTTAAAAGATCAGTTAAATCCAGTTGTGCTAGAAGTTCTGAAGCATACATAGTTGCTACCCCACATGCAGGGGTCAGAAGATACTGTAAGCACTGTGTCCCTTAGCACTTATTAGTGCAATTTAACAAATAATGCAATACTATATTGTTTATATTGAGGCCTTTGAACTATGGTGCTGGAGAAGACTCCTGCGAGTGCCTTGGACTGCAAGGCGTTCAAACCGGTCAGTCCTAGAAGAGATCAACTCCGACTGCTCTTTAGAAGGCCAAATCCTGAAGTTGAAACTCAAATACTTTGGCCACCTAATGAGAAGGAAGGACTCACTGGAGAAGGGCCTAATGCTGGGAAAGATTGAGGGCAATAGAAGAAGGGGACGATAGAATGAGGTGGTTGGATGGAGTCACTGAAACAGTAGGTGTGAACTTAAATGGACTCCAGAAGATGGTAGAGGACAGGAAGACCTGGAGGGACACAACTTCGCAATTAACAACAACAACAACAATATTGTTTAAAGCTATTAAATTATTTTAAGTATTGTTACAGATTAGGAGGAGCTACCAGTCTGGCGTATCATAATCTGTCTGTATGGGGATTTCTTAAAGTTTTCTCTTTTCAGTTTAGATCTAGGAAAATTTTTAAAAATGCTTTGAATTTTCAGTTCTAGAGTCTGGCAATATTGAACCCAGCAAAACTTTGCCAGTTTTTACACAAAGACAAAACTTACAGTTATGTGAAAAAGAAAGTACATCCTATTTGAGTTCTATGATTTTTACATATCAGGGCATATAAAAATCATCTGGTCCTTAGCAGTTCTTAAAAGTAGGTAAATACAACCTCAGATGAACAACAACACATGATATATTACACCATGTCATTATTTATTTTACAAAAAGAAAGCCAAAAATAGAGAATCTTAGTTTTTCACATATGACTTCTCCATTTTGGCTTTCTTTTTGTAAAATAAATGATGACATGGTGTAATATGTCATGTGTTCTTGTTCATCTGAAATTGTATATACCTACTTTTAAGAATTGCTAAGAACCAGATGATTTTTATTATGTCCTGATATGTAAATCCATAGAATTCAGAGGATGTACTTTCTTTTTCACACGACTGTAAATGATAAACATATTCATTAGGAAAAAGGGAATAATAAGGCAATTGTTTCTTACAACACATTTCCAAATATAGATGAATACATTTAACTTTACTAAACTAATCACATATTAACTGAGTGTACATATAATGTAAAATACGAAAATTATTCACTGGTAACTCGTGTCTGGAGATTATTAGGCAGGAATTTCTTCTGTCTCCTGATTTTTCAATTTTATAAAATGTGGAGAAATATAGAGATGTATAATTGTGTTGCAGTTTCAGGCAAAAGATTCCTTCTCTGAAATTGGGTAAGCCAGAAAATTTTCTAGTGGCTAAATTCTCCTTCCTAGGCTTTTAACTTAAATGATTAAAGCATTAGTTTTTACCAATTACGCTCTTGTACAAAAAGGAAAATTTTGGATAGTTTCCTCCCTCTCCCTCAGGAAATAAAAAGATAAATTCTACCTATTCCAGTCCTCTCAATTAATCTGCTGATTTAGAGGGACAGAATTTATTGTACTAGAAAATAGAGATTATCCCATGTATTATATATTCTCACATAGTTATATTAATTTTGTATAAACAGCTAATTAAATTATCAAACAATTCAAACCAGAGTTGGGGTCCTATTGCCTATCACGTTTCTGTAGCAACTAGGATAGGATGAGGAGAAATTTCATGTCTGCTGAGGATGTTGGAGTCTTAAGGGAAACTTCCATAATTAAAGATGATATGTGACATTTCATTTAACTAGGGTTACTTTGAAATCTGTTAGAAAAGAAAATATATTATGTAGTAAAAGGATTCCTACTTCTACCGACATAGAATGATAATGAAGCTGAAACTGAAGAAGACAGATTTCCTGATAGTGGAATGACTGAAGGTGATGCTGATGCTACAGATACAAAAAGAAAGGAAAATCAAGAAGAAGAGGTAATGATACATTTCCTTTGTTTTAATAAGATGGCATTAGAAAATCTGTCCATCACAAAAACTTGGAATTAAAGTATATTGAATTTGAGTCAAACAATATCAAACAATCAACACTTGATTTTAGTAGATAACTAGTAACATGTAATGATAAAGGTATTTGACTAGGATTGGTAAGTTCCATGTTCAAATCTACCCTAAACTGTGAAAACTTGCTCTAAGCCCAACATATTTCATCCGGTTTTTGTAGAAAAGTGAAGAGGTCGTGCTTTTAAATTGTGCATTTGCTCCTGGGGAAAATATGGGATATAAATTTAATTAAGTAAAAGAGTAGATAGGCTGTTCAAATTTTAAAAAGTCAGAAATTATCTCCATGTTGAAAAGAATGTTAATCTTGTATATTTGTACAAACCTTATTCATAAGGAACTTGTGGATATAGGAAGTTATGGAAAGTAAACTATATTTGATAGTCTTCTCTGTGCATGTCATTGCCATTATTTTTTTAGACTGATGTGTACAAAGTAATACTTGAAATGGAGATCTAAATACTCTAAACCAGATGGAGATTTATAATGGATTTAATAAGGTACTGAAAGCTAAGCCCAATATTTGTCTCTATTAATGCAAAGGTTTAGGCACTGTTGATGAAATTTAACTGAAGTTGATGCAACCTCTGCATGGTACAGAGTTGGTTTACATAGTACATATTTATTTCTGCAAATTTGGATGAAAACAATTTATGTGCACCTGTTTACAGATTCAAAATGAGAAATTGAATACACCAGATGCAGCAGTTTGAACAATCTTTCAGTTGATTCAGTGCTATTTTTTAAAAAAAATATACAATTATTGATAAATTTCAAACATTATTAGCTTTTTAGGTCTAGTTTACTGATAGCTAGGTAAAAACTAATATTCTGATTGTCTTCATAGATTATTGTTATTTTGTCTATTTTCAATAAGTTTCTCTAAAGCAACTATCTGCATATTTGAAAAGGAAGGTAATTCACTTTAGAAATCAAAGGAACATTATTAAGAAATCTTGAAATATTTACAGCTAGACATTTACATAAAACTATAGAAGTTAAGGCAAGATCTAGAAATTTTGTTAGAACTACCTGAAAATTGATCGGATCTGCATATTAAAACTCACATATTACTGCAAATATTTGGCTGGATACGTTTAGATGACATTGGCATTGTTGTCCACAGTATAACAGAATAACAGCTGGAAAGGATCTTGGAGATCTAGTCCAGCTTTTCAAACTGTGGTATGCATACCACTTGTGGTACATTAACAAGTGACAGGTGGTACACAGTCCTGCCTAGCCAAGTGTAGTGGGGGAGGGGAGCGCAGGCAAGGACTTACTGTGAAAAAGTCCTCTGGAGCTGCAGAGTGGCTGGGACAAGGCAAAAGCCCCAGGCTCACTTCTGGCTCACTTTCCCCCGTGAGAAAAGAGGAGGAGGGGGCAGAGACAGAGACAGGAGAGGCTATAAAAGGAAGCAGTTTGGGCGAGAGAGAGAGAGAGAGAGAGAGAGAGAGAGAGAGAGAGAGAGAGAGAGAGAGAGAGAGAGAGAGAGAAAGAAGCAGCCTTGGGAGGAGGTGGAGTCAGCTCTAGCTGCACTGAAGGAGGGTGGGAGGAGATCAAACAGGCTGGCCATGAACCGATCTACAACTTCTGTGGCAGCCAGCTGTGCTGGCAGCAACAAACAGGCAAGAAATGCAGCAGGGTAGGGGTTGCCCTCCACGAGGAATGAAGAAATATTGGAAAACTGCTATCATAAAAAGAAGGATTAGGGGTGCCCTAGTCCTTCTCTTTATTAGATTGGACATAACCCAATTCCTGCAACTGTTCAGCATTTGGTTTAGCTTCCAGCCCCCTAATAATTTTTGTTGCTCTTCTCTGCACTTTTCTAGAATCTTAACATTATTTTTGTATCACATTACCAGAACTGGACGCAGTGAGGAATCCAGCAGTACTAACATTTCACATGATCTTGATACTCATACATTAGAATACAATAGCAATCTGTACATAGAAAGATTCAACTAAATATCAGGATATTCCAGAAACAGATGCTCCATGGACAGTAAATAAATGGAAACACCTATAGAAAAGACAAATAAAACTTTTCAAATGGTCTCCATAGTTCCCTGAGCAGAATATTCAATTTATGGAAAAATCATACAATTTCTGATGTATATGAGGAAACCTTAAACTATTTCTGAACTAGAAAATTTTTGCAAGGGAAGCTGGAAAAACAACTCAAAATCAAACCAAAGAAAGACTCTGTAGGCAGCTATAGGAAATGTTTAAAAGTGTCATTTCTACCAAAGAAAGTGCTACAAATCGTTGACTAAAAGAGTATCCAAGCTGCAAATATTGTTTGAAGGCATCAACTCCTAAAAATGATCTATAATTATATTAATATTGTTGTGACAAAGCATAATCGTCTATCCATACATGGTGTATCTATAAATGGCAACCAAATTAGCAATAAGCCGCTTTTAATAGCCATGGGGGGGAAAAATGGGTTTCAGTTATTGGAGAGTTTGACAATGTGGCATATTTGGGCAATGCAAAGTTTGCTCACTTTCAGTTTCATTAAGTGGTTTCTAGTTCAGTCCTATTTCCTGTACAGTAATATAATGATATCCTTGGTAAGGTTACTTGAGCATAATTTTCTCTCTCATGCTGTTTAAATATATTTCTTATTTTAAGGAAAAGATTAATGAAAGCAAAATACTTGAATTTTTTCTTTACATTTTAAAAAAAATCCTTTGTGTGTGTGTGTGTGTGTAAAATTTCTAACATTACCCTTATTTTTTCACATTAGTCTTATTCAGTGTGGGATTCAAATAATTTAACAATGGCTCTAATGACCATTTTAAGTATAAAAAAACAATATACCGAAAGGTAGTTTATTATTTCATGCATTTAATACTTAAATAAGAACAATAAAAGAGGTACACAAAACTAGATTATGTTATTAAAAAGAGTTTTAAATATTAATGAAAAAATATTAAATAATACCTGACAAAAAACAATAAAACTGTTATTTAAGATATTTCCATATTGCTTCCTGATTGGCATCCTTACTTGCAATTTTCTTCACTTTTATCCGAGCATCATGAGCTGTGTCATTTATCTTTAGCCATCTTTTCACTGTAGGAGTAGGATCCCGGTTGTGGCAGGAGGCTGCGAGGCTCATCACAAACATCTCGCCGATGCTGGTGCTTGCAGCAGAAGGCCGCTCAACGCATCATGCTGATCTCACCATTGTGGCAGGTTGCGCAGCTCATCGTGCTGCTGCCGCTGCTTGCATCAGGACGCCACGTGGTGCATTGTGCCAGTTGTGCTGGTGCCACTACTTGCGGCAGGAGGCCAAATGATATATCACACTGCTCGCGCTGGTGCCACCACTCACAACAGGAGGCCGTGCAGTGCATCATGCCCATTGCACCGCTGCTGCTGCTTGCCTTGCGGCCTCCTGTGGCAAGCAGTGGCACCGGAGTGATCAGTGCGAAGAGCCACACAGCATCTCGCTGTGAGCAGCAGCAGCGATTGATCAGCATGAAGAGCCACATAACGTCCTGCCCAAGCAGTAGTAGCAGCACTATCAGCGCGAAGAGCATCGCAGCGTCCTGCCTTGAGCAGCGGCAGAAAAACTCAGATTTATCATAACTGATTCACTGAACTCAATAAAAAATTAGGTGTTGGTTCTGCCGAACTGGTGTGAACCAGCTGAATCTCACCACTGGGACTCTTATTGCATTTTGGAGGTGGAGGGAAGGATTAAGTAAAAATAGTTAGAGGGTTTTGAATGGTTTTAAAAGCATCAATGATATTGTTTGCTTTTCCTATTTAGTGAAACTGAATATGATTCAAATATGTTTCTTCGCAGGTTGATTATGAGAGTGAGGAAGATCATGAAATGGGTGATGATGACGATATTCCAGATCGGGAAATGACTGCACCGGATGAACAAAATCCTGAGGCATTGGAAACTCAGGATAAGCTTTATTCTTCTTCTTCTTCTAGTCAAACAGCTCGAAGCAAGAGAAAACGATGGAATGAAATGGCACAGCATAGAATTAATGCTGTACTGGAAAGCCATGATGCTATAGAAAAATATGCATATGACATTGATAATGAACTGTGGTGTGAGGTAAAGTTATTGAAACAGCGAAGAAGAGTTTTGGATTACAGAATTACTTCAATATTTTTGACTATGCATGTAATTGTTTTTTTCCCTTAGTAGATATTTATTCAATTGCATTGCGTGTACATCAGCTATACATTCAGGCACCCATTAAATTTGGTCTGCTGTCTTTCCAGACTGGGCTGTCTATAGAATTTAGCAATTTGATCCAAAGGAGAAAACTCCAGATGATTTGCGAGCTAAAGGAATTGCTCATTGTTTATTTATTTATTTATGCTTGGATTTTTCAAATCAGTTTAAGAACAAGATTTTATAATGGTTTAGATGTTTGAACACCTTTTTCACGATGGATGGAAAGTTTTTTATAATCAGAAAGTATTGTCTTGTAGGTTTCACTAAAGCTTTCTCTGACGAAGGAGTACTTTGATCTTGCATCACTTGTTACATCTCTGGCAAATAGCACTGTCATCCAGGAGACAATGGGAATAACACGATGTCTCTTAAATGAAACCAGCAACAAGAATGGAGAAGTGGTGCTCACTTTGCAAACAGAAGGGATAAATCTTCCTGAGCTTTTCTACTATTCTGATGTATGTAATGAAAAAGCTTTGAAAAAGTTGAAAGATAATTGGCATATATCCATAATTTTTGTTATACTGATATTGATAGCATTTTTATTGATTTCAAAGAAAAAGAACTGAAGAACATTTTCAGTGAAATCAATTAAAATTGCTATTAATATAATAGAAATTTTGAATGAATGTCAAAAAACTTTTGGATAAATGCCAAAATTTTAAATTTTGACAAAAGTTTTTGCTTTTGGCTTTGAATGGAGCTGTAACTGATAGTATAAAATTCTCTCTCTCTCTCTGTATATGTATATGTACACACACACACACACACACACACACACACACACATATAGGTCTTTGGTTATTCGGGTTTTCTCCCGCATAAAATTGGAAGTGTCTTGGCGACGTTTCGACGAAGTCTCATTTGTCATCTTGAGGCTGGTGTTTTCAGCTTCGTGCTTCAAGGAGCACGAAGCTGAAAACACCAGCCTGAAGATGACGAATGGGACTTCGTCGAAAAGTCGCCAAGACACTTCCAATTTTACACGGGAGAAAACCCGAATAACCAAAGACCTACATACAAACACCTGCGAAAACCTCAGAAAACATATAGATAGATAGATAGATAGATAGATAGATAGATAGATAGATAGATAGATAGATAGATAGATAGATAGATAGATAGATGGATGGATGGATATTTGAATTCCGAACTTTAAACTGTTTACAAATGGAAGATTTTGATAATTGGATATAGAATCAATCCAAAGAGAATATTGGTTTACAAAAGAAAGACCAATATGCATTAAACACATTTTCTGTTTTTTTTTTTTCTATCCAAATTGTTACAATTACTTTCCATGTATTTTTGCTGTGCACAATTACAGATTAATTCAAGAAAAGAGTGAATTGAAGCAAATAATTTGCACAGCTTTCTGGGAATAGACTATACAATTTAGGGATGTTATGAAGCCTTCACTTCATTTTTACTTCTTCAACTGAGTAATTGAATAAGGTTGTAATAGAGAAATATGCGTGTACATTTAGGAGAACAAGAGAACAAGAAAAAAATGAGTGTGAATTTTAGGATTCTTTTCTAAAACTTTGCAGGCTTTGTTACAAAAAAGTTTTGTTTGGTTGCATATTGTGCTTCTTCAGCTATAATTTTTCTTTGCTAATGTTCAATTCTGTTTTTCCCTAGCTATACATATTATTTGAGATAGATAATCTACTATTTGTTTCACTATGACTTCCCACATTTGCCATTTTTGTCTCTTTTAGATTTTTGATATGAATAAACTTTATTGCAATGATATTCATGCAATGGCCAACACCTATGGGATTGAAGCTGCTTTGAAAATTCTTGAGAGAGAGATTAAAGATGTGTTTGCTGCATATGGTACACCTTTTTATATAATATCAGCTGAATCTGATAGCATAGATAAAGCATTGTCTGTTATTGCAGGCTTGAAAGCAATTCATTCTGCTAGACTAGCAATTATTAAATATTTCTTTAATTTTGGTATTATATCACTATCAAAAGATTTGAAGATTGCCACATTTTGATGCCCATTCAAAAAACATTTTGTAGTAACTTCACAGACCATAAATTGGAAACCACTGGCCTATATTAAGCTTCTCATTCAGAGAATGTTTTTACAGCACAGATGATGAAGCTACAATCCATATTTCTTTCACTAATGTTCAGTATAATGGCATATTGAATTCCATCTATTATCAGAACAGTATCTTCTGTTGATCAAAAGATAGTACATTAGCAGATCTAGAAATCTCTCAATTGTCCACGCTCTCCACTCTACCTTATATTTAGGATGTTGCATAGAACAGTTGACCTAAGTAAAGCTTAATAGTGTAGCCTTCCTTCACTTGTTTTAAAGAACAGATAAATCCATTAAATCCTTTCAGATTATGTTATTGAGTCAGCAGTATGAACCTTACAATGTTGGTATTTAATAAACTACTTAATAAATAGTTTCAAGCTAGGTATGGAAGATGGGTTTATTGGAGTACTTTGTGCATTTCTTTATAAAGCTCTTTTAGGAGACATTGATACTTCTATTGACAGGAATTGTGGTTGATCCTCGACATCTCTCCTTGGTGTCAGACTACATGTGCTTTGAAGGTGTTTACAAACCTTTGAATCGGTATGGAATGCAGTCCAATTCATCCCCCTTGCAACAAATGACTTTTGAGACAAGCTACAAGTTTTTGAAAGAAGCAACTATGTTGGGTAAATACCTCACAATTATTATGAAAATACTAGCTTATATAGTAGGATAAATATTTTAATTATTAGTATCCAAAATATACTGATGAAAAATTATTTTTCTATATTCATATATTGCTTTTTTTGGTCTCAAATTAAAAACATCCAGTTCCAGGCAGCCACAATTGAATAAATTAATAATGTATGCACATTGTTCTTAAAAGGAAATAGTGATGGAAGTTTCACATATAGGTAATTCCTGATTAGTGATCATTTGTTCAGTGACTGTTCAAAGTTACTGTGGCACTGAATGAGACTTTCAATTGGTCTTCAGAGTTGTGTCTGTCTCAGCATCCCTGCGGTCACGTGTTTGGATTTGGCCCTTTGACAACTGGGTCACCATTACAGCATCTTGTGTTGATCTGATCACCATTTGCAACTTTCTCTTGTCTAGATTTTAAGTTCCCTTCAGAGTTTAGAATATCTTTATATGTCCATATTTTCTCAAGACTAACTAGATTTGAGTGTACGAATGCTTCCATTGTTGAAAGCCATCCTAGAATTTTCAAATATATTTTACATTTTATTTTTCCCCGTGTTAGTAATAATGCATTTCTAATATAGTGGTTTTGGAATTTTACTTTCCCCATACCATAGGAAAGCATGCCAACCAAGTTGTAAGTCATGTTCCTCTAGATACTACAATCTTTTATTTCTGGGGAATATTCATTCTTTTACCCATGTTAACACCAATGCTTGGTAATATAATACCCAACCTGGCAAACCAAAACCTCCATTTCCCTTTGCTTCATGTTACATTTTCAATTTAATTCTAGCTTTCTTTCCTTGCCAGATAAATTTTAAAATTAAGGAATTCAGGTCTTAAAAAAAATCTCTAGTTTTATAGGTATTGCTTGGAATAAGAAAAGTATTTTTGGTAATATATTCATTTTCACTGTAGCAATTCTCCCTAACATCAACAATTGCAGATTTTTCCAGTTTTCCAAGTCAAGTTTTATTTGGTTTAGTAATTTTATATAGTTATCTTCTTTTATCGTTGAACATCCTGCTGTCAAATATATTCCCAAATATTTAACCTTTTTAACTATTTGTAGATCTACTTTTTTGACAATTGATTTTTTTTTTGTTTCTCTAAGATTTTTAACTATCACTTTAGTTTTTTCTCTATCTTCAATCCTGTTGTCTCTCCAAACTGTTCTATCTTTTCCAATAATTTAGGAATCATCTCTAGGGGTTCCTCTAGGACACGGGTGTCAAATTTGCCGTGTCACATGACATGTTGCAACGTATCATGACTTTTTTTGCATTGCTGGAGCTGGGGTGGGCACGGTCTCTACATGATGCAACCGGCCCAAGGGCCAGCAGTTTGACACCCCTGCTCTAGGATGAATACCAGATCATCTGCAAATGCTTGCAATTTGTAGCTTTCACCTTTTATCTCCAGTCCTTTAATTTCTAAATCTTGTCTAATATTTAAAACTTCCAAGGTTAAAATAAATAACAATGGCGATAGTGTATATCCTTGTCTTGTGCCTTTTCTTATATCAGAGTTCTCTGTATAGTCTCCATTTACAATCACTTTTGCTGTTTGTTTGTGGTATATTGTCTTGATCAGATTTATTAAATTTTGTCCAAAGTCCATTATTTTTAGTTGTTGAGTCATAAATTGCCAAGAAACATTATCAAATGCCTTTTGAGTGTCTAGAAATACTAATGCCAGTTGCTTCCCTGGATGCATTTCATAATATTCCAATATGTCCATTATAATTCTCAAATTATTTTTTATTTTGTCTCTTTGGTAGAAATCCATTTTGGTCTGGATGTATAAATTCAATCAACAATCTTTTCAGTCTCTCAGCTATTATTGAAGTAAAGATTTTATAATCCGCATTTAATAATGATATTGGTCTATAGTTTTTTTATCTGTGTCAGATCTGAGTCCTTTTTTGGTATCCGAGTAATATTTGCTTCTGTCCATGTATTTGGGAGTTTAGCCTCCAACAGAAGTTCATTACAGACCTCTTTCAATGGTAAACTTAGTATATCTTGTATAGACATTTATAAAACTCTGCCAGGAGCCCATCTAGTCCCAGTGTTTTGTTGTTGTTGTTGTTATTATTATTGTTGTTGTTGTTGTTGTCTTTTTATAGCCTCTATCAATTCTCTCATTATTATTTTCTCATTTAACATAGTTTTGAAGTTTTCTGGGAGTTTTGGTAAGTTAGTTTTTTCCATATATTGAGTCATTTTCTCCCATGAAATTTCTTCCATATCATAGTTTCTTATAATATTCTTTAACTATCTTTTTATTGTCTTATTTTTAAATTGTAGATAGCCTTTTTTGTCTACTAAATTGTTTATCAGTTTTTTTTTCTCCTTCTGTTTTCTAAGTTTGTAAGCTAGCCATCTTCCTGGTTTATTTGCATTTTCAAAAAAAGTTTTGCTTTGCTCTTTTAATTTGCTGCAACAGTTTTTCTGATTATATTAAATTTAATTTATGTTTTATTATTTCTATTTGTCTTTTCAATATTTTCTTTTGTGGATTTATTTGTAGTTCTAATTCTAATTTTTTAAATTCTTCCCTTAACAACACACATTTTTCTTTATTCTTTTTAGCCATATATGTTATAGCTACACTCCAAAAGTATGCTTTGGTCATGCCCCATATGTTTTGCAATGTTGCATCTTCTTTTTTATTTTCTTTAAAGAAAATAAAGAACTTATTTCTTTTTCTTTAAAGAACTCCATTTTTTTCTTGCTAATTCTATAAATTCTTTCTCTTTTAATAGGGATTGATTCAAGGTCCATCTTACTTTTTTCTGTAGTCCTTTCCACGTCATTTTTAAGGGATTATGGTCTGCCCAAGTGCCTAATTCTATCTCAATTTCCTGCATATTGATTCTTAATTGAGGCGTCATCCAAATCATGTCAATTCTGGACCAAGATTTATGACTGTTTGAGTAAAATGTATATTGTAACTTTTCGAAGTTCGTTTCTCTACAGGTATCTTGTACACCAACTTCCTCTATCATGCTGAAAAAAGTCTTAGGCAGTCTCTTTCTTCCTTGTTTTCTTGTTTTGCTACTTTTTATTGTGTTAAAATCCTCTATTAAGCAAATATTTTGATATTCCATTTCTACTATTTTTTTATGAAGTTTTTGTTAAAATTCTTCTTGCTTATTATTTGGTGCATATATTATTACCAAAAGTATCTGTTTTTTTTAAACAAGTTTTATTAATTTTCCAGTTTTACATCCAAGTATTTAGGAAGCAGTGTGGTGATTGGGTAATCAGTAGTCCAGTAACAAGATCTTTCGTACATGTCTCAGATTACATCATCAAAAATTCCCTATTTCCCTTGATTATTATATCACATTCAAATTAATACATTTCTAATTATAACTCGATCAATTAAGGCATTTATTAATATATTTTAACTTATACATATCTGTGTCCTGTTTTTAAATTTTACCTATTTTCAATTACAGTGTTCCAATTTAGCCTTTAATATCCACAATATTTAGATTTCAGGTATCCTAAATTTCCCTTATTTCATTACAAAATAATTGTCATATCTAAAATACACATATTGTTTACTTAAATACATTCTTACTTTATTTCACAAATATATTCTATTTCCCATTCTAGTACCTCATCACTTACTAATAAAGTATGCTTTATTGTCTCAATCCAACTTCCATATTATATTTCAAAAACTATATTCTAATGGCTAATTTTCATTTCCCTTATAAATCTAAGTCCTAAATATTAAATCAATTAATATCTTTTAAAATCGCCTTAGCCCATTAAGTAAAATTTTAGGCTCTTCCATTATAAGTCAAAAAAGGGGGGGAAATCCCATTTTTTAAGTCTAACTCTAGCTTTCTTTCTGTACCAAGCAGGCTTCCATACCAGTGCCTTTAAATCCTTAAGTGGATCTTCCTTCATTTCTACATGTTATTTGAATCAAGGAAGACCATCCAGTTATCAACTTTTCAAAGGAACTGGCCCCTTTATAATCATTGGATTGTTACCCTAGTAATTCAACTCTCCATGTTCGGTTTAGAATATATGTCGTCAGTTCAGTCTGTTCTTCTTCTTCCGGTTTCATCTGGCTTGAGTAAAAGGTCATATCCAATGTTGTGATTGTTGTTTGATTGTCTAGTTATCTAGGTCAGTGATGGCGAATCTTTTAGAGACCGAGTGCACAAAAGCTGGCCCCGCCCCTGCATCCCCCACCCTGCCTATCCGCAGGGCCACTCACCACCTCCAGGGCCCGCCGCAGATCACCCAGGCAGTCCAGCAGCGCTATGGCAGTCATGCCCTCTGCCCGCACCCTGCGGCATCAACTGTGCACGATGAGATGTGAAGGCAGAGTCTTGTCTACGCTGCCTGGCTGCCATGTCCTCTGCATGGGCCGTGCTCAGGGGCAATTCTCCTTCAGGGGGGCTGCTGGAGAGGAGGGGTTGCGGGGGTTGGCGAGGCTGGGGCAACGGCACATGTGCCCACAGATAGGGCTCCGAGTGCCGCCTCTGGCACCTGTGCCATAGGTTCGCCACCATTGATCTAGGTTCTCAATATGCTGTGGTTGTTGATCTTTAGCACCATCTTAGTGTTGCTTTCTTCAGTTTCTGTTGCTTTCTGAATTGCAGAGTTTTTAGTTGAAATCAGGATTTGACTGTCCAAGTTCTCAATGGATTGTACTTGTTCTTTAAAGTCCTCTTTGATATTAATTTGTTCCTCTTCTATTGCTTTTTGGATTGTAAGTTCATCAGTTGAAATCTGGGCTTCATTTTGTGAATTTAAGATGGCACCTTTGTCTTTCAATCTGGAATTCATTAGCTCAGTAGCTTCAAGGATTTTTTCAAGTATAGGTTATAATTAAGTTGTGAGTAGTATTCCTCCATTTCTATGGTGTTTAAGATAGTCCTTTAGTGGAGACTATTTTTGATAAAAATCAGTGAATGTCCACCTGTACTATTCCTAGAAGTTGTTTTTCACCACCCAGCAGTTTCAAATTATTATCTTTTTTAGATAGTGCTAAGGACAAATCTAGGCAGTAAGCAGGTCTCACAATCAAAGATATTCAGTTGCTATACCAGGCTTTGCCACAAGATGTCCCTGATAGCATGTAAGGTCTTTTTCCAAACTCAAGTTAGGCTTTTATCCAGTTTAATTTTTTTTTCCAACCTACAAGTAGATAAGGTAGAAATGGGAACTTTTTGGGACCCCAAATATCCAAAAAGTGCAAGTCCAGTTATTTAGTTGTTTAGTTTAGTTCTTTTCTTTTCAAAGCTTTATTTTCCCAAAGTAGGCAGACGCCACCATGTTAAAGGGGGGGAGGATTTCAAGAGGCTTTTACAGGAAGATAGTTGGGATACAAGAAAGGTAAGGCAAGGTCTCACCCAATTCCTTCGCGGTGCTTTCGTTGTGCTTGGTGGGGATTTTGGCTTTTGGCTGGTACGGCTTAGTGATCGGCCTTGTTGCTGGCCGATCTTTTCTCCGTCGGTCCAAAGGAGCTGCCTCAGATCAAACGGAAGGACTGCTGCCCTTCCGCAATCTGTCGAGGGTACTCCTCACGGTCATCACCCCTCCAGGGTGACTTTTGACCCTTTTCAGGGTCTCCCAACAAAGAAAAAACGGACGGTGGAAAGAGTGCTCCCCCCGCGCTTCCTTCAGCGCCACAATCACAAACCGGAAGCCAAGTATCTGTTTTTAATTTAAAATTATTTCCATTACAATTCTTCTTTCTCCATCTGAATTGATCATTTTAGAGTCTATTGTCCCTTTAACATATACAGCTACTCTTTTTTTGTTGTTGTGCTGATGCATAGTAGAGTTTCCCAATTTTTGGACATTCTAAAAGTTTGTAATATTGTTTTTTTGTGCATGTCTCTTGTAGACAAAATTATATTTATGTTTAATTTCTTCAATTTTAAAAAAATCTTTTCCTTTTTGATGGGGAGTTCAATCCATTTATATTCACTAAAAATAATCCTGTTTTCTTTCTCCATTTTGTTTACTTATATTTAGGTCTTGTTGATCTCGTGGTTCTCTGCTCTCTCACTATTCCCTCACAATCTTGGTCTGTCTTCTCTTTCTCTTCTTCAATTTGTGTAATTGTTTCCTCTGTTGCTTGTTCTATCTGTTTCTGGACTTCTATCCTCTTGTTGAAGAGACAAAAAACAAAGATAAATGAGCAAATGCTTGATATAAAGACACAATTTGATGCCCATCAACAAATGATTGCTAAAAATGAACAAAGAATTTAGAAAATGGAGGATAAATCAGAAGAAACTGACCATTTGCAACTTTCATTGTCAGCTTCCAACAAGCAGAGTCAATGGAGAAGCTGACAGGAGGTTGCAAATAGCAACCATGTGACATTGCTCCTAACAGCTGTACAAGAGTCACCTAAAAACTGCAGTTGGAATTGCCATTGCAGTCAGTAAACATTTTTTATGAGTTTGACAGAGTTCCCAATCCCAATGTCATTAACCAAGGTCTACTTTTTTGGAAAAAAAAGCATATCTACTGAAATCATTGGTACGTAAAATGGAGTCTTAGGAAGGGAGACAGTCTGCATGTTTTTAAATCACATGTTCCTCAGATCCAAATTATGGCAGGTGGGCTCCACCATACTGTTATTAAAATGGCCTGTCACTCTTAGAATACACATTTCCTCAATTTCACTCAGAAACTAAATATTGCATCCGTTACGACTCTTTGTTGAATGCAGGGGCATTTGTGTTACTGAAGACTGAGGCTAAGGCCCACATAACATACACCCATAATGGAAGTTATCATAGATTTTGATAAAGTATTATTCAAGTCTCCATAATAATTGTGTTTATTTAAAAGCCAGTTCGGTATAGTAGCTACGGTGCTGCAATAGAAACCAGGTGACTTAAAGGAAAAACAGGAAAGTGTTACCAGAGAAGAAAAGTTGTCTTGAATGGACTAAAAAGAAAGATGGGATAAAAAAAAAAAGTTCCAAGCATTGAATACTTGCTAAAGATGGGCTCCTATTTGGAAATCTCTCACTCCTTGTGAGATTTCCCAGCCTCATGATCTTCCATAAGGACCTGAGGAGGGAATTCATGGACTAATAACAGATCCCACAGTTTTATTGCTTTTGTCCTTATAAGCCACTAAGAGTTGCCTTGTGGTGAGATGGGCAACAAATTAATAAATAAATAGCAGGTTTCACCTAAAAAAGAAAAAATTCTACATAGTTAAAAGCTTCATGGAGTTCTGATCAGTGTGGAAGCAGGATATATATAGGGACAGCTAAACATCTGAAAATGTTTTTCAACCTTACATTTTAAAAACTGCTTGGTGGTAGGAATAGCAAGAGAAAACTTTTCATCCTTCCATAAGACTGATGTGAAATTGTGTATACATCTGTACATCCAAAAATACCCTTGAAGTAGATTTGAATATAATCCCTTTCAAAATGTACTTTTTGCAAAAGTGAGAAACTTTATGCCCAAAAATATAATTCTGCTTTCTTTTGTTCTAGGATCCCATGATGAACTTCTGTCTCCTTCTGCTTGCCTGGTGGTAGGAAAAGTCGTCAAGGGAGGAACTGGCTTATTTGATCTTAAGCAACCTCTAAAATAAGATGTTTTTTTTTTAAAAAAAAAAAAACCTTGATTTTATTGCAAAGAATAAATTTGCTGCTATTCATTTTATATTTTATTTTTTTAGTGTTGGTTGTCTGAAAGTATCATCAATTAATCTTTCTAATTTAATAATTACCTGCATCTTTGGATTTTCAGGGATTATATTTAATAATAAATATGGTATGTTCATCCTTTAATTTTGGCAAGTGAGTTTATTGAACAGTCTATATCAGCCCACTGGCCAGACGCGTTACAAGAAAACCGCACCCACCCCATTGCCGGCAATGGAGAAAAAGCTCCGATATGTTGTGCAATGTCATGTGACGTCACGACTTTGACATGTCTGATCTATATAATTCAGTTTTTAAATATTTATGGATTATCTAGTATAAAAAGTATCTTTGTGGTAGCAGCTTCTCTTATGTTTATCAAATCGTAAATGAAACAACAACATAAACCAGCAGTGTCAAACTCAATTTCATTGAGGGCTGCATCAGCATTGCAGTTGCCCATAGAGGGCTGGATGGTTGTGGCCAGGATGGGTGCGGCCTATTGGGTGGGCGTGGATGGAGAGGGTGTGGCCTACTGGGTGGGCATGGCCAGCTCTACATCATTCGCGTCAAGGGTGCCTGTGGGGGCCTGGGCAGGAGTGGCACAGATCTGAGGGTCTCTGGCAGAAGGGTGGGACCAGGGCAAGTGCCAAGACATGGTCCACTGGAGGAGCCTCACTGTTCCTCTCAGGCCATGCGGGGGGGGGGCTCGATGGTGCTGTGGGCTGCCCGGAGTCCTGAACAGCAGAGGTCAAATGCCTAGCCTGGCCCTCGAGCACCCATGGCACCAAGCCCAGTCCCACTTTCCCAAGGGGGTGCCCAGCTGTATTTACCTCCTCAAGGCTGCTGCTGCTGTTTGCTCTCCTTACCCAGGTTGCTCATGATGGGTACGAGGGCAAAGTCAGAGGGAAGCCCATTCCGTTTCCATGGGAGGAGACCCAGCTTTATATCCAAAACTTCCTTAGCAATAGAATGGGAGACCCCCAGGCTAGGCCAGGAGGAGGGGGCAAGGGAATGGTGAAAGGGCAGCAGGGCAGGACTAAAGCAGGACTTCCCTCAGACCCTCCCTCTCCTTTCCTATTTTCCTATGTACAGAGTGGTGGGAAAATATTTGAGATGAGGGAGGGAGAAAAACAGGCAAGAAATGCAGCTGGGGAGGTGTCATCCTTTGTGAGGAATGAAGAAATGCACATGGCCCGCACCTACTTCACATATCTGGCTTGGTGGGCTCTGGGGGAGGGGATGCCATGAGCAGCGTGAGAGTCAACGTTACCTGCGCAATGCTGTCCAGCCCCCAGCCTGCCCAGTTTCAGCAGGCAGCGAGGTACTCTCCTTACAGCGCCGAGAGGCTGAGCCAGGCGGCACGAATTTGAAAAGAAGCATGTTGCCACCCAGCCCCAGCCTGCCCGGTTTCAGCAGGCAGCGGGGCACTTTCCTCACAGTGCTGAGAGGTTGAGTCAGGCGGTGCAAAGCTAACTGCTGAAACTAGGCAGGCTGAGAGCTGGGCGGCCTTGCGTTTCTTTTGGGACTTGCACCGCCCGGCTCAGCCTCTCAACGCTATGAGAGCGCCCCGTTGCTTGCTGAAACCCCTCCCCCAGAGCCCATCAAGCTGGATATGTGAAGTAGGCAAGGGCCATTTGCTGGCCACTTCCAGGTGATGGTGCATTTCTTCATTTCTCACAAAGGGTGATACCTCTCCAGTATGCACCCAGGGGGTGGGGCCGATGCAGCAGGGGCTGGTTCCTCGCTGTTTCCAGACAGCCTTGTGGAGCTAAGATTGAATGCATTTCAGTATAGATGGCCACCATAAAATTGTACATTGGCTCCCGGCTGGCCAGGTCCAGGGTTAAGGCAGCAGGGGCTGTTCCCTCACTGTTTCCAGGATGGCTTCACGGGCCGCATCTGGCCCCCGGGCCTTGTGTTTGACATGTCTGATCTAGTGGTTCGAAAGCATGAAAATGTGAGTAAATTGGTGGGAAGATGGAGGATGAGTAGGAAGGTAACTGGGAACTGGAGGATGAGTAGGAAAGTAACTGGGAATCTGGAAAGGTGTAGCAGTCTTGCAGGAATTCTCCCTTCAGTGCTATTTGTCTTAATGGAGAAAAGCCACACTTTTTTTTTCTAATTTAAGCCCAGTAGAATATTGAAAAGCATCCCAAGGTTGATATTTTCAGTTGCCACCACTTCTTTCCATCCCAGCAAGTGTGATAACGGCAGGGATTACTTTACCATTTGGGAAAGTTGGAGGAACCTCCTTCAGCACACACTCCTCTCCAGGGCAGTTCCTCTCTCCACCTTCATATAATTGCAACAACTATGCAGGATTCGTTTTTTGTGGTGCAGCAAAAAGACCTGTGGAAGTTTTCTTCTTTGCTTTGGACAGGATGAAAACATATTGCAGGAGGAATGAAAGAAAAATGCAGCAGCAATACCTAATACCAGCAATCACACCATGATTTTACACCTAATCACTGCATTTTATTTATTTACCAAAGTTACATTATTTTGGACAGGCACTGCACTATGCCTTATAACCTTTGCTTTATTTTACAAACCATCTTGCCTGATGAAAAGCTGAATATATGAGCTCAGACAGATCAATTGTTCAAAATATGGAAGAATGAGTTTAAAAACAAAGAAATCTTATTTTTCTAGCTACATTTCTGTTGTTTGATAGAAACCTACATTATAAATGTATTTTGCTATTTTCTGAAGAAAGTAGGTCCTACTTTCAAGCTATAGAATATCGACTCTACATTTTCCTCTCTCTGGCGTCGTCAATCTGCCTCGGAATATGTCGAGTTTCGGATTCTCTTGCCGCCTTCAAGCCTGGGCGCTGAGAACTGGCGTACGGGGACAAAGGGCTCCTGGAAGCGGAGTTGACCTCAAAGAATCGCGACCTGCTCCACTACAAGAGATGCGCGCGCAGGCGACCCACGTCTCTCCAGGTTGCTGTGGGAATCTGCGCAGACGAGATGACTCGGGCCTCGTGGGCACTGCGGAGGCTGAGTTAAAAGAGGAGAAGCCTCGCTATTTTCCCAGTCTCGCGCGATTTTCTTTTCAAACGTATTTTTGTCCTTGTTCCGAGTCGATCTTTGTGGACACGAAGTTCCGGAGCTCTTTAGAGCGGGCCGACCGTCTGAGTGAGGTATCTCATATTACACAACCAGTTTACATGGGGTATGCTTGTGCCGGAGGTATAAAACAGGGCTGGTAGGCACCCTGAATGCTAACAGCATCTCCGAAGCCGCTGCTGAATCGAGGATACATCCGTTGCCTGGTTAGGGCAAGTGGATTTCCTGGATCTCGCATCCCAACAATGACCACCTCGAGACGCGGCATTGGCAGCCGCTCCGGCAGTGACTGTTTCTTCTTTTATTTCTCCCTCTGGCTGTTAACTATCAGTGGATCACCCTCCAGTAATTGATCTGTTCTTAAAGACATCTGAGGAAGCCGCAGATATTATTTTGTATTCTCCTTAAGAACAAACAGTCTTTTCCAGGATTATAGAAAGAGTACTATAATCCTGGATTGATTTTTTGTTCGTTTGTTATTATATTTGGTTTATTGAAAAACAACAACGTAATGGCTGAGTTCTGTCAGAAGAATAATTTGGGGTTCCAACTCGAGCCAGAGCTGCGCAAGAATAAATAAAAATGAGATCTAGGCATCTGTGAGGAAAGAAGAAATATTTATTTCTAAAAGCAAAGCAGTTCGCATTTAGGGACAAGCTGCGGAGAAATGAAGTACAGCAGCAGATTTTTATAGGGGGAGCTTGTTCCGGGTGTCAAGTACTGATTCTAGGGGGACACTTGAGGGGCTTGTGTGTATGTGTGTGTGTAGGTATGTAGCTATGTTTATTCTTGTGAACATGCAGTTCCTCTGGGAGACCGAATTTAATTAACTCCGTTTGTATTTGCAGACCTTATCCTTTTATATGTGGATTAAGTCTGGGTAACTTATTTGAGGAAGTTTGCTAATTTTAGTTGATTAACATACACACTATTAATGGGTGTAGTTTATAACCATATTTTTTGTCTATTTGTAACATCATAACATCATCATTCTTGACCTGTATATAGAAACCTATATGCAGGTCAAGAAGCAACAGTGAGAACTGGACACGGAACCACTGATTGGTTCAAAATTGGAAAAGGAGTCCGGCAAGGCTGTATATTGTCGCCCTGCCTATTTAACTTATATGCAGAGCACATCATGAGAAAGGCAGGGCTAGATGAATCAAAAGTTGGAATTAAGATTGCCGGGAGAAATATCAACAACCTAAGATATGCAGATGATACCACTCTAATGGCAGAAAGTGAAGAGGAACTAAAGAGCCTCTTGATGCGGGTGAAGAAGGAGAGTGCAAAAGTTGGCTTGAAACTCAACATTAAGAAAACCACAATCATGGCATCCGGCCCTCTCAATTCCTGGCAAATAGATGGGGAAGAAATGGAGGTAATGACAGATTTTATTTTTCTGGGCTCCAAGATCACCTCAGATGGGGACTGCAGCCAAGAAATTAAAAGACGCTTGCTCCTGGGGAGGAAAGCTATGGCAAATCTAGACAGTATCCTAAAAAGCAGAGACATCACCCTGCCAACAAAAGTGCGTATAATCCAGGCCATGGTTTTTCCAGTTGCAATGTATGGCTAATAAAGTTGGACCATAAGAAAGGCTGAGGGCCAAAGAATTGAGGCCTTTGAACTATGGTGCTGGAGAAGACTCCTGCGAATCCCTTGGACTGCAAGGCATTCAAACCGGTCAGTCCTAGAAGAGATCAACCCCGACTGCTCTTTAGAAGGCCAGATCCTGAAGTTGAAACTCAAATACTTTGGCTACCTAATGAGAAGGAAGGACTCACTGGAGAAGGGCCTAATGCTGGAAAAGATTGAGGGCAATAGAAGAAGGGGACGACAGAGAATGAGATGGCTGGATGGAGTCACTGAAGCAGTAGGTGTGAACTTAAATGGACTCCAGAAGATGGTAGAGGACAGGAAGACCTGGAGGAACATTGTCCATGGGGTCGCGATGGGTCGGACACGACTTCGCAATTAACAACAATTAACAACAACAACATCATAAAGGAAACATCTTTAGGAGGACAGGTTTATTAAATAATATTGTTAGAAGGAAAACAATGATGTGTTTTAAGCTATGGAGTCCTAATTTCTATAGACGAGAAATTATTCAGGGAGGGGTCAATACCAGGCCAATTATCCCAACAAGTGACAACCCTCACAATCTGCCACGCTCAGTCTTCAGCAAGTTTTTCCTGGAGTTTCACTAGATGGGGGTTCATTTAAGGTCTTGTTTGGCCCATATGCATTGTGGATACATGGTACATTAATAATTGCATCTATTGGAACATGCCAATAATTACAAATACAAAAATGAATATCCTATTTTTCCCACTACCATTCCTACTAGGATTTTTTTTAAAGGTAAAACATAGGCAAAAGGAAATCTTTATTTTTTTTTCCTTACTGGCCCACATGGAATCAACAATGCTGAAATAATTCTGTGATGGGATTATTGAGAGAGGCTGAAATGAAAATTTGTCTTGAGACAGCACAGCAGACTACGCAACAGTACAGGGATTAGGCAATAACAGTTTGGAAAACAAAAAATGTGTCTTTTTCTAATGGCTAAGAGAAAATGACTTGCCCAAAGTTATCCAACCCACTTTCATGGCTAAGGTAGGACTTGAATCTACATTCTTTTTCTTTCCAGGTTGGTCCCTTAAACCAAACTGGCTCTAATCACAAATTTGTTTAACTTCTTTTCCTTGGTTTTAAGTGTAAAGAAAACAGGTTTAGCACATACTTAGCAATATCTAGTCTTCACTTTGTAGTTCCAAATGCATTATTAAGGATACATCCAGATTAAAATGCAAAAATCCCTTAAATTTTGCTACACAACATATGTTGGCTTCAGATCTTCTGAATCACATTTCTTAAACTTTCTTATTACTGATTATATAGAGTATAAGCTTTCTCTAGGTTGTTCATCTAAACCAGGCATGTCAAACTGCCGGCCCGCAATGCACAAAAAGTCCTGTGACATCGTGAGTTTGACATGCCTGATCTAGACTATTCCTTTCTCAAACTCCCCTTTCTACACATAGTTACAAATCATTAACTTTCTTACAAGCATATACATTTATGAAAATCAAAGCTGTAAACATGGCAGCTCTGCTTAACCATACATTTCACTCATCTCTTATAATGCAGTTTACAAATACAAAGGCAGATTGGGGCTAGTATTACTTTTAATATACTTTGCAATGGAGTTTTGGAAACAGGCTTTTGTTGGGTTGTGGTTTTGCAATTTCTTCCTCTTAATTAGCATATGTGATAAGAAAAATAGTTAACCAGGATTTAATAGAAGAAATCAGCTGACTAAATTTATGCCTGATTAAATTATCTATTGGACTGTCATTGCAAGACCAAGACACAAGAATTCTTGTCCAATTTCTTGGGGAAAGGGATAAGAAAAGGAAGAAAAAGAAGAAAAAGAAAAAGATTTCTCTCCACATTGCCTTGCTAGCCAGGCTAGCCAAGATGGAAAGATTATTCCTCGTAGCTTAGTTTTCATAAAGAGATTTAGAGGGAAGAAATATTTTGCTATTGCAAAAAAAATTAGAATAGGCTGCAGAGTGAAGAAGGATTAAAGAGTCTTCCCCCTCCTTTTTTTTCCCCCTCAGCCTCTAGCGTTTACTTGCAGGCTGGTAAGCACAGGTAAAGTGAAGAAACAGAAAGATATTGCTCTCAATGGGTTATTTTCATAGATCATCAAAGCAGCATAATTAAGCCATCTTTGTAACTTTTCTTACTTTAAACATAAAATTACAATATTCATGCATATACAATAATAGTAAAATAGTCTCTTTCAATGTAAATGTCTCGAAACATTCCTATATTCAATAACAGCTTTTCAAGAAAATAGTTCTTTTAAGGCTTTTTTCTTTATTTTTTCTTTTAATACAATTGAAAGTGTCTTTATTTTGCCAAATTATATTAAATTACTAGTCTCATCCCATAACACTCCATTTTGTTTACATAAATCCTGTGTATTTCACTTTTTTCGCCTAAATCCAGGCATGCACCAGCCTAAATCCAGATGTCCAGGCATGCACCAGCCTAAATCCAGATGTCCATGGTTCCAGCAGTTGGGGAACCGTGTGAAGCCGAAGTTCCCTTTTCCTTGTCCCTACCTTTTGTGCCTGTCAGTTTGGGGTGTATGTGTACACCTGAGGAGACCTATCCAAAGTCTCTTAGTCACAGCCAAGTGAAGCGCACAAGAGTTTGGTGTAGTTAGGAAAGGCACAAAGCATAAAATCAAACAGTATTGGAAAGGAAAAAAGGGAAAAATTCACACATACGTACACACAATTCATTCCTTTTATATTTGGATATAAAACTTCTCACAGTTCGCACAACACATTTAACCTAGTTAACTGAGTTTTAAAAGTGCACAATTCACTGAATCTTAAATAAGTCAAATAGGTTGTGTTCACATGCTGAGATACACAGAATAACTGATCTGGTTAAGGATATTGTGGAACAGCCTTAGTCTTAGCATTGCTTTCAACTTGGGCACTGAGGAAACATGCATTGATAAATCTTGAAATTATCTTTGATTATCTGTATTGTCCTATTTTTAAACATCCACTGAAATGATGACTTGACAGTTGCTATTCACAGATTCTAAAAAAAATAATATTAAAATGTTGTTCAATAATAAAATATATGTTTAGAGACTGGGTTTTTCATTCTTTGTACACCAGCAGCACTGTAGTTCCTGTTGCCTAAACTGTAGGTTTTTATTCAGGCCATTGTAGATATGCTGCAATTAAGTACTGATTTATTAAGAATATTGTTGGAAAGAGAGTTTGATTTTAAATTGTTTCTTATATCAATTTAATGTTACACTGAGTATGAGAGCAGTATTTGAGAAAAGAAAGAATACCATTCAAGTTTATGTTAAATCCAGTTCTGGTAGTAATGAATCTGTAATGGTGATTGATCAACAGATGGGCGATAGTGCACCAGTATGTTTATAAAGGGATAATAAGACTTCCATCGTAGTCTTAAACTCTCTTCAGCATTATTTGTAAGTCCTGTGTTTGAATATACTTTACTTTAACTCCACAGTCTTTCAATAAATTGGCTTAGGAAGAATGCAAGTACGGCTGTCTTCTACCATTATAGGCAATAGTGTAAATAATATTGACGTAATGAAAGTCACCATGTCTGGGGGTGGGGTTTTTTTATTCCTGCAATGTGTTAATGGACTGTACAATTGAAAAGAATCGTATCTTTCCATAATGGATTCTATTTGGGTATGTTTTTGTTTTAAATTTTAGAATAAAAAATATCCAGTTCACTTAATACAGCTAATTAACTTAGTTAAATGAAGCAAGGTAATAAGAACGTTGGTAGAAATGTTAGTTTTCAGTCTTTTGAGATACATCTCTTGCTTTTTTTTTCCCCTTTCTATTAGGACACTAAAAATTTCATGCCTGTGGAGTAGCATTATCACGTGTGGATTCCATGTCTTTCCTTGTAAGTAAACCAGAACGAATTAGGGTGAGTGTCAAACACTTTCAGCAAAATTTAACAAGAGAATGTCCTTTCTTTTTTGGATTCACGCGATGACAAATAATGTAATTCTAGTTATTTATACTTCTGTAGATATATTTCATCTGTTCTGGTAATGATAGGATTGAGCTACTAACTCAACATACAATAAAGATGTATTATTTGAGCAATAAGAATTTAATTTTGGAAGGTCCTCTAAAAAGAAAAGAAATATTAAAAGAAAAATTCAGAATTTTGGGATGTTATCTTATAGAATTGCTCTATGAGGGAGATAGGCAGTTTCCATGACAGACAGACAGACAGATAGATTAAATAGATGATATATGTTTAAATATCAAAGACTGCAAGATGCAAAAGAATAAAGAAAATTCCTGATTTGGAATTGCATTTTGCAGGCTGTTAGTTCAGATGAAAGAGTTCAGATGAGGGTTCAGCTAAGAAACTGGAGAATTTTAGAATTAGAAGAGCACAATCTGAGATTCGAATGGCATGGTTTTCTGTGGTATGATAAAGTTAAGCTTAAAGTTCATTATAATAGACATGCCATAGTGAGAATATGGTACAGATATAAAGTTTGTCTGTGCCTGAAAATGCCTTTATAGGTCTCGGCATAAAAAAGCGTTTTATAAAAAAGAAACCGTATGTAAAGAATGATTAACTTATCAAGAGTTATAACAGGAACATGGAAACTATAAGATGAAATTAAGAAATCCATTTGACTACAGAAGGATTTAGTTTTCAGTAATTTCCACCTACACAGTTAAGAGAAAGATTTAAGGTAGATAAGACATTTTTAAAATAAATAAATACTTGATATCATTGCATTTGTTGCTACTGGGGGGGGGGAGAAAGGTGATTGTATGGGATTTATGCCCTGGATTTTTTAATGTTGTAAGCCACCCAAAGTCACTATGTATGAGTTGGGCAGCCATATAAATTTGTTTAATAAATAAATAGTTGGTCTGATTAGCGAATAAATAAACATTTGGAATTGAGTAGCAGAAGACAGAATTTTAACTTGAACTATGACCAAAGGATAAAATATAATTACTAAAATGTATAAACTTTTATTGAAATTCGAACAGAAGACGAATACATTAAAGACTGTATAATTAAAGTAGGCTAAAAACTTTGGACACAATATACCTCTGGTGGAGAACCTATGGCACGCATGCCAGAAGCGGCACTCGAAGCCCTCTCTGTGGGCACGCATGCCATGCCCCGGAGATGGTAACCATCCCTCTTCAGCCAGCTGCCTGCTAACTCGCCGAGGTCCCATGTGGCCAGATGCATCCCAGACACGGCTGGTTTCCCTCCCCCCTGTCCCATCCCTCCTGGCCTCACATGCTCTCCTTTTCCCGGGCACGACCCACTGCATCGTCTCCTCAGCTGTCGGCCGTCTATCCAGTTCAGAGGCGGCTTCTCTGAACTTCTGGTGGCGGGCTGCGGAGCCCTAGAGTGCGCCGGTCGAGGGGCTGGCAGACTGTGGATGCTGACAGACACTGTTGGCCCCCATGCGCTCGCTGGCCTCAGTGTGCGGGGGCCGATGGTGTCAGGCAGCAGCCGCCCCGGCCCCTACCTCGCCTTGCCCTGCGATAATGGCACCCCAGCCCTGCCTTGCCTTACCCCATAGGACGAGCCTCCTGCCCACTGCCCCACCTGCCAGAGACCCCTTGGATCTCCCCGAACCCTGTCTGGCCCCAACAGGCATCCCTCCCATGAGCAACATCGAGGTGACCTTGGCCACACTCTGCCATGACCACCACAGCCACGCCCACCCAGTGGGCCATGCCCACCTGGCACCCAGTGATAAATAAGTGGATTTTGGGTTGCAGCTTGGCCACTCAGTCTCTAAAAGGTTCACCATCACTGCAATATACCAGTGAAATAGTGAGTAAATATCTGGTTAAAAGGATTGAAATTTACAATATGCTATAACTTTAAAAAGAATGTATATAAATTTGTATACAATGATTGGAATATGATTACAGAAAAATTATGTAGAATGTATAAAAGTACTTCTAATTTATCTTGTAAATGGATACCATGAATGGTCATTTTATCATATTCGGTGGACCTATAAAAAAGCCAAACAAATTATGATGTGTGTTATCTCTAAACATTTCTCTGCTGTTATATTTTAAGTTTAAAGGTCATGCTGGTTTTTTCCCCTTTTACTTAGTAGAAATATGATAATTATGTCACATTACCTTCTGGGTGATTTTCTTTCACAGCGGTGGATGTCTGAAAAATTTATTCTTGAGGGCTTAAGGGAATTGGAGCTCTTTGGAGGTAAGTGCTTAAACGATATTCATTTTTTTTGCTTCATATTTTTCAGTATAAAGAAAATAAATTGAGTATTTGCAACAAACAAGGTGCCACCCTGCATTCTTTTTGTAAAAGTTACAAAATTGGAATGGCCTCATTTGAGTATCTATTTTACAGAATCTACGGATATAATTCAAGGTTTTTCACATTAATCTCTTATGGATTGCAGCATTCACTGGGAATCCCTTAATAGTTATCATATACTTACCAATTGATTTCTAATGAATTTCTCTAAAATAATTTCTAATGATTTTTAATCTTTGAGTGCTAGATTTTTTGCAGGATGATGTGTTGGATTGATTATCTAAAGGTGTACAGGGAAAATGTTAAAGTTGTAATCTATACATTTAGTCTAATATTTAGGAAAAATGTCTTCAGACAAGGTCAACATGAATATGGGAAACTGATACTCATTAAAAAAAAAGAAATTCCCCTAGCAGTCTTTCCTGAGGGGGCATTATGGTGAAAAAGGAGATATTTGTTCATGAATGCTTGAAACTGTTGAAGATCAGAAAACCCTAATATTAAATTATTTATGTCCTTTTTAAGCTTTATTTATATCATTTGTTAAATAAAAAACAAGTCTGGGCAGCTCACAACACTAATGAAATTAAAAACAAGAAAACCAGGTGCCTCGCTTTCCACCTTCAATCCATCAACCCATACAGTCCTTGGACTCCAATCTTACAATTGCAAATGGCAATCATATGACTCTGGGATGCTGCAACTGTCTTAAATAAATGCCGGTTGCCAAGCACATGACTGTAGTGATGTTGTGATGACCATAAGTGCAATCATAAGTCATTTTTCAGTGATTTTGTAACTTTGAATGGTTGCTAAACAAATGATTGTTGAGAATCACCTATACTATTTTGTTACCTCTGTTGGTTTATAATCCATATTACCCCCATATGTCAAACTTAGTCAAATTAGTCATATCTATAAATTTTACAAAGTCTTTAAAGAAAATTAAGAAGCTGTTCCTAAAACTTAATTAAAAATGAAATTACTAAGCAGATCATAGAATATCTGCCTAATAATATCATACCTACAAAAATATCTCTTCTACTAATCTTTAGAAATGTAAAAGTGATAATGGTCATCTGTTTTGGGTAGTTCGGGAGGTATTAATGAACCTGACAGCAAAGGTTTTTGAGTACTTTTAACAAATGTGGGAAGAATGAGTCCTGAGTTGGATTAATTAATTTTGTATTTGTATATATATTTATTTTAGTGTTGTGAGCTCCAGAGAGTCATGTACTGAGATGAGTGGCCTTATAAACAAATTAAATAAATTAATTTTGCTGAAAACACAGAAGAGAATAGAAACAAATTGATATTTCTCACTAGCAATGATGATAGCAGCATTGGCCATGCTTCCTAACATTTTCTGTTCAAAAGGATTGAAAATAACCCTGCTTGAGTAGTTTCAATGAAAATAATCAGATAACCAAACAAAAATATATTTCATAAAGCAGTTTCCAAGTATGTTGTATACTTTAATTGTGGATTTCATTGCCAAAAATGGGTACAAAGTCACTAATTTATATTTTCTAATTGAAATCAAGATTTTGAAGGATATATCCACCAGTGGCTACTATAAGAGCAGTGTTGATTCTTCAGGTTTAGAAATAGTAACTACTGAACATAAGTTCTGGGGAACAACTGATACTTTTTCTTTTTTCTTTTCCTTGTTTTTTTCCATTGATTAATAACTTTTTAACACCAAGCTAGAGTCTGTTATGGAATAGATGTTTCTTTCATGTAATTAATTTTGGACTTCTCAACCTACATATTATTATTATTATTTGAAGAACTGGCTAAGCTTCCAAAGTATCTTTTCCTTATTAGTTTTAGGGTGTCTTGTAACTTCCTCTCAACTATCTAGCCTAAATCACATATATACAAAAAGAGGGTAAAGGACATGCTTGTGTCTAATAACTCAGTGACAGAAACCTGGGATTCTCATATGTTTACTGTGTGCAGCTTTCTTTCTTCCTCAGTTAAGGACGATGATTATTTTTTGGTGTTTGAAGTCTGCAAGCGGAAACCTTAAACTATTTTCTCCCTTAAAGAAAGAATGCAACTTTGAAAATGTATATGCTTTATGGGAGATAAAATGTGAGGTGTGTATATATGTGTGTATACCATGTTTCTCAAAGAGGCACCAGGTCTTATTTTCGGGGAATGTCTTTATACTCACCTCTGGCACCTACAGCCCTGCCCAGCCAGCCCACTTCTTCAGCAGCCAAAGGAGCAATTTCATTCTGCAGCTGGGAATGGAGCTCTGGCCTGCATTTTGCAGTCAGGCCTTTCTGGAAGGCCTATGCAGCCGAGTACCAAGCTATGGATTCAGTCCATAGTTCAGTCCTCGGCTGCAGAGGTCTTGCAGGCCTTTGACTGCAAAATGCAGGCCTGGCTGCAAAAGACCTCCACAAAAGAAGTGGGCCAGAAGAAGTGGGCCAGTAAGTAGAGGCTTGGCTGCAAGGTAAGTGGGGGCGGGGCACATGGGGCAGCCCCACACCCCACCCAAGCTTGATTTTTAAGTGTGTGCCTCACTTCAAAAATAGGCCTTATTTTTGGGGTAGGCTTATATTAGGCCCACCCCTGAAAATCAAGCTAGGGCTTATTTTCAAGGTAGGCCTTACTTTGGGGAAAGTGTGTGTGTGTGTGTGTGTGTGTGTGTGTGTGTGTGTGTGTGTGTAGAGCTGACATTTACTGACTTTTGTTCTGCAATCATTCAAAGCTATGATGGTATTGGAAAAAGAACTTTATAGCCCATTCAAGATCTTCATAGCATCCTCAGTGACATGATCACCATTGCAGGTGATTACATATAGTTGTATATCTGACCTATGCTTTTTTTCTTTTTTCTCCTTTGCAGAATAGAGAGATAGGAGAGAAAGGGATTGTAAAAAAACAAGCAGTTCTTCAATACATTGAATGCTGTGCTCTGGGAAGGGGGTGGGGGTAGAACAAAAACAAAAGATTTCTTTAGGCAATTTCTCCTTTGCGTGATTTTCCCCCACTCTCACCTGCCAGAAAGGTTGGGGAGAAAAAGATTTCAAGATAAGTATAGTAAGCTTTTTGCACTATTGCACATTAAAACCAATGTAATCGGGCTGGCAACCTGGGGTTGGAACTATGGGTGCACTATGCAAACAGCTTCATCTCTTTTTCTTCAATCTCTCTGCTGTTTGTGGGGTGGGGTTAGGGGAACCAAATTCTGCAGACAGTCTCTCTTTACCTGATTCTTTCCTGCTACTTGCACAATCACATTGCTTTTAATGTGTAGTAAAGCAAACAGCTTACTCTCTGGGAAGTCTCTTTCTCTTTAATCTCTACATTCTGTGAATTGGTGGGATGGGAAGAAAAAGCAAGTGTTTTCTGTAGACAATCTCTCCGCTTTCCTACACACCCAGCCACACATATATACAGATGTGAATGTATGTATATTTTGTATACATAAGTATTGGGTATGTCTAGTTTAATGAAGAGAAGGACGAGTGGGGACATGATAGCAGTGTTCCAATATCTCAGGGGCTGCCATAAAGAAAAGGGAATCAAGCTATTCTCCAAAGCATCTGAAGGCAGGACAAGAAGCAACAGATGGAAACTAATCAAGGAGAGAAGCAACCTAGAACTAAGGAGAAACTTCCTGACAGTTAGAACAATTAACCAATGGAACAACCTGCCTCCAGAAGCGGTGAATGCTCCAACACTAGAAGTTTTTAAGAAAAGACTGGACAAGGCATTTGTCTGAAATGGTATAGGGTTTCCTGCCTGAGCAAGGGGTTGGACTAGATGACCTCCACGGTCCCTTCCAACTTTATTATTATTATTGTTGTTGTTGTTGTTATTAAATACACACATAACAGTTACATATTTTTCAAGAATTTGCTGTTTTTGATCACAGATGTTAATTTGGAACCAGATATTTTGAGGTTATTTTTACTTGTTTATGAATTGATTCAAATTTATTTTTAATGAGTATCTGTTTTAAAAAACAAAGTTGAATTATAAATTTCTTTACTTCAGAGCAGCCTCCGGGTGATTCTCGGAGAAAAGTAAGTGCCTTTCATAGGCTGTGGTGTTGTGGCTTATTGCATGGAAATTTATTCTATTCTTTGTAAATATTTTAAATTTATTTTCATTTTATCTTATTTATACATCAAATATTTTAGCCTTATATGTGTGGACACAAGATTTCACCCTGGAAATAAAGTTGTGGTGATTGGCATATGTATTTTATTTTGGTCAAGAATCTTGGATTCTCAAATGACTAATCTGATGAGGTCTTCTTTATATTGATAATTGGTGTAATGCTTGTTTAAAAAGTAAAATATAAAAGAGTAATAGTTGATCTGCTCTTAAAAAAGTAATAAAAACTCAAATTCAAATCCAAATAAGGCATGCCCAAACAAATTAACATTACTGTAACTTTTCATAATTCTGGCCAGATTCAGAAAAACTCCTGTTTGCTAATCGTTAGGAATAGTACTTGTGCATTTATGAATAATTACATAGAATATTTAAGAGATTATGGTGCAACTTCAGATTTGCCTTCTCAGAAATTTCATTGATTTCAAATAGGTTTCTTCTTAAATAAGTGATATAAATTTATATGGGAGAAATCAACATTCAGTTTAGTATCACTTAATTGTGAATAGATATGTTTATAATAAAGCCATTTGCTGCCTTGTTTGCAGTCATTATTATTCTTTCATCAGTGATAAGCTGTAAAGATGTCATCAATAAAAAATCAGTGTTCAGGGTAAAGCATTTATCAGTTTCAATCTTGATAATTCTTCAGTTTCTGAAAGACCTTTTTTTCAAGAGAAATCTTCCATGGTATACCCATAGGAACAATAAGTGGAATTGTTTGGGGGGGAAAGGGCTATCAAGAAGACCTAAAAAGCAACAGAACTATGATCATAAAACCAGAAAGAGCAAAGTAAATGATAGGTTGTGCTGTAAAAACAATTGTTTAATAAACTAACAACTGTTTGATAAACTTAGCTTTCGTTGGCAGTCAGAGTGGAATGCTGGAGGTTTGAAAGCTCTGCTCATAGAACGCATCACCGATCTACCCGCCCCAGTTGACCGTATTGCTTCTAATAGTCTCGCATCTTACTTGTAAGATCAGGGATCACTGCCTCTCTTATTGTCGCTCTCTTTGCCCACTTTGGACGTATCTGGGTACACTTTGCTATAGGATGGTCCCCCAGTGCCTCCTGTCCTGTGGCCACCCCCCCCCCTTGTGATGGGACCCCACCTCCCATCATTGACTCCTGTACAAATTATGCTGGGGATTTCTCCCCTTTGCCGGTCGTATTTCTTTGCTGTTGCATGAGACAGCAGTTCTGGTCTTGCGTAACTTGCGCCTGTTGTTGTTACACTGTTGTTCCCACTTCCTTAGTGCCTGATAAGCAGGCAGTAACTCTATGTGGCGATTAATTGAATGTTCATCCGACAGCCAAGCCTCCTTCAGTAACCGGCCGCCCTTGGTGACATCCTGGGCGATGGCCTCTGTCCCGACAAGGTCGAACGTGTGATTGTTGCTGGCCATATGGACCCACACCTGTGAACGTTGCTCATGTTGTCTAATGGCCAGCTCGTGTTCATGGATCCTAGTTCCAAGCTGTTTGATCGTCACACTCACAACAAGGGGGGGGGTGGCCACAGGACAGGAGGCATTGGGGGACCATCCTATAGCAAAGTGTATCCATATACGTCCAAAGCGGGCAAAGAGAGCAACAATAAGAGAGGTGGTGATCCCTGAGCTTACAAGTATACAGACAGATGTGAGACTATTAGAAGCAATATGGTCAACTGGGGCGGGTAGATTGGTGATATGTTCTATGAGCAGAGTGCACAAACTGCCAGTCTTATGAGCAGGCTTTCAAACCTCCAGCATTCCACTCTGACTGCCGACGAAAGCTAAGTTTATCAAACAGTTGTTAATTTATTAAACAGTTGTTTCTATATTTATCCCGGTGTTCTGCCGAACTGGTGCAAACTGACTGACTTCCGACTCCCTTTGGTGCAGTAGAATAAGATAGTAACATCAAACCTCAACTTTTTTCTTTTACATAATAGTATAAATTATCTATTTCTATATCAGCAAATCTAATTGGTAAAACTCAAAATCAAAGTTTCATTTTTTTCCACCTCAAGTCCAAAGTCTAGAAGAGATTTCCAAGTAGAAACAAAAGTAATTATCTTTTTTTCTTTTATCAAAGCAATCAATTTAGCCACCTCTGCTAACTTCATCAGTTTCTGCAGCCATTCATCCACTGTGGGAATTGAAGTGTCCTTCCATTTTTGTGCATACAGTAGTCTTGCTGCTGTCAACATATATAACATCAAAATTCAAACATTTTTTCCAAGTCTTTTTCCATTACACCCCCCCCCAAAGTTTCTGGTTTTATCTTTATATTAACTTTAAGAATCTTCTGTATTAGAATATGAATCCTACTCCAATATTTCTTTATTTTATCACATGTCCACCACAAATGATAAAAAGAAGAAGCTTAAACTAGAGGAAAATAAAATTCATTGACAGAAACCTCAAGCAAGGAAGTGTCTATAGGAAAGAAGGGATGCTGTTCTATAGAAAAATATATGCTTATCAAGGAAAGACAAAATAAAACAAAATTGTGCATAGCAACAACAGAAAATTTAATGAGGACAAAAATCATGCTGGGTAAAGTAAAATTGAAACTGAAGAACATTTTAATGTGTCAAGACTAGAGAGCTCTTGCTGTAAGAACTGATAGAAAAATCTAGGTGAGGGAATTATAATATAATTATAGGAAGACAATGGGGGGGGGGAGAGAATGGTGAGATGATGCTGAAGTAGCATTTGCCCAATCCTAAAAATTGCAAATGTGTATCATTTTTCCCCTAGCTTTTGATCTGGTATTTCAACACATTAGTCATTTTTACCACATCATATTTTCCAAACAGGTTTTATCAAAATATAAATTCAGACAAATTTATATTATAAAAAGCTGACACTTGAAATTCCTTTGCTTATTTGTTTGCCATTTTACACCAAAAATGATCCAGTGTTGAAATCCTTGGGGAACAGTGTAATTTGATTTATTTGGAGGAATTATAAAATTTTAATTTCAGATTTTTAATATGTTTGTAAAACATCAAACTTCAGTAGTTTTCTTCTGCATGAATAGAATTTTTCAAGCAGTTATTTTTTTCATGGGCAATTTAGAAATTAGTTTATGCTGTTTTGTAAGACCTAATAGATTTACTGGAAGTTATATTCCTCTAAATAACACCATGCTATGTTTATTATTTTGTGCAGCACAAAAGTTGAATTATATTTGTTTAGTGTGAATACTGCATCTTAAAAGAGTTTTAAACTGGAATTGAACATATACTTACCAGATTAAGCCTTACTGGACTCAGTAAACTTTGAGTAAACTTATTAAATTGAGCTTTTAGACAATATCTATTCTGCTCCTCAAGTTTTCCTTTCTAGTATTTTATTTTCTTTTTAAATAAAGTATTGTTATTATATTTTTCTTAAGTGCACTCAGTATATGTTGTGCTTTTCAAAAAAGGAAGAGAGATTAAAAGAAAACAGTTGAGTTTTTTTCTGTTGTATTGCAAAGAAAATATAATGAAAATGATAGAATCTCCTAATTTATTTTTCCATCTAGCTGAGAGTGGTCAGTGGTTAGTGGTTTTCCTACATTACACTGAGAATCTTCAATATCCTGCTTTCTGAGTAATTTTATCTTAAAATGCTAAGGTTTGAACTTGAAATATTCTACAGAACTGAGCAGAAAAAAATTTCTGGTATTCTTGAAGGCTATATAGTATGTCAACCCCTGGATTATATACTTAGAAATACTGAATTGCATGTTTTGAGCAATAATAAAGATGTGTATGTGTATTTAGAAGTAACAGATAATTTTGTAGCAGAACAAATGCTTCTTGTGACAAATTCAGCAAAAAATACAGCCAATTATATAAAGACTTGGATAGCATTTTACAAGTGTGGATAGCCCTTTCCAAAAATTATGCTTTAGAGATGATACCACCTTCAGCAAAGGATATGTTTTCTATTTCTCCTTACTGATACAAATAGTGCCAAATATATACAATATTGTTTTACAGATTTTATAATATTTTTCTATATCTTATTTTTTATCTTCTAGACCAATGAGGCAAGTTCAGAATCAATAACATCTTCCCCAAAGAGGGACACCATGAGCACTTACCTGCCTGACATCAGTTGTTATGAGTTACTGACCATAATAGGTAATGTTGGTCCTATAATCCCAAATGTGCGATAAATCTGAAGACAAATAGATAAATGTCTATGGAGATTCTCAGTCATCCAGATTATAGTTGTCTCAAAGGTGCTTTTTCTAGAGGCAACTGGATTTTCTTGTTTTTGTTTGAAGACGTTTCGCTTCTCATCCAAGAAACTTCTTCAGTTCTGACTGGGTGCTGGGGAATGGAACTGCTAAAGGACTGTGTTGTAGACTAGAGATAGATGATGTCATATCCTTCCCCCTCTGTTGAAAGAGAGTTGTTCAATTTTGAGATAGATGGCCTCTCTGACCCCTCTTTCAAACTAAACCTCCAAAATGTGAACTTTGCTGTCTTCAAAAGAGTGGCCTTTGTCTTTTAAATGCAAATAGATTCTGAATCTTGTCCTGATGGGTTTGTTCTCCTATGTTGCGCCGTGCATTTATGAAGTGGTTGTTTTATTTTCCCAATGTACAGATCTGCACATGTCTCACCACATTGTACTGCATATATCATGTTGCTCAGCTTGTGTCTCGATGTTTTATACTTCGGGTGGACAAGCTGCTGCCTTTGTGTATTCTTGGGTTTAATATGTTGTATTGGCTGAAGATCCTCCTGAGCTTTTCAGATATTCCTGCAATGTATCGAATGACAACATTGGTTTGTTTATTGTTTTCTTCTTTGTCTGTTATTGAGGAACTCCTGCTGGGTCTTTTTTGGGATTTGATGAAGGCCCAGTTGGGATAGCCACACATTCTGAGGGCTTCCTTGATGTGTTTTAGTTCTTTTTCTTTCCCATCTGATAACTCCCATTTTGTGCTCCAGTGGGTGGTGAGAATCAAAATGTAAATATTGATCTGTGTGTGAGGGGGTTTCTGTATTTATTTATTTATTAAAATTTATAGACCGCCCCATTCCCGCAGGACTCCGGGCGGCTAACAATAAAAACACAATAAAACTTAACAAGACAAACAATACAGTAACATTCATCCAGGGGTCGGATTTTATAAACCCCAGGCCTGCTGGAAAAGCCAGGTCTTAAGCAGATTGCGGAAAACCAACAGGGTGGGAGCGGTCCTAATCTCCGGGGGGAGCTGGTTCCAAGACGTGGGCGCCGTCACAGAGAAATCCCTCCCCCGCAGCCCAGCCAAATGGCATTGCTTGGCCGACGGGATCTGAAGGAGGCCCAACCTGTGGGATCTAACCGGACGAAGGGAACTATGAGGTAGTAGGCGATCTCGCAAATAGCCTGGCCCTGAGCCATATGGAGCTTTAAAGGTAATAACCTACACCTTGAGTTGGACTCGGAGACCAATAGGCAACCAGTGCAGCTCACGGAGGATAGGTGTAATGTGGGTGTACCGAGAAACACCCACAACCACTCGCGCGGCTGCATTCTGGACCAACTGTAGTCTCCGAATACTTTTCAAGGGTAGCCCCATGTAAGCGCATTGCAGTAGTTCAGGCGTGAGGTGATGAGGGCATGAGTGACTGTAAGGAGAGCCTCCCGGTCCAGGTAGGGTCACAACTGGTGCAACAGATGAACTTGTGCAAAGGTCCTCCCAGCCACAGCCGTCAAATGATGTTCCAATTTCAGCTGTGGATCAAGGAGGACACCCAAGTTGTGAACCCGCTCCGAAGGGGGTATATTTTCCCCTGCTAGAGTCAACACTGGACAGTTAACATGATCCTTGGGAGGCAACATCCAAAGCCACTCGGTCTTGTCAGGATGGAGCCTGAGTCTGTAAATGTCAGTGTTAAGGCTTCTGTCTTCTTTAATGTGTACCTTAGGGGATACATATTAAGGAAGATAGAGGGATATCTGGGGAGGAATACAACATCATCTATCTCTGGTCTACAACACAGTCGTTTCAGCAATTCCAAGAAAGCCCCACACCCATTTGTACTACTCAGGTGACCTTGAGGTCACAGATAAAATTCCAAGTGGTCTCAATAACTCTCTAAAAGAGTGCACATAACCAGCTGTCTGCAAGGAATATAAATCCTTCCATTCCTCACCATCCAGTCAAAGCTAAAGAAGCTGCTTGGGTGAAAGGTCTTCAGAGAAAAATAAAAAAGTCCAGTTGCCTTTTGAAAAAGCACATTTGGGACACAAGGTTAGGTAACTTATTTTCCCCTCAGATATTTTAAATTAATCCCCTAAATCAGGGGTAGGCAACCCAAAACACTTAAAGAGCCACTTGGACCCGTTTCCCACCAAAAACAAAACACTGGGAGCCGCAAAACCCTTTTGATATCTAAAATGAAGATAACACTGCATATATCCTTTTTTACCTTTATTATAGGTGTGTGTGTGTGTGTGTGTGTGTGTGTGTGTATATATATATGTGTATGTATGTATGTATGTATGTATGTATGTATGTGTACACACACACACACACACGTAAAAAAGGATATATGCAGTGTTATCTTCATTTTAGATGTCAAAAGGGTCTCTCTCTCTCTCTCTCTGTCTCTCTCTCCCTCCCTCTCTATCTGCCCTTGGTCTGCCACTCCTCTTCCCTCCCCCCCCCCGCTCTCTCTCCCTCTCTTTCTCTCTCTCTCTTTCTCCCCCCCCCCTCCTATCTGCTGCTCACCTGGCAAGCTTCAAGCTGTTGTCCAACAAGCAACCTCTCTTTTATGACTCATGGACTTCAACTCCCAGAATTCCTGAGTCAGCCTAGCTGGGCTAGCTAGCTCTCTCCTGCCCTTCCTGCTTCCTGCAGAGACGCAGCAAAGGGAGGAGCTCCGCCCAGTAAGCTTTTCAGCTCCTCGGAGAATACTGTGAGTGCACTCTCTTTTACACATACACACAGACACACACACACACACAAAAAAACACAAACACAGAGAGAGAGAGAGAGAGAGAGAAGCAGGGAAGCGCAATTGCCTCTCTCTGTCTCTGTCTCTCTCTGCAAAGGCAGAGGAGGCTGGGAGCCACAGGGGAAGGCCCAAAGAGCCGCATGCGGCTCCGGAGCCGCGGGTTGCTGACCTGTGCCCTAAATTATGGTATGGTAATAACATGAAATTATGTAGGAATTGTAATCAAGAATATCAACATGGTACCCTAATGCCTTCTATCCCTACATTAGTTGACAAGAAAAAAATGAGGGAAAAACTGTGTTAGGATTGTGAACTACCAAGTGCCACATCATCATCATCTCTTAACACAGCGGTTCCCAACCTTTTCTATACCCCACACCTGTAGAATGCTTCTATATATTCTCGCACCCCTTACAAAAATTCAAAATAATGGCAAAAAATTATGGATGTACACTATAATTTTGAAAACCCAACTTTTTGCACCCCCTGGAATATCATCTCGTACCCCCAGGGAGTGCGAGCACTCCCGGTTGGGAACCCCTGTCTTAACACATCTCTTAGTTTGAATACACAGAGGCGCAATGGCTCAGGGATTAAAAATACTGAACTTGTCAGTTACAAAGCTGACAATCCAGGTTCGAGACCCAAGCACCATGCAATGGGATGAGCTCCTATTACTTGCTCTAGTTCCTGCCCTAGCAGTTCAAAAGTGTACAAATGTGACTAGATAAATAGGTACCACTTTGGTGAGAAGGTAACAGTGTTTCGTGTGCCTTGGTATATAATCATGCTGGGCATATGACCACATGTAGATGAGCACTGTTCCCTATAGTTGGACACTTTACCTTTCACTTGAATACAGGTAATCCTCAACTTATGATTGAGACCATTGATTAAGTTCTTATGGTCGTAAGTTAAGGCATCACATGACCCAAGTTTTTGACATTTTTTGCAGTGGTTGTTAAGCAAATGCTGTGGTGATTAGGTGAATCAATTTTTCCTAGTGGATGCTTTTTGCCAGAAAAAGTGAATGCTGGAAACTCGTAAAAAACATAGCAAATTACAGTCATGTGATTATTGGATACTATAAATAGCCTTAAAGGTGAGCTAGTTGCCAGGCACTCATATATCTGCAAGGGAGAAGCTATCATCATAGCTTCAAAAATGGATCATAAGTTGCTCTGGGGAGTCTATCATAACTTTGAATGGTCGTTAGGCAACCAGTTATACGTTGAGGGTTGCTTGTAGTAGTGCACCTGATTGTCTTCCTTCAGTATTGTTTTAGTATCATATTGTTTTAGATCAAGCCATGATGGAAATGAGCCTACTCTGATGGGTGGGAGAATCAGAGAAAAAAATGTTGAGTGAACAATACACTAAAGAAGTGGACTCCAACATACTGTGGATTCCTCCTTCAGAAAAAAAAACTAACCCCCGCCCCCGCCACCAGTGGGTACATAAAATACATTCCTTGTTGGAGACGCATCATTAAAAACTTGTATAAAGAGGCCCCTCCCCCATCATGGTGTGCTGAATGGACAGGTGTTTATTTTTCTCCTGCCAACTAACAGCTGATTTTACCACAAAAGCTGCTTATTTGGTCGCTTTGCACTCCAGTTTTTGAAGGGGAGAGTAGGAAGACCTAAAGACAATAGAGAAGAGGGGTCTGGATGCCCATAATTCTCAATAAGGAATTATTGGAAGGTCACAGAATCAGGATAGAGTTGGAAGGAACCTTGGAGGTCTTCTAATCCAGCCCCCTGCTCAAGCAGGATATCCTATACCCGTGGTGGCGAACCTATGGCACGTGTGTCACAGGTGGCACGCAGAGCCCTCTCTGTGGGCATGCGTGCCATTGCCCCAGTCCTAGACCTTCACCTGGGTTTTATAAAACCTTTTCGCTTTAGGCCGTCTGCAAAAAAAAAAACAAGATTCAATCAATCAATCAATTTCAACTTCTTGCGGGGAAAAAAATATCTTGCAAAGTTGAAACTGATTGATTGAACTTTTTAGTCCCACCCAGTCTGCCATTACCACCACAGCCACACCCACCCAATGGCCAGGCCCACCTGGCACCCGACGATACATAAGTGGGTTTTGGGTTGCAGTTTAGGCACTCGGTCTCTAAAAGGTTCGCCATCACTGTCCTATATCATTTCAGACTAATGACAGTTGTTAAATGGATTTTGTCCCACTTTACAACTTTTCTTGCCACAGTTGTTAAGTGATTCGCTGCAGTTGTTAAGTGTCTTGCCATCTTTTCCCTTCAGCTGCTCGTTTTTCTTAAGCACGCTTAGGTTTTAATTGCTTTACAATTGAAGCTTTACAATCTCTTGATTTATCACTAGTTGATGAAGTATGAATTCTTGGCAAGAGGAATACTATGTTGCCAAGGATAATTATTCAACAATGGATGCTGCAGAGATATTTACAGGAGAGACTTATGAACTTTGAAAATGTAATGCAATTGTTGGGAAAATCCCCAGTTAAAAGTCTAAGGAAAGGTTTCACTATTAAGAAGGAAACAAGGGATTTGAACCTGGACTGAGAGATAATTATTGGGGTGATTTGTAGTAAATAAGAAACCATGTAGGCTTTCTATGAGTAAATTACAATAACAGATTGTGAACAGAATGCTTTGAATTTTAACGTTGTTTAACCCGTTAACTATTTTTTCTTTTACCTATGTATGACAGGTCACTTGGGTTGCAAATAGATGTAGAAGTTTATAAATTTTGGACCTACTTTGCAAGGGGGCTTTGCAACCTATTATTGTGTTCAACTCAGGGAGATAATTTGTTTTTGTCCTTTTTTTAATTCACATTTTTTCAGTGTTTTTGTTTTATTTTGTCTCTGTTCAGTTTTTTATATTGGATTTTATGTTTTAATCTTTTGAATAAAATAAAATTGTTTAAAAAAAGAGAAAACTTGTATGAAGAATACCGAAGAATAGGTGACCCCAAGAAGAAGAAATAAATAGGAGAAAGAAAGGGACAATTAAGAGAGTATTGAGAATTTATTTTATTCTCCATTTATTGATTTACCTTATTAACTAAAATCAAAACATTAAAGTAATAATATATAAATGAATGCCTTAATTTATTAGCAAAAAAGTGATTGAAGAAATGCAACTTTAAAATATAGATTAAGGAGATGACTTCTCTGAATTCTACTATAACTAAAACCATCAAAATGGATAAATCCCAAAAATTGTTTCCTGTCTCATTTTGGTTGAACTAGTATTGTAAAGGTGCTACATATTTTTTTCAGGAAAAGGTTTTGAGGAATTAATGACTGTGAATCTGGCACAATATAAACCAAGTGGGGAATTTGTCACTGTCCGGAGAGTCAACTTAGAAGCCTGCACCAATGAGATGGTAGCATTTTTGCAGGTAAAATTAGCAATCGTGCCAAATTTGTTCAGTGTGTTCCTCCTAGAAGTGTTCTTAGTTCTTACCCAGATTAATATATGACAATTGTACATAGAACATAAGAATTATTATGAGTGAAGCCCATTTGGTCCTATATTCTGTTCCCACAGGGGCCAATTTGATATTACCCCCAAAAAGTATAATAGTATTTTATTCCTTTCAGTAGTACTTCCTGCCTCTGTTGTTAGTCACTAACGTCTCCATGAATTGTGATTGCCAGTTAAAAATCTGAATGAATAAATTATATTATTAACAGAATACTATATTTTGTAGCTAATTATTATTATTTAATTCACTCTGGATTGTCATATCTTATTCCATATCTTACAAGTCTGATTTTCCAAGAATATCTTGTTAAATTTTGGTTTCAGGGTGAGCTTCACGTCTCAAAATTCTTCAGCCACCCTAATTTAGTGCCATATAAAGCAGCCTTCATAGCTGACAATGAACTATGGGTTGTTACATCATTCATGGCATATGGTAAGTAAGAGTAGGAAAGGACTTATTTATTTATTTATTTATGAGACTTATATACCGCTTTAAGTGCAAGCACTCTCTAAGCGGTGTACACCAGTAAGCAATGTATGTGTGATATACATATATATATATATATATATATAGGTCTTTGGTTGTTCGGGTTTTCTCCCGCGTAAAATTGGAAGTGTCTTGGCGACGTTTCGAGACACTTCCAATTTTACGCGGGAGAAAACCCGAACAACCAAAGACTATATACAAATACCCGCGAAAACCTCAGAAAACAAATAATATATAATATATATATATATATATATATATATATATAATATATACACATACATACATAATACATACATACATACATATCAAGGAGTATACGAAATCCCATGCACCACTTGTCCCACCACATACATCGGACAAACCAACAGAAGAATAAGTGCACGCATTGAAGAACATAAGAACTCAGTCAAAAAAGAGGAACCAACATCTTCCCTGGTCCAACACCTTAAAGCTACAGGACATGAAATTGACTTTAAAAATACCAGAACCATTGCCAAAAGTGAACATTTTAATAACAGAATAATCAGAGAAGCCATCGAGATAGAAAAACGCCCACACAGCATGAACAAGCGAGATGATACCTCCCGCCTACCAGCCATTTGGAAACCCGCCCTTATTGACAAACGACTCCCTAACACAAAAAATGATACCAGACCCACACTCACAAAAACCACACAGGAGGTCACCACCACACATCCACGCAAAAAACAAACCCAAAGCCACACCGATGACGAGGCACGACCACAAACCAGAAGCCAGACCACAGCTGCATCATTAGCCACTTTAAACCCCCCCAATCCATACATGAAGCAAACTGACACCCTCCATGAAGAGGAAGCACGACCACGAACGCGAAGCCAAGGAATGGCAGGGGCAGCCCAAAATCTTGAATCCCTCTGCAACTCAGACTAACCTGAGCACAACCAAACAGAACACTCCCCCAGCCAATCAGAGCACAGCCAACCCCCCAGCCAATCAGAGCACAGCCAACCCCCCAGCCAATCAGAGCACAGCCAAGCCCCTAACCAATCAGAACACACCTCCACCCAATCAGAACACAGCCAAGCTCCCACCCAATCAGTTCATACCTCCACTGGCAGTTAAAAGGAAGAAACAGCCAAGACCACACACTGCTGCTCGAGGCACGAAGTTGAAAGCACCAGCCTGAAGATGACGAATGGGACTTCGTCGAAACGTCGCCAAGACACTTCCAATTTTACGTGGGAGAAAACCCGAACAACCAAAGACATACATACATATATATATACATACATACATACATACATACATACATACATACATACATACATACATATATTTACATTGCCCCCAACAATCTGGGTCCTCATTTTACCTACCTCGGAAGGATGGAAGGCTGAGTCAACCTTGAGCCGGTGAGATTTGAACTGCTGATCTGCTGAACACAGTCAGCTAAAGTGGCCTGCAGTACTGCACTCTAACTGCTGCGCCACCTCGGCTCTTTCATACAGGATTTGTTTTTATGATGTAATGAAAACATATTCAGGCATTAATAATAATTAGTTGCAGCATTAAAATAACATTAAAGACCCGTAAAGCTATGTTTCTATTCCATATACTAATTTTGCATTAACTGCCTAAACATAGACAGTTATAATGATTTTTAAGTCAATTTGTGTTTTAGAATTTATTATTGAACTAGTTATTAACTAAGTAAATTCAAATTAATGTACATTGATAAGCAGATAAATTTTCTTTTGAAAGATCCAAGTATTTTAAAACAAAGATATTTCTAAAGCAGTGAAAGCAAAAACAGAATGCCCTCTATTACCAAGATACCAAGTCACTTTTTGGTAATCCAAACTAAGAAGGTTCTGGTTGTGAATCATGTTGACAATAGGAGGTTAGAGTGAAGGAAACAAGAAGATGTATTCTTGTGTTGTCAGTATGGGGAAGGAAGATCTATTAAGGACAACTGCAGCTCCCCCATTTTCATCTATACTTGGGAGAATTCTGCACATGAACTTTCCAGGAAAAATATATTCTAACTATCATACTAAATGATTAAATATATATGTTACATGTTTTCTAAGGACCTCATTTCAGTGTACATGGTTCTTTCCTTTTCCTTTTGATTTGAAAAATTACTCTGAACAGTAATGTTAGGATAATAGTGACTGGTCCAAATTCACAAAGCTTAGCTTCATAATTAAATAGTAATTTGAACCTAAGTCTTCCTGAACTTAGTCCAGTAGTAGATTTTATAGCCCATTAGTTCTTGTTCCTCATGGAAGTCTCTGGTTTCTCTCCTTATTCTCATCATTGCTGATGTAGAAAATAGCTTTCATAAAGAATGAGAAACCTTAAAGTCTTTTGTGAAATAGAATTACAATTTCACATCTAATGGCTTCTCATCTTTTTGATGTTTATAAATAGAAGAATTAAGATTTTCTGGACTGTATCAAATCATAATATTATATTCATTTTCTTTTTAAAGGTTCTGCTAAAGATTTAATACGTACACATTTTATGGATGGTATGAGTGAACTAGCTATGGCTTACATCCTTCAAGGGGTATTGAAAGCTCTTGATTATATACACCATATGGGTTATGTTCACAGGTAAGAAAGATCATTGCAAATGTTAACTAGTAAAAGAATCATTTCTAGCTTTGGCTTTTTGTTCAGATTAGCATTGCCACTGTGTAAATATTTGCTGAATTTCTCAAAAATACCTTCTGTATCAAATTCCAGAGATTTTGTTTCTTGGTATAAAATGAGTTGGTTTGGATAGGTGGGGGTTTGTGGCTGTTTTCTCTCTGTCCTTTTTGTATGCAGGAGTGTGAAAGCCAGTCATATCCTGATTTCTGCAGATGGAAAAGTATATCTTTCTGGTTTGCGCAGTAACCTCAGCATGATCAGCCATGGTCAGCGTCTCAAAGTAGTTCATGATTTCCCCAAATTTAGCATCAAAGTTCTACCATGGCTTAGTCCAGAGGTCTTGCAGCAGGTATGTTAGTTTTCCTGGTATCATGTTTCTCAACCTTTAAATGTGCATGGCATAAGTTTTCACCACCTATTTTACAATTTATTTCTGAACAGCTTCAAATAATGACTTTCTAAAATTATTTGGTATTCTGACTGTAGAAGTTCCAATATGTTTTCTTCATTCTTAAGAAAACCTTTTTTCTGACATTGATTCTGCAAAAAAAGCATTGTCTGATTGATGAATGGATTGATTTGGGGGTAATTGTGATATGCTTGTCTATTTTTCAGTTTAAATTTCATTGAATAGCATTTGAAATTCAATATTGTTTTGCTTTTCTAATTTTAGAACCTGCAAGGCTATGATGCAAAATCTGATATCTATAGTGTAGGAATAACAGCCTGTGAGCTAGCAAATGGCCATGTCCCGTTCAAAGATATGCCTGCAACACAGGTAGGAGATTTTCTGTTTCCCTTTCAATTCAGTCCCTGACTGTATATATGATAGCAAAACCACTAGAATTATTATTAACAGCAAGGCCACTAGAATTATTATAACACTAACTGTTCTACAGTAGTGTGATATTTTTCACCAAACTTTGTGTTCTCATGCTTCAGATGCTTTTGGAGAAACTCAATGGAACTGTACCTTGTCTACTAGACACAACTACTATTCCTCCAGAGGAGCTGACTATGAAGCCATCACGCTCTGGAGCTAGCAGTAGTCTTGGAGAAGGCATGGCAGCCAGCAATACTAGAGCCTCTAATGGTGAAGCAGCACTGCATCCTTACCATCGTACCTTCTCATCATATTTTCATAACTTTGTAGAGCAGTGCTTGCAAAGGAACCCGGACTTGAGGTATAGTGAAAAGAGTGAGATTCAAAGGATATGATAATCTGTTGGTGACTGTGAAGTAGTGCAGCTAAAGTTAGAGCTAAAATATTCCTCAGCATTCAGTGGTACTTGGAAGCATAATATGTAGTGTTGCAAAAGATGTAACTATTATCTCCCTGTTAAATCAATTTCTCCATGCCAAATGAGCAGGCTTTGAATGGTTTGGGATGATTGAACGTGTTATATGTTTGTGGAATTAGTTGCTGTTGGAATCAGTGTTGAAAATATCAATGAAAATATACATTTGTCAGATAAAGAACTTGAATAATGAAAAAGCAGGTTCAGATTAGTGATGCAACTAAAGAGAAAACCTTTTTTTTCTGATTGTTTCAGCAATGGTAGAAAAAATGGAAATGCAAAATAAGCCCTTTGGCTCATTGCTTTTCATGTGATGGCAAGTCTATATGACATTATAGACCATGGTGCTGTCAACTAACCAACTTGTAGTAAAAAATCAACCAAAGAAATTATTTTTAAACCTTTAAAATATTTCCTTTAGAAAAAATGGATGCAGTTTATCGTTACCTCAAAGGACTTTAAAGCATCATATTTCTCAGGGTATGTTGAAAAGAAAAAACTTCAAAGTCTGAACTGCCTGCACTCGTATCTTTAAAAACTCATTTTAGCTCAACAACACCAACAGTAACAAAAATGATGACCATGAATTGAAAAAAAGAATCACTTTTACAATTAAAGGATTTAGAATTGCAGTAAATTGTCAAATCAACAGGCTTATATATTTTGCAGCAAAAAGCATTAACAATGACATCAGTGTATAACTGCACTAACAATGTGCATGCATATACCAAAGTAATCAAATCAGCATGAATACAGGGTTCCACCCCCATTTATTTATTTATTTTTGCGGCTGCCCAGTGAGCAAAATCCAAGAACGAAAACAATACTTGAAAACCTGCACCAATTTAGGCAGCCCAGACTGAAACAGTCATAACAGTGGCAAAAGCCACAATAGGGCCCCCAGAAACGCATTAACCATGGGTCTTCAGAGCTTTTCAGAATCCCATAACGGAAGCACTGGCTGCATTTCTGGGAGAATTCTGTCCATAGGGTGGGTACCATAATAGAGAAGACAGACTTCCTTGTTCCCACAAGATGACAATATTTATCAGAGGCAACCTGGAATGCATCCACTATTCTGGAATGTATCAGATGGGGAGAAACAATTGAGGATAGGTGATCCCTCAGATATCCAGGCCTTATGCCAAAACAGTCTGATTTCCTTCATGAATAATTTTAACCAAAGATTTAAAGAGAAAAATAAATATTAGTATATCACAAAGGAACCAAGTAACATAGTGATGTTTTGTTTCCTGAAATTAGCCCAAAACTTCATTTTCCAGGGGAAAAATTCTACTGTTATTAGCTTGCTGAAATTAGATGTGCAAATGCACTTTATGCATGATATTTTGTCCCACTCATTGTAGAATTTTCAAATGAATCCCTCTGCAAATGAGGTTGTTTAGTAATTAGATAAACACAGAATTGAACTACTTGTTTGCCTCCATTCAATATCTCTTAGCTTATGTGACCTATGGGTTTATGCTAATGTGAGACAGTGCCTGGCTCAGAGGTGAATTATTCCTTATTGTGCATAGTAAAATTGGTCAGGTCACTACCAGCAGAGGATAAGACTAAATCTCACTCTTCCTCCAGTGTCTGGACAAAAATCTCCAGCAAGCACTAACTTTATGTTTAGGAAAAACAGTTGCTTATCCAATCAATATGTGAGCTTGAATGAAGGGCTCTCGTGATATCATTGCTTTAGAGAATACCCTTTTATTCATTCTACTGATTGAGGGCAAATAACATACTGCCAGGTAACAGCTGCTATAGAGCATAACACTGGCTTTCCAAAACTGAAGGAGGTCTCTTATTTTACTTTTCCATGAGCCAACAGCCCACCTTCTTTTCTTCCTGGAAAAGCTCAGAAACATTCATGCAAAAAAACGGAGGGAAAAAACATAGGCATGCCTGCCATTGCAAAATCAGTATCCTGGCTTTTGATGCTGGCATTTTTCTCTCTCTCAGCCATATTTTTTTATATTTGAATCGTATATATATTCTGAAGGGAGAAGTTTCTGGCCTTTCTCCAATCTCTGCATCTTTTACATGCTGCTGTACAACCTCTCATTTTTTTCATACGCAGGCCAAGTGCAAATGCATTGCTGAACCATTCTTTTTTCAAACAGGTAAGTTTCAGCCACTTGCTCTGACATATTTTATCCTTTTTTCACTCTTGTGTTGTTGGAGTGTAAGTAGGAGAAACAAGAATGTACTGCTGCTTTGGAACCATTTCTGTGAATACATAAACAAAACAGTATGAAACTCTGTTTTGAAATTTTGAATTTAATTTGCATTATCATGGTTAATATTCAATTTACAGTCTGGGAATTATTATTATTACTACTATTATTACTTTTACTACTACTATTAATATTAATATTGATTTAATCTTCAATTCAGTTCACAGTCTGAGACTGGTAAAAACTTAACAGTTCAAATCCTAACCAAGAACTTAAGAGCTACTAAGGTAGCCTTTTGAGTATATACTGTAGGCAGTTCCGAGTAAGGCATTTTTTTGCAAAGTTGGGATATTCAGATCTAATAAGTTCAAAATTTCCATGTATTTAGTCAGCCCTTTGGGTATTGCTCCAAGGGCTCCTGTTACTATTGGTACAGCTATTGATTTCTTCTCCATAGTCACTCAACTTTAATTTGCAAATCACTCAACTTTGTTATTTTTTTCTAGCTTTTTCTCTTCAATTCGTGTATCACCTGGTATTGCAATATCAATGAACTAGACTTTTTTCTTTTCCGTAATCGTGACGTCAGGCATATTGTGGGCCAGATGTCTATCTGTTTGGTAGTCAGCTTTTGCTGATTTGGGGCAGTGGGCAACAATACCCAGATAATTTTAAAATAAGAATTATGCTTTTGCAGAATCGTGCCTTTTTGCATTTGTAAAAATGCAAGCATTTTGGAGATCTAGAATTTTGGAAATTCCATCATTGAGTCCTTATTGTCTGTTGAGTTTCTGTAGGGAATGGAAATAGGGGCTAAGTTTAGTCTTTGGTTCTTATAAAATTTTACATTCTGATACAGAACAGCTAGTTTCTAGTGGCCTGTATCTGGATTGAAATATTTATATTCCATTTGAGAGAAGGACCAGTTATGCCGCTTCCTTTCAAAAATGGTTTTGGGGAAAGACTAACAGAAAGATTTTAAGGAAGGTCTGAGGAAGAGGAAGGACTGTCCTTGGTTTCAGATGTAACATATCCAATTGGCCCATTTTTCTCTGCTCTTTCAGGAATGGAGGTAAGGAAAGCACTGGGAAGAATGGCAGGCTATGCAGAAGAGTAAGAACTAGTATGCCATCCTTTCATCCCTTCCCAAAGGTCTTTGCAGATTTTCTTCTCAAACTCACAACAATCGAAAAGGTTTGATTTTATCTGACTGTACCCAATCCACAAGTTTGGCAGAATTTCCAAGAGCTAAAGTGCCTTTTGGTTTCAACAACCTGTTATTTAGTAAACAGTTGTAATGTAATCTAGCATTCTCAGCAAGAGGATGCTACTCAAAGAAGTCATTAAGAAAAGATGAAACCCCTCTATTTTTTTCAGTAGTTATGAGAGGATGAGGGGTAACATTCTGCTTTTATTTGTTCAGTGATTATCAACATAATTAGGATGCTAAATTATCTCCTATTCCTGAATGTGCAAAGAACATCCAGATATAAGTAGACCTTGATGGCCATGGAAAGGGTATTTATATAAAACGTCACATCTCTCCTTCCACAGTTATATGATTGCAATGAGGGTGTTTATCAGTCTGTTTGCACTTACAATCTTAAATCAGTGGGGAAGCCAACAGGGAGGATTGCAAGGTGTTGCCACTTGTCAAAAGGATTCCTTCTCACTTCTTGGGGCTGGCTGAAAAAGATATCTGCCAAGGGGAGTTGAATGCCTTCTAAGGGATAGAGAAATAGAGCTGAAATCCTGATGATCTGAACTGTTTCTGTACCATACTGATGGACTTACTTCCAAACCCCAAGGGAGCTGATCTCCTTGGGTGGGGTGATAAGATATTCAGGATCCAAGTTCTGGTCCTGCATTCCACCAAAGACATTTCCTTCTGTGCATCCTTTGGTAGCTAGCTCCTATAAACAAACGGCAGCTGAAATACAAGCAGAATGGAAAGATGGTGTGGTAAAATTAGGAATGTAGGGTGCCTCGGGCAGGTGGGAGAACCTCAGCACAGGCTACGGACAAATGTTTCTTTGCTCAGGGGCTGAAAATCCTGTTTCAATTTCAGGGTCTCACCCACTCAAGCATCTCATGTTCCTTAACTGGGACTCTGTCTACTTCACAACCTGTAGGATTGCTTAATGACCGCAACTGGAAATGCCAGGATTGTGGTTGTTGAGCAAAGCCATCATATAGACAGTCACGTAATGTCAGGCTTAATGCTTTTTGCTTAACAACCAAGATTCTGGGTTCAATTGTGGGTTTACAAGTCAAGGACTACCTATATTTAAAAGTGACACTGTGTAGTGGAGTTGTACATAAACATGGACTGAGTTAAATTGCATCTAATCACATTATTTTGTTTTTAATTCTAGTACTTTTCCATTTTCTAGATCAGACATCGGGCATCTGAAGCACTTCCGGAACTGCTATATCCTGTCATGCCAATTACCAGTTTTGAAGGGATACAGACACAAGATCCTAGCCATCTATTTGGATTGGCTTCCAACATGGAGCAACTTGAGATGGATGATTGGGAATTCTAGGATACCAATAGAGGAACATTGTGAAATATTTTTTACAAAGCAATCTGCTGATTACACTGCAGTTTGTCTTTCTTAAGAAGTTGATCTAGCTGACATATGCATTGAAATGAAGCCTGGACTTTGGGAGGAAAAAAATAACAATATTGTATTGAATTCTGGTTCCAAGACAATAAAATAATATATATGCTAAGAGATAACAGTGTTTAGTCAAAGGAACATGGCTCAATTGTTTTTTAATCAAACCCAAATCCTAGTCTTATTGTAGGTTTACTAATAGATCCAAGGAACTGAGTGCCATGCATTCTTTAAAAAAAAAAAACCCCAATAAAAATCCACTTAGAATTGCTTAGTAGCAGCAAATAACCATATTGACATAGGGTTAGAATATGAAGACACATTTAATTTGTATCTAACAAAGGTATTTTCTTTGGCATTCCTTCCTATAGTGAATTGTCCCAAATTGTGTAGTAATCTTTCATTCTTCTACATACTTTCTTAATCGTTGTTCAATCAAACATTGAGCCAAATCTTTTCTGGCAAGCTGTACCATTGCAGATTTTAAGTACTCATGTCTTAAACTGTATTTGATAGTTTTCTTGCCAATAAAAGATTTCTACATTTTCACAATGTTCTTCAATAAATGCTGCCGTTTATGAACTCCCTGTAATTAAAACAAAATAGAAGCCTCTAAATTAGGCTAGTAAGCCCAATCGATATATTTGCCATTGAAACTTGAAAGGCAACATAGTAGAAATATTTATTACAAGGTTTGGAATTAGTACAGTCCCCAATAAATAAAAAACAGACTTAAAACAAAACTTACAATCACAAGATAACTACTTCAGACTGTCTGAAATGTCTTGAACTCTTTCTTTTATACCATGCTTCAAAAGACCAATTTCAGATGTTGTGAGAAGCAATATAAGAGATGTTCAGTCAATTTAATTTCTGCTAGTTATTTCCTTTTAGAATACAGAAGTTGTTCGGGCACAGGAAGAACTATTTCCTTTAACTTTCAGAAATACAAAGTTTTTGCGCTGCTATTTTTGTACTTTTTTTGTTCTTGTTAATTTTTTGTTTTTTCCCTTTTCCAGTATATTAAAGCAATAAAAATAATGAATTGCTTTGTTTTAATAATGTTCTTTACTATCTGTAATATAAATATATCTTGGTCAATAAAGTTGTTTGGAATGTATGTTGAAGCACAAAGGATGATGGATCAACTTATTTTTCTATAAATTATTTATTCTGCAATCACATTATGTAAGGATATAAGACATGAAAATGCTAAAAAAAAAATGCTATTCTTGCTCTCCAGCATCTTCAGGGAGACTTTCTTCAGCCTTATGCCTTTCCAGTTTTGTTAACAATTCTGTAAAACAAAATCCAAGGCAAAAAAAGTAATACTTCACAACATGATCCGTACAAATTATTGAACTCCCTTCCTCTATATTCTGATGAACATAGCCCAGGATGAGAGATAAAACTGAACTCTATGTATTTGACACAATTCCCTACGCAGAAAAAAAATGACTAAATGAGTTAGGCAGACTTTCCATAGATTTGGAGATGTAATTCTAATATTCTTTTCCTAAGAGTTAAATTCATATTGAATTAGTTCTCTTAAGCTCAGGAGCAATGTGCATTTAAAATAGTATGGCTGATATTTAAGTAAGACTAGCTTATGTATTTCCCAATCCTCTTTTTCAAATAGGTTTACAATAATAAAGCAGTGGGGACTGCTTTTCCCCCAGAAGAGGGGAAAATGTTTTAAAAGATTCTTTCAAGCAAATATTCATAAAATAAAAATACATTATTAAAATTGAGTTTGCCTACATTAGCAACCCAAAGTGCTGATTTATCCCATTTAACAATTATTTGGAACAGCATCTAGCTATACTACTTAACATTCACTTAGACCAGGACTGTCCAGCCTTTGGGATGCATGTAGCCTTGGACAGCTAGTAATGTGGCCCCATAAGATCATAAACCTTTAACGTGATTTATATGCAACCCAAGAAAATTCTTCACTCAGTGTGGCCCAGGCAAGCCAAAAGGCTGGACACCCATGACTTGAGAGTCAAAATTAATTTCACTATTATCTGCCTTGTATCTTAGTATGGAAAATAGCATTTTGTTATCTTTAATATATGTCTTGACTGAAATAAATCGCATCAAATCATTTATTACAGTCAGTGACCAGAATTATTTTAAGGAATGTGGAGATGGTCTCTCCTACTAATCTGTCCCTTGAGCTCATGTAAATGTTAATATGCAAACCTGCTCCTAGACCTATTTCTGTGTCATGATTGAGAAATACAGAAATCTGAAGCCTTTTTCCAAAATTTTTGATAATATGTTTTACATACGGTACATACATATATGTTTTTAAAAGTTAAATATAAATATATAAAATATACAATCTGATTTCTATAATTATATAATATTATATAATATTTTCATATTTTGTTTGCATAGGTTTGTCCTTTAGTGACTGTACAAAGTTATGACAGACTCCTCCCCCTCAAAGCTACTAATGACTCAGTTTCAAAGTTCCAACATTGGCCATCCCTGCAGTTATGTTACTGCATTTTGGCAACTGATCCACATTTATAGCTGTTTGCAGAGTCCGCAGTCACATGACTGATTTATGACTTTTTTCCAGAAACCAGTGTTTATTTCCTGGTTTTGGCAAAAACTGCTCCTTAGAAAACAATGGGTTCTATTAATATATTTAAAATTTACTAACAGGAGCAGTGAAGAATTGGACAATGAGTAAGAACACTGGTCATTGCATGAGGGAATCTGAGCAGTGATTGGTTGATGTGAGTGAAAAGGGAATTTTCTTGTGCATGCTCTGATTTACCTCATGTTCCTGCTGTGTTGATTTACCTGACGATGCTCCTGTTTGCCTATCTTATTTAATGAAAATATATTTATTTATATAAAACTGTTTCATCTCAGCATCTTTGACTTTATTTGGGCACCGGCTGCACAATTCCCTGACAGGTTCACTTAATGACTGCAGCATTCACTTAACACCTGCAGCACTCTCTTAATGATTGACATTAAAAATTCATAAAATCAAGTCCAGTCACTCCCCACCACTCCAGTTAAAAATGAAATATGGGCCAAATACCTTTGGCTGGATTGAAGACACCATTAGTCTGTTTGTCACATACATAACATCGCTGAGACTTGCGATAATGTTGTAGGGCACAGTTTTCACAAAAGTAATGTTTACACCTAAGACAACATAAGACAATTGCTGCAGGTTTCTAGCAGAGAACTAGCATTTTTATTTTTGGGTGGAGTTATTTAATTTTCAAGAAAATCTTACATTTTAGTCACTTTAAATTTACATTTCTTAAGAACAGCATCAGCATCTCTTTAGGTCCATCAATATTTTTAAGATAGTAAATTATATATAAATACTAGAGTATTTCTTTACATGTGATCGTACAGATGATGATAACCTGTCAATCTCAAAACTGCAATATTAAAGATCATTTTAAAATGTCAATATTAACAAAAAAATAATCTTACTTGGTTACCACAGGATTCTTGAAGGAGTTTCTGCAAATAAAACACTTGAAAGGCAGTTCATCTTCATCACTACCTACTTCATAATTTTCATCATCTGAACAAAAGAAAAAGTAGGAAGTTGTTTTTGCCAAAAGGGGTAACATTAACAAGTTAGATAAAAATAATTTTACTAAAATAATCACTCAAGACAATTGCTTCTATTCCCTCCTACAATTCTCACATGAAGAAGGAAGGCACATATTTGTCCTCTGCTGAGAATATACTTCATATTGTCATCAGAGGCTATCAAAATAGTTGATATAAATTACACATGTAAGGCAACTGTTCTAAGTCAAGGCAGCCCATATGCTCAAAGAAAAACAGTTCACAGCTGACCGTAGCTCTTGAAGAAGTCTGAAAATTGATACTCTGAAAACATTATACAATCCATCAAGACGCCAGAGAATACTAATATGGTTATGCAGTTGTGCTACAATATTTATATTTAATTATGAGTTTAAAAATATGAAATCTTTATTAAAATTCCTATTAAAACATGAGAAATGTATATTTGCCCTACATAGATTCTTCTTTCATTTTCAATCAATATGAATGCACACATATAACTTTCAGTCCCCACTGTATGTATGTGTATATATATGTGTGTGTGTGTGTGTGTGTGTATACACACACACACACACACACACACATATATATATATATATATATATATATATATATATATATATATATACACATACATACATACATACACACCCAAACTCTACAATTATATACACACACAGACACCAGTGTTCAATAGAAGGAAACATTTTTTTCTGAGGTGATCACTCCTATATTTGATCAACTCAATCCAATCTTGTATCTGCTATTTGTCATATCACATATGAATTTGAAAGACATTATTTTCATCATAACAAATTACATTTACTAAACAGTGGAAGAAAGTGGATTGCTCATACCATTAAGTCCATAGCGTCCCTCATCCAGTTCCCGTTCAATTTGCCACCCATGCTTATAATCTGATCGGTCATGCAGAAATTTACAGCTATCTGTAAGGAAGAAAAAAAAGGACACTTAACAATGATGTCAACACTTTCTGTTCTGCTATCAATCAATAATAATCTGCTATCAATAAAAATCAATAAATAATCAGAAAGTATATGAAGAACTCATTTACCTCCAAAGCCACAAAATCCAGTTTCCTTGTAGTCTTTACATATATCAGGCTGGTAATCCCACCTCACAGTGGCCCTGAGATGTTCTGGGGCTCGGATTGGTCCCTTCCTGAAATAAACAACAAAAACAAGAAAAGATGAAATGACTTGTAAGCGCTAAAAATGGTTGCGCCTATAGCAATACACAAATGTCACCAAAGTAATAAGATTTGAGGGAGACCACAATGGTTTGATGAACAATTAGTCTGACAACACAGATTCACTTTTTTCAGACAAAAGGACACTTTTGAATAGCAGGGTCACCACACATAAAAATGAGAACTCCCATCTTGCAACATAATTTAACATACTAGACAGTCATGTAGGTTGCCCCTTCTGCAACATTTTCAGGAAATCTCTGGTTTTACATTTACATTCATGTGTTTAAAACTGGAAACATCAAGTTTCTTCTTTGAATGTGAAGCTCATTCTTACAAATATTACAAAGCTGTTTAAAAGTAAACTATCAGGTTAATAAAAGACTTCTTAAGATACCATGGTCCATTTCAAACTGAGAACAGAAATAATTAGCAGACAGAAAAATGAAATAAACTGACAAATTTTCACATAGCATAAAATGTATCCTTAGGTAGCTAAGTACATATGCTTTTTCTTGGAATGAACATTACATTTTCTCCTTACCTTACCATGCCTGAAGAAGCATTTCCCATGGATGTATCTTTTGGCTTTACATACTTTTGATAATTATTAATCCCTCTATATATCTTATCATCTTCCTTTCCTTGAAGTTCCTGAACAGAAAAAAAAATCAGTGACAAGGCAATTCATGCTCCCGTATGATCATCCACTAAGTGTTTTGAGTGACCTAGAGTCATATAGGTGAGATAGGAGGCCATACAAATTAAATCAATCATAAATAAATGAACTGTGCATGCTTCAAGATAATGAAGAAGAAATAACTATATTTTCTGCAAATTCAGAGACCTATCTCTCTACTATGCTGCTCATTAAAGGAGACTGAAATAGATACCAGGTAACAACAGTTGGAACAACAACAACAGAAACATAGTGAAAAATGGAAACAAAAATAAAAGTATAAACAAGATTAAAGAGATGACAGATATGACACAAATCATCTGAAAATCCTGGTAGTAGACTTCTAAGTAGAAGAAATACTAAAGAAAAAATATTTAACATCAACACAGATAACCAGTATGACATTTCTACCCATTGCTTGTTTGTCAATACATAAAGACTTCAAGCAAAGAAAAAAATGGAGACAATTGTTTAGATACCTACCTTCTGTATTTGCTGGCTACGTTCAAAAATGGCTTGGGCATCTTTGTCCTTCTCTGTGTCCAGTTCATATACAGCTGTCGCACCCATGTCCTCTGGACCCACAGGTTTCTGAAATATGAAAACTCTATTAGTAGGGCAAAAAGGAAAATGAACCTCAGCTTTTATTAACATAATTGAATATATTACCAAAAAGCTGCACTCTAGCAGATGAATAGCTAAATTTCAGAGTTACATGATTTAATTCTTTTTTTAATAAAAATTCTAATAGCAGTTAAGAAGAGTAAAATGAGATATCTTTGATTCAGACGATGAAGCCAAATGGCAATCTCACCTTGTACAAATATGTATCATCCAAGTTACATTACAAAATTTTAAAAATGGTCACCAGATGTTAGCAAAGATCTTGTGAAAACCCATTAACGCTAACCCAAGTTTTCCTGCACTTGTTTAATTGCTGGGAAACAAAACTCTCATCAATCTACTACAGCGGACAATGTTTTAAGGATATTCATACCGCGGATCGTGTTGATTTATATGCAATTCCAAGTCCTTCAGGTTTGTCATCATCATCGTTACTGCTTGACTCATAGGAAGTCTTTGTCTTCATACTTTTCTTCGTCTGGAAGACGGGAGAGTGAATAAGACTATCATATCAATAAATATTCAAGAGGCAATCCATGTATACTTGGGAGAATTGATAGGCAGTATACATCACCTTCTGAATCATGGGATTGGAAACTTCCTTTCGTCTCTCCTTCCTGACTACAGTGCTGCCTTCATCACTGCTGTTACCTTTAAGTAGATGGAAATCGCACAGCATTGGAAAATAATATATTAAACAGGGAACCCTAGCAGAATGCAGCTGCCTCTCTAGATTCCAAACTCATCCTTAGCAAAAAGATCCTTATATTCAGTTACAACAAGTTCAAATTCATATAAACAAAGCCAAACAATTTTTTTTCTACTACCAGAGATTGTACTTTTCCTTTATTCTCATAAAAGACAACGAAGGTAATTGTTCAATCTCTTTAAAGCAATTTAAAACTAATGAGAACAATAAAATGTGCATTTCCATATGGAACATAGTTAAAACTATGGTATCTTTTGCTAATTTACCCAATTTTAAAAGGGGGCAAAGTAACTGATAAGGCTTGGAATATCTAATCTTGCCAATCCACTCTAACACACCCTAAGTACCAAATAATAAAAACGCAATGACAGGGATGAAAGAAAACCACGTTTATACATTGTGGGACAAGCTTGGGAAGACCCAGCGGGAAAGCTGCTTCTTTGTCGGGGAAAGAGACATGCATGCCGAATTGTCATGGAAAAGCGAGGCAACGCTTTTATGACTCTTATCCCCAAAGCGACATAACCTCTTACTCCATTTGTTCAGGATCCGTGGCTTCCGCATGAGATTTCAGGGCACAAGCTGACCGCGGCCCACCCGCCCGTGTCACCATCCCGCCGCAAATATATTTGGAGACTGAATGCAGTGACGGGCTGTGCTTCTCACCGGGGTCCTGGTCGCTGCTCGGCCTCTTACGTTGAGCCCTCCCGGGAGCGGAGCGACGCTTTTTGAAGAGGAAGCTACAAACAGGTTGAGCCTCTGCCATGGTGATCAAATCCTTCACGGAAGAAGGACTCCGAAGCGCGCTCAATTCGGCCCCTCCTCTTTTCCGCGACTACGGGCCACCCTTCCGCCTGGCCAGGCGGCGCTCTATCCTTCGCTGTCATGCAATGCCTTATAGACATGTACCTTTAGAGTAGCACATTTTGAAACTTCCGAGTTCACTTGGGATTGCTGATTGTGCCGTTTTCCTTCGCTACCTTGGGCAACGGCATGTCCCACTCTTTAAAATAAGAAGAAAACGTAACGTTTCTGCTGTCCCAAGTAAGGACATACGTGATCTCTAAATGACAGCAATTTCAGCCATTGACTGGTTGTCCGAATGATCTGTATTCAAGATCTGAATTGCGCGCAAGGCAAGATGCAGGAGAAGCCCAAGATAAAGTAAACAACTCTTCTAATAGTTCGGAAGAGGCTCAGATGAAAATTTATTTTGATGTTTCTTTATTTGAGAATTTTACAAATGCTCTGGAACAGTATTTCTCAATCTCAGCAAGCTGTCTCAGCAACTTTGAGATGTGTAGGTGAGAGGGCCAAAACAGGGCGCTTGATGTTACAGTGCTTAAAGCAGCGGTTCTCAACCTATGGGTCGCAACCCCATTTGGGGTCGATCGCCCATTTTTCAGGGGTCGCCAAAGGCGGTGATCTGCCATTTTTCGTGGTGCCGTGCACGCGCGCTGTGCATGGGGGTGGCACCGTGCGTGCGCGCTGCGCATGGGGGCACCGCCATGCATGCGTGCTGCGCATGGGGCGGCACCGTGCACGCGCGCCGCGCATGGGGGGAGCGCCGGGCATGCGCATTGCGCATGGGGGCATCGCCGTGCACGCGCACTGCGCGTGGGGGGGCTGCCCCCATGCGCGCGACCCGGCGCATGCGCAGAACGTTTGTGTGATGGGGTCGCCGTCACACAAACGTTGAGAAGCACTGGCTTAAGGGCTTGATCTCTCCTTTCCCATCAAAGCCAACTGGAATCACTCACCCAGAAAGGAACAGAAAGAATCAAACAGTGCTCCTGATCCCCTGTTCATGGGCCCCTTGTAGGTGGTCCAAAATCTTAGCAGAGTTTATGGTACTAAATTCTGCTCAGATATTTGATGGGACACAGGAAAGGTCCCCCACCCCATTTGGCTCAGCTGCAGGTCTCTACAGAATCAAGTCAGAATTATTAATCAGAATAGAGCTGGAAGAAACCTTGGAGGTCTTCTAGCCCAACCCCCTGCTCAAGCAGGAGAGCCTATAGCCCTATACCATTTCAGACAAGTGGCTGTCCAGTTTCTTCTTAAAAGCCTCCAGTGTTGGAGCACCCACAAGTTCTAAGGGATCTTAAAAACTTGGCCCTTTTATGACTTGTAGACTTCAACTCCAAGAATTCCTCAGGCAGCATGGTTGGCAAGGAATTCTGGAAGTTGAAGTCCACAAGTCATAAAAGGGCCAAGTTTGAAGACGCCTGTTCTAAAGGCAAACTGTTCCACTGGCTAATTGTTCTCAATTTTAGAAAGTTTCTCTAATTCCAGGTTGCTTCACTCCTTGATTAGTTTCCATCCATCGTTTCTTTTTTTTTTGCGTTTTGGTGCTTTGGAAAATAAGTTGATCCCCTGGCAGCCTCTCAAATACTGGAATACTGCTATTATGTCTCTCCCCCCCCCCACAGTCCTTCTTTTCTCTAGAAATAGCCATACCCAATTTCTGCAACCATTCTTCATATGTTTTAGTCTCCAAGACTGTAATCATCTTAGTTGCTCTTCTCTGCACTTTTTCCTAAGTCTCAACATCTTTTTTTTTTGTAATGTGGTGACCAAAACTAGATGCAGTCTTACTAAGGTTTTATAAAGTGGTACTAATATTTCTCGTGTTTTTATTCTGTGCCTCTGTTTATGCAACCAAGGATTGTATTAGCTTTTTTGGCTGTTGCCAGACACTGCTGCCTCATGATGGAAGTTAGCCCCCTCCCCGAAGGAAATATTAAAAAGGAAAATATATTTTTTCTCAAGGACTTTTTAAAACCAAACCTGGCCCCAAATCTATCTCTCTGCCCCAAGCAAGACTTTAGCCCCATACAAATGCAGATGTAAAACCATCAGAAAGTTGGAGCCAGAGCAATCAAGAAGACAAAAGAGAAGATCTGCATACCCCACCCAAACTCCAGGAGTCATTAGCCCCATCACTTGGGAAGCAGGATATGATAATAGGATTAAACCACAGATATCAAGGCCTAGACAAACATTCAGAAACAGCCTCAAGGTTCATGCCACAGGAACAGGAAACTAGTCCAAACAAAAGGCTAGAGGGGATATAAAAACCTACTACACCATGTGCTCAGCCCCCTTCTCTCTGCACTTTCCTGAAGAACCATCTTTCTGCAATAAACTGTAACCTTCTTCCCAAAGCAGTCACTATGTTTGCTTATTTATTCCCGGCTTAGATGAACCAGGATGAAGACTTTACTTCTAACAATTTGGCACCCCAGATGGGACTCCAAGCTAACCTCTCCAATGGACTGAGACTGGTAAGCTGCATCTTGCCGGCAGCAGACCCCCTTGTGTCTGTGGATGGGTCTCCCAGGCCTTGCCCATGTGGAGCTAGGGTAGTAAAGGGAGTTTTGAGAGTTTGAGCTCAAGGGCTGCTTTGGGAAGAAGATGAAGGTGAGTACCTCTAAATTTTAAGTTTAAAGCCCAGGGGAACAAAGAAAATGTGTGTATTTCTGTTTGGGTGAGTGAGAAGACTTTTTTTTTCCCAATCACAGTTGGATTTTGCTGCTTCTGGTCTTTCCTAGCCGCAGAAAGGATCTGTTTAATTGATAGACCCTGGAAAGCATGGGGGTTTGGCTGGAGCGCAGGACCTTTTGTTAGGGAAAACGGAGAGGCTGTGTGAAAATGAAATGGAATGAGTGAATGAAAGAATTGGATTTGGGCAACTAGTTGGTAAGGCCCTGTAAGCAAAGCAAAGTTAGGAAATTAAGCCTCAAGAAGGGAGCGGCCACTTACCTCCGAGAGCAAGTGGAGGTGTCCACGGACATTGGAGGCGTCCATAAACAGTGGTGTGAAGCCGGCCGGTCGAAGAGTAGCCCGTACCTTCTAATGAGGAAACCGGAAGTGTCTCTGCAGACCCCTTTTTGGTCTGAAAACGCGGCAGGATCCCTCAGAGGAGCTGTCCCACGAACTCTGTGAGGGATCCAGAGTGCTCCGTGAGTCCCATTTTTACCGGACTCACAAAGAATCGTGGTGGAAGAAAGAAGTCTCAAAAGGAGGCTTTGACTGTGTAGTGCCCTTTAGCGTCAAGGGAATATCCCGTCATATAAGAATTGGAGGTTCCAATTCAAGGGCTGAGGTAGGTTTCCCAGTTGAAGCTTGCTCGTAGCCTAGGACAGGAACCAGCTTCCTGTCCAGGCCAGAATGGAAAAGAGGTAGGTAAAGAAACTATATGAAAAAAAAAATAGACTTTGCTTAGGGCCTTGCTGGGAAACCAATTTGGCTAAATAAAGGTACTTAAAAGGGAAAATAAGAAATAGTCTCTCTCTCTCTCTCTCTCTCGCTCGCTCGCTTCTCTATGCAACCACGTGGTATGTTTAAAATATGTGTCTTCCCTAACTTGAGTTATCTGAAATTTATGGTGGGAATGACTAGGATGTGTAAATCTAAGACTTCTGTTCTCTTGTCTTTGTGTATATATGTTTGTCAATGTCTGTGTGTGAGACGTAAATGTGACTGTTAATTGTTTCAAATCCAAAGAAAAAAGAATTTTAAATTCTGCTAGAAATTCTGCTTAATAAGCCACAAAAAGGAAATACCTTACTCTGTTTGTCTGGCCAACAAACAGAGTGAAGAAAAAAAAAGTGCTTGCTTGTTTGTTTGTCTTCCTCTTTCTCTCTGTGCCCTCTTAAGAACAGCCTTAAGTTAGCAGGAGGGAATGTTTTAAGTTCATCTGCTAGAGGGACTCTGGAGGTCATCTAGCCCAACCCCCTGCTCAGGCAGGAAACCCTATACAAACTTTATCAAATGCCTTACTGAAGTCCAAGAAAATTATATTCACAGCATTCCTCTACTTCACTAATTTTGTAACTGGGTCAAAGAATGTAGTAAGATTTGTCTAGCATGATCTGTTTAACAAACCCATGTTGGCTTTTAGTAATGACTTTGTTTGCCTCTAGGTGCTCGCTGATTATCTTTTCCAGGATCTTCCCAGATATTGAGGTCAGGCTGATAGGTCTGTTGTTTCCTAGATCTATTCTTTTTTCTTTTTTGAAGAGGGGAACTACATCAGCTCTTTTCCAGTCCTCTGGTAGTTCCCCAGTGCTCCAGGGTCTTTGATAAATATAGTTCAGTGGTTCTGAGATCACATCTGCTAGTTCCTTGAGAACTTTGGGGTGTAATCCATCTGGTCTTGGTGATTTGAACTCTTCTAGGCTGGATAAGTGCTCACTTACCATTTTCTTGCCTAACTTAACTTGTGCTTCTAATCTATTTTTTTGTGGTACTGTTTTTGATAAGTTGGACTGTTGCTTTTTTTATTATTTTTGACTATGGTCACAAGCCTTAGTTCATTTTGAGCCTTGGCTTTCTTCACCTCATCTTTGCAGGCTCAGACTATTTGCTAATATTCTGCTGTAGTTATGTGCTCCCCTTCCACTTTTATATTGATCCAAATGCATTCAAGACAGTTTCCATCCTTATTGTGCCCTAATTCTGTAGATATGCAGTTATTCCTTATATAGAGAAAGAAACTCTGCCTCCTCTTTTATTTGGCCTGTTTCTTTTAAACAATTGAAATCCCTCTAGCTGAGTGTTCCATTTGTGGGTTTAATCCCACCATGTTTCTATAATGACAACTATATCATATTTGCCCTCATTCTTTATGACTGACACCTATGTGTTAGTCCACTTTGTGTGACACTCACTATTAGAAGCTTGATGTTGCTTGATAGCAAGGTTGATATTCTTGTCCACACACATCTATGTTACTTGCACTGCTAACCCTGTAATTTTTTGATCTCAATTAACTCACTGTCCCTTGTTTAGTTTAAATATTCCTCCAGAAAAATCTGTGAGTTTATTGCCAAGTAACTC